AAACCCAAACCCCACCCCCCCTCCAAATATACATCAAACCCATCAAACCATTCCTCCCACCTTCCCCCTTCCCCTTCCCCTTCCCCTCCCAACAACCTGAAACACGTTACAAACCCCTCACAACGGAAAACCTCCAGAGTCGAAACGACATTTCTCGGATAAATACCATACAGTTCTTCCTTCCTTATCAACCCCAACTCAACTTACTCAACCCAACCCAGCCAGTCCATTGATTGATCGATCGTCCCACTCTTTATCAATCCCCTCCAGCTTCATCCGTCCCTTGATTCACCATACGATACGAAAAAAGGTACGAAAGGAAAAAGGGAACAACAGGTATACGTAGAGCATACTGTACACATCCTAGTTAGTCAATACAGCCAGCCAGCCCATATAGCATATCAACCAACCAAAATACCCCGCATCATCAAAACATACCTATCAATAATTAATCATTTCACATATTATCATTAAGTAAAAGTCAAAGTTAGAGCGGGTAATTGTCTGGTATTATTATCTAAGATCCCCAAAACTCGGTGGGGATACCTTATCTAAATACGCAGAAAAGCGAGTCCTGGCAAAAAAGCTCCTTGCCCGTTTTCCCTTTTCCACATACACACCAATCCTGTCTGCTGATATCTAAAAATCAACCCATCCAGTAGTTGAATAATTGCCAATGTTGAACAAGTTGGTAATCGATGCCCCGTATCAAGCATGTAGTATGAAAAGAGAAAATGAAAAAGAGTTAGAAGCCAAACACTACAAGTGGAGGTCGGCGAACCCTCCAACCCACTCAAGGTCTCCGAGGCGATGATGACCACACTCTCGAACCCTATCCTTATCCTTTACCCAGGGGCATCCTCCACCATGCCCCCTCTCTTTGGTAGCAGTACTGATCTTAGTATCCCAAACTCCAGCCCCAAACCCAGTGAAGCCTAATCCAACATTGCGCCGTACTTTGAAGGGTTCTGGTGATTTTTCTGATTCGGATGTTCCGGTGTGTGCCTTGCGACGTGCAGCACCGAGCGCAGACCACTTGTCGAAAGCGTTGCGTTTTGAGGGAGGTGAATAACGAGCGGGCGTAGGTGTGACAGTTTTGTGAGGGGCCTCGTGGAAGAAAAAACCATCTGCCACGATATCCCCATCGATGTCGGAAGTAACAAGTGTGGGCTTTTGAATATTTACATAGGAAGAGCTTTTTGGCTCTAATGGTGCCCGAACTGTCCTATCATCTTCTGTTTTGCTCTCGTGGCTCCAGGTCCTCGAGTTGGCCATTTGACGAGCCATGAGTTGTCTCTCAACTTCTTCTTCTTCCTCTTCATCCTCGTCCCACAAATCGCTCCAGCTCTTGGATACCACGTCACTCTTTTTGCCAAAGATGGAAGCCATCGATGGTAAAGGCTTTGGCTTGGACATAGTGATCGGCAATGAGCCAGACATAGTGGAAGGATTTGCACGAGGTGGACCACTCTTCATGGGGCGTCTGATGGCCATAGACTGCATCGAGACACCAAAGGAAGAATCAAGTACCGATGCCAAGGAAGGTGTTTGTTGACGAATTGAGAACCAGTCTTTGTTGCTTTGTTCTGAAGCTGGGAAGAGGTCTTCGTCATCGTAGAAGCTTTCGTCATCGGCAATGGCAGAAAGTTGGCGAATCGGTTGTGGTGGACTGGCGTGTAATGCCTTGGCCCATGGGAAGGAACCTTGATCCATCTGGGGACTCTGGATGGATGGAGTTCGTAGAGGCTCACGGTTGGAGCTGGCAATGACTCGTCGCTCGGCGGAGTCAAAGTCGTCCAAGCTCTCATCGAAAGTTGTGAAACTAACCAAACGCTCCAGTGCCTTGCGGACACCGCTGAGGGAACGTTTACGTGGATCCAAGCTCATGCACTGAGCAATAACCTCATACGTATCTTGTGACATTGTTGGGAAGACGTCGAAGAGAGATTGCTTATCGCGAGTGAAGTCCAAGAAAAGAGGATCGGACTCGGTAGGAGTTGTGAATGGATTGCGTGAGAAGAGAATGTTGAGCAAACAGATGCCAACGGCCCAAATATCGGCTTGAGCTGGAGAATATCCGGCACCAGCAGAATCATATTGCTCAGGAGACATGTAACGATCACTGCCAACAGTAGTCTCGTATGTCCATTCTTCCGAGGTAGCCAGACCAAAATCTCCCAATTTCATCTCACCAGCCTGGGTAAGGAAGATATTCTCTGGCTTGATATCACGATGGTACATCCCCTTGCTGTGAATGTAAGCAACAGCGTCAACGAGTTGAAGCATGAATTGTCGGACACGCTCCGTCTCCAAAGGGCCGGTTCCGGTTCTGATGGCCTCGTATAGATCCCCGCGGGAGCAGAACTCGAGGACAATGTAGACGTGGGCATCGGTCTCGAAAGAATGGATCAAGTTGACAATGTTGGGGTGCGAACCGAGACGTGCATGACAGGCGAGCTCTTCTGATTTTTCGTCAATGGCAAAAGCAAAATCCATGTCTTCGCTGGCAGACTTCTTGGTTAAACACTTGATGGCAACGAAATCGCCATTGGTCAAATCGTTGGCCATGAAGACCATACCAAAGGATCCATGGTTGAGGGGGGAGACTGTCTCGAAACGGCCATCGAGGACGAGACCGTCGTAAAAAGAATCTCGGAGGCACTCCATTTGGGTGATGAAGTGTAGTTGAATGTGGTGGTGTTGTGGAAAAGTAGTAAACTCTGTCGAGTTCAAGCGAAAAAAGATTAAAAAAAGATGAAAACCGGGACGCAAAATAGTTGTACAACCGAAACGTTTTTGGCCTTGAGTGTGTGAAGCAAAACAGCGTGAAAATGCTTTTGTCTCCTCGAAAACAAAGTTGTTGGCACAGCGAGCGACGATGCTCGGGATGGCTCAAGGTCGGAAGCGGGGTCGAGGACGAAGCCTGAAAGGGGGCTCGGTCGAAGCAAGTAAACAAACAAGCAACGCTATATAAATGTATCCCAACCGCAGAAAAATTGATAACTGTGGAAAACTCCGCGGGTCGTAGAAAGGTGGGTCAGAGGCTCATTGATGGGTATTCGAATTTGATGACAAAAGAGATTGAGATTTGAAGGTCGTAAAGTGGACAGGAGACGGAAGCCCGTCAAAGAAGTTGTGAAAGTCGTTAAAGTGACATAGAAGTCGAAAAAGGGAAAGAGGAGCGAGTGTCGGTTGAGGGGTCTTGGAGCCTCAGTAGCAGTACCTGAAAGCACTGGGTTGGTTGTTAAGTGGTGGAATGCCAGGGATCGGGGGGAAGGTTCGATCCAGAGTGCAAGGCAGTACTGTTGAGAGGTATCAACGGTAGGGAATTGCTTTATTATCGTGACGTTGTAGGTGGAGATCAGGGTATGGTGTGCGTTTGTTGATCAATGGAGAATCAAGGTCGAAACTGGGAAGACCTTGTAGGATATCCGAGGCTGTAATCTTGATGAGGACAGTCTTGTCGTTGGTGATGGAGAGTCTATCAAAAGACAGTCTCGGATGGCTGGTAGGAAATCATGTGTTGGAGTTGTGGACTTTGAGGGATAGGAAGTCGAAGAGCTGGCTCTCCGTCTGCCTGATCCTGAATGGTAGGACAAACTTGTCGAGTGGAGATGGTGAAGCGGACCGAGGAGAAGAATTTGAGAATGGTCGGACGAGATGAAAGACCGAGGATGGACAGGTTGGAGGGGATACCGGACAAACTCGGATCTGCAAAGCTGGTGCAGAGGCAAAGCTGGCGGTGGGGAATGGAGATGGAATGTAGTTGAGGTCAGTGGTGGTGGTGGTATTGTTGCTGTAAGGGCAACTGTCTCTTGACGATCAACTGGATGACGCAGCAAAGCAAGCACACGACGTCGAGTTGGTGAGAGAATAGGGAGTGGTCGGACGAGAAGGGATAGGGAGGTCGTAAATAGGGATCGGATCTAGGTGACTAGGGGAAGGTGGAGGTGGAGTTGAAGAAGAAGAGGGGAAAGAGAAGAAGAGAGAGGAGGAAAGAGCTGCGTGAGAGTTGATTGTGGCCAGTCTTAACCATACGCAGCGGTGAAGTGTGGTTGTAGTGAGTTGGTGATGAAAGAGAGTGAGAGCAGTGGAGAGGAAGGAAGGCAGGCTAGCAAGTGAGCAGGTTAGGCTAGCAGGCTAGCAGCGTGAGTGGAGCCCGTCTACAGCAGGATCCCTGCCATTCTCTAGTGGGACCCATATTTCTGCGTGCGCTAGCGGCCACTAGCGTCTGTCAGAGGAGACCAATCACGCGAGGGAAGAAGTGGGGTCCGACAAGGTGCTCCCGCTGCCACAGCGCTCGAGTTCATCGAGGGCCCTTGACCGCCCAGCGAGGAATCTCGAGAGTCTAGCGAGAGTCAACCGTGGGGGAGACCCGACGAAAGCAGTGTCCTGAACTCATTCCGGATAAAGAGCGAGTGGGGCTATTTATCCGTGAGAGAGCCAATCAGCGTACGAGAGATGAAACTGGAGGGTCCGAGAAGAGTGACGCTGTATCGCCGCTTTCAACTGCCTTCTGTTGCTCTGTAGTGCTGCCTTTTACAGGCTTTGCTGCCCATTGCCACAGCGGACGACACGTATGCAGCTTGATTGGCTGCTAAACTCGGCATACAGACGCAGGGTATAGGCTTTCCTCCAGCAAGCCACAAGGCTCCTCGTCCTTCGCCGGCCAACTACGAAAGTCTCGTAGTGTCTCCTGGACTGTGCAGCCGGAGTGCATACACGCTTGTCCGTTTTGCGATGAGCGCGAGACTCCACCGCAGCTTGGCTGTCCAAGCAACTCTGTTACTCTGGAGGGTTGTTGGAGGGTCGTCGTGGAGGGTCTCCGTGCTCAGGTTGTGGTGTCACTGTGTACGAGTATGGCGGTTGACTTGGAATGCTGGCTCACTGGGAGCACCCTCGATGAACGGTACGATACAAGTTGCGTGGCATACGTACAGTATATGGAGAAGCGGTGCTGCGTGGTGGTGGTTCGAGAAAACGACTGACGGACCAGCGTCCCAGTTCCAGTTGATTCCATACAGTAGCAAGTACTCCGTTCAGTGTACTAGACCTCGAGTACGAAGTACAACTCTCTCTTCAGAGTTCCGGATTCCCTTCGCGTACCTACCGGTATACTTCGTAGGTGCAGGCAAGCTTGAAGCTCCCTACAGGCAAGCTCAAGCTGTCCCGTCTGGCTCTGGCTCTGCTACAGTAGACAGCGCCAATCTCAATCTCCATCTCCCACCAGACCAGTGACCACATCTGCACGCCCAAGGGCTCAAGCATCATCTCGCCAAACTCTAATAGCGATGTGGGTGCTGGTGGGTGATGCTGGCCCCGCCAAATCCGCTCAATTTCCAGGTCCAGCCTCTCTCCCTTCACTTCTCCAGTTCAGCAGTGACCACAAGGTCCGTATCTCCATTTCTCAATTTGGAGGGTGATTAAAAAAGAAGCAATCCATTCCGAATAATAATGGGGCTTCTCAGCGACCTAACCTCAACACGGCGAGTCACTATTCCCGTGTTGAGCAGAAGGGCAGCCAAAGCTGTCATCAGACCCCCAGTCCCGCAAGCCCACGACTCAGCCAGCTCCAGCACCTCTACGGGTACTGAACAGTGACTCTTTCAGTGCCCGCCGAAACCGCTGGAAGCATCTTGAATTTGATATTGACTCTACTTCGTAAATCCTCCCATCGGTACTTACGAGATCCCGACAGGCAGGCGTGCCGCCAGCAACAATAATGACACCATCTAATTTTACTATACCCAATAGTAAAGGACAGATTGCAGATTCAGTCACTCAACCGTATCCAGATTGGTCCCTTGGGTATTATCAGGTACCGGGTAGGTACCAGTAATACGTACTTCATGTACTCATAACATACGAGGTACTTCGTAACACCATATTCCCCCATTCCTCGACCCTTCGAGATCCATCCGTACAGAGTAATGGGTAATGCAAGCATATCAACCCGAGATCTTGTGACCCCCAAGTTATCCTTAGCCCTCCAATCCTCAGACTCAGATCATCAAATGGGCCATTCTCAACTCATCCAATTGGCCTCCCACGCCCAAAAATCCCAAACAGTAGTGCCAGCAAAGAAAAAGCATCCTGTTTCGTCATCTTCCCTGACCTGATTGATGGGCTCGGAATGTTTATTGCTATCAGATCACCTGGTGATACCCGGCCTCAACCAAAAATCACGACATCGGAAGCACGCAACGTAAGCCATGGCAAAGGCAAGCAAGCAAAGGGTCGAAGCTCAAGTCAAAGAGAAGCTAAATCTGGCCCGACCGAACTTTACCCAGATCATGCCTCCATCGACACATCTCTCCCAAGTAAAACAATGATATGACATGCCATACATATCTGGAGACAAAGGAAAACTCATCGTGCAATCGCCATAATAAATCACCTCATTGAGCAGCTCATTCTTCGCCTTTTCCCTTTTTCCCCGGATTCGAGAGTTCAAGGGCTCGTGCTAGTGCTAGTGCTAGTGCAGCATTGTACATCTACAAGTAAGTTACCCTGAGACCATCGCACCCCATTCCGTAAAACGCACCCAACGGCGCCTTCCGACCCCGCGTCTTCAAAGGGGAATCAAGAACTCTTGACATCTCCTCCCTCGATGATTTGTCCAATTCTGAAATCCCCTCCTTGAGCAGACACACCAATTCCCAGATCCCAATATAAAACCCTCCGGCCCGCAACTTGCAGCGCGCAGCGCCGACGTTGAGGAACCTTGATGAGAGAGAGGCTGGGAAATCATACTGTAATGAAGAAAAGTCTATAATTGAAGTGAAGCTACAGTACGAGTACAGCCTTGGGATTGGGTATGGGAACGCCTGGATCTACTGTATTGTAAGATACTGTACTGTACAGGTATGGGACAGGAGGGCTGTGATTCACAACCTATCACCACTAAGCGCCCAGTACCCACCCCCTCTTCCCTCTTTATCTAAGGTTAGAGTTATAGCTTAGTACAGTACAGTAGAATCCTGCAACCGTTCGTTGTTAAAGATAACTGTATTAATGCCCTGTTTTAGATTTTGAGCTGTACTTTCTTTCTTTCTTTCTTTCGCAAGACCTAATTCTGGAAACAAAATCAACGGGCTAGGAAAGAGTTTTTCCATCCCTTTGTTATGATACTATACTATACTACTGTAGGATACTGATACTTGTAATAATATACAGGTAGCTGCTTCAATCTACCAATCTATCACGCCGCTACGATGAGGAGCTAATTATACATCATGTCCTATCCTATCCTGCCGATCCGGCCGTGACGATGGATGGATGGATGGATGGATGGTAGGTGCAGCAGTGCGTAAGAACGAATGGGAATTGATACGGATGTTGTACAGTAATAAAGGAAAATAAGGAATGGAGGATGTCACATCTCACTGAGCACCAACCAGACAGAGCAGAAGACGGAAATCCTGAAACCGAGTTTCCGCGATCAGGTGGGTGGATAGGTATAAGGTACAATAAGTTACCCGTATAGTGCGTACTTTTGGAAAGTCTGTATACTAGTACCAACATCACATCGCATCGCACGGAGACTCAATATACCTACTATAAGTTATGAGCGGAACTTACAAAGTATTATTATGGTACAGTACACCATGGATGGGTTCTTGGGAAAGGGATAGGTATGCCAGCGCTAATAACGAGGCAGTGATACAGCCCGGTGTTTGGAACTCTCCAATTGGATTAGTGCATGTATATGTATGTGAGGTACCAGGAAACCCAACCCAACGCAGCGCGACGTAGGTAAGAGAAGAGACACGTCTACGTCGTGACACCTTCAAAATACCGTAAAGATCTTCGATCCACCCCCTCTTGCGTAAACAAGAACCCCTAACCCGAATTCTTACGAGGGAACGCCTTCTTTCACTCGAAACAAAGGGAAGCTCAACCTCGATGATCCCGTCCCAAAAGCATCTCCATAAGATACTCATTCCTTCCGTTTGCGCTAGCGGAATCCCATCCAGAAGACCAAATTTAGTGTTTTAGCCCTCCCCGCGGGGATTTTACTCATGCGCTGGATGTGGTATTATATCATAGGTATGCCTAGGTAGGTATTTTATGCCCGCTCCGCCAACAATACCTACGGAAGGTATAGGTAGGGAGGTAAATTGAGTTTTGCTTCCGATTGATAGACCCCGTGGAGGCGGGCGGGCGGCCACCTACGCCCACTATAGGTAGAAAAAGATACGGCGGGAGAAAGTATATCTGGGCGGCTGGGCGGGAGATAACGCGATACCGTACTCGACAGCAGAAAAGTAGCCTTTCGGGATGACCTAGATAAGATCATGCCGTGAGAGAAGAAGGTTGGATTGGATGTAAACTAGCAGAAAATCTTAAGAAAGGGAAATATACTTTGTAAAATGTGACGATCTAAAATGGCGGATTAACGAGTCTGTGCACTTGCTTAAACTAGGTAGGTTCCGTGGATTGTACGGTATAGGATAGGTTGGGGAGTTGGCACTTGCCATGCTGGTGTTCGCGTTTTGTTGTTGTTGACATGGAAATATCAACAACACAACAACACTCTGGTTGTAAAGGTGTTATGTGGCTTGGCCAGCGCAGAGGCACATTCAAAACACCATGCTCCTTAAAGCAAGCTGAGCTGCAACACCTCGTAAGGATCCTCCCACGTGCAGTAGTGAGTTGCATTTCTCCATAATCCACTCACGGACAGCGCGCACTGCAGAGTAGGCAACGGGGAAGCAGCGCGATGGAGTTTGGTTTCTGAGAAACTCGGATTGAGTTTTAGTGTGTGGAATTCATTCTTCTGCTTTTGGAGTTTCCCCGTCTTTTTTGGATGGTGGATATCGGGGTTGTTTTGTTTTCCCGTTTCCGTTTGCAGGTTGAGAAATCTGGGGGCTGTGGATTGGAAGTTCTTGATTTGTCCTGGAGTTGGAAGGACGGGATCTGATCGCAGGAATTATTATTGGACGCGCTGTCTTTGGGATGGTTGGGATGGGTGAAGAGATTTTATGTTCACCGCTATCATAATTTTAAAAATATAGAAGTAGGCATAAAGATTTCATGCTGCAGGCGCCTTGATTTCCTTCCATACCTATACGCTTCGGCACACAGCTCCGATGCACCTCCCGGCTTTGGACCGGAGCGGCCCTGTTTCCAACTTCTTCAGGTCCAAAGAGAGACGAGATCCAACCGTCAAGCCTTCATTAGGATTTCGAGGACAAGAGACCTGCATATCTTAACCGGTTCCTACCAACCGTCTTTGACCAGCAAAATACGTGGCCGAGATCTTATTTGTTGTGTTCCATCTCGGTAGGTAACTGTACTGTATCATGCAGTCATCCTGTCCTGCAGTTCCTCTCCCCCGGCCTGTTCCTGAGTGGTTAACGATCGCACTAGACCTGAAGCCGATGGATGCGACTGGACTTGCGACGAACATCCCACGGAGTTTCGCAAGAGCAAAAATTTTAGGGTCTCATCTTCAATTGTTCACCGCTTCAACGCCTTCCGCCTTTGGACCAAAGGATCAATCCAATTGATACGGGACGGTAGCATTCGCATCACATCCAAGCAAGGAGAAAATTTTCTTGTCGACGTTTAACACGGCAGATAAGAATTTTTTTTCTTCTTCGCAACGGTGAGCATTATTGGGGCTGAGAAATCATGGCGACGAAGGAGCTCTTGCAGGACGTTGAGATTGTCTTGCTTGACATCGGTAAGATCCCATTGCATGAACCACCCTCGTACGGCTTCGAGGCCAGGTTCGTCCAGACCAACAACATGTTTGGAGGGAAGCTTTCTGCGCATTTGCGTGACTAGAAAAAACGCGAATCTTGGAAGGGTCAGCTGACAGGCGGGTTTGCTAGAAGGCACGGTGTGCCCTATTAGCTTCGTCAAAGATGTTCTGGTAAGATGGATCTATTTCTTCACGGCTATCGATCTTGTTTCTTGTTTTTCCTTGTTTAGGATATTAGTGGTACTTCTCTATCATCTGATGTCAGCCCCGATCATCGCGTCGCAAGTTATGTCCCAGAGCGGGCCTGAACTATCGTCGAGCTTCAAGTGGAGCCTGCATTTAGTTCTTGCGCGTGCCCAACAGAGTGGTTGGGCGGGCTGTCATCGAACCGAACACTACCGGATGGCAGGTGTCTACCATCAAACCCCCTAAGTTTGCACTATCGGTTGTCAACTATTAAAGAGTCTCCTTAAGATCGTCGGCCCCCGCGTTTTGTTAGCCTTCAAGAGTTGAAACACGAATCGAGTGGGGGTGGTGCAAGCGAGTAAGATGTCAACAAACCCATCTCGAAGTTTCGAAAGAGGGGTTGCATCAGGTCAGCTGGCGATGCGCGATAGTTGAGACAGCTTCATTCTCTATGACTCGCCACCCCATGGTCCACCACGAAGCTGATCTTCTCTTTGGGGCTGTACAAAACATGTACTCTTACACATCGATGCATACTGTCAAGAACTGGTGTGGGTTTACCGCGTTAAGAACTCGTCGTTACCAGGTGGTTATTATTATTTTCCTATTGGCATGTAAGGCGAAAGGCACCCATATCCACACAACTGTCAATTCCAAGTGGTAGCGAGTGGTAGTACGGATCACGGCAGTCGAGGAATTTCCGTCACATATATCCCACCTGGCAACGAAGCGAGGTCGCTTGGTTGCAGATTGGGTCTGGATACTTGGAGGCTGGGATGCGGAGAATTTTATTGTCTTTGTGATAGGTCAATGCCACGCTTGCTCTGCATGACTGCGAGACATTGCGGGGTGGTGACGATACCCAAGGTCTTTTCTCAGTCTTGTTCAGTGACAATTTATAAACCTGTCATTTCTCAAGTATGAAGAATTAGAGGTAGGAGGGGTACTGGGTGGGATATTGGTGATAGTTTCACCACATAGTTGAAGCGACTAGGACATCATACGACCTTCTCCTCCCTCTTTTACGTCGTCGAGACAACCAAGCTGCATTTACTTTTACATCCAAGTTTACTCTCCGCCAGCGCGCCCTTCTAGCTCGTCATAATCAAGAAGTTGCTCAATATATCCAACCAACCAGCTAACCTGGCACATCAACACCACCAGCAACAAGCTAACCCCATCCCCACAGTTCCCCTACGCCCTCACCGTCCTCCCCAAGGTCCTAGAAACAGAATGGGACTCCCCAACCCTCGCCCCCTACATCTCCGCCTTCCCGGTCGAACACCAAGCCACCCCCGCCGCTCTCCTCTCCCACGTCCACCATCTCATGTCCCAAGATCTCAAAATCGCCTACCTGAAATCTCTTCAAGGGTACCTCTGGACCCAAGGCTACCTCTCCGGCTCCCTCCTCTGCACACTCTTCCCTGACGTCACGCCCGCTCTGCGAAAATGGCATGCCGCAGGCCTAACCCTCATCATCTACTCCTCGGGCTCTGTCGCCGCGCAGAAACTCCTCTTCCAGTATACCACGGATGGGGATTTACGACCGTTGATTGAGGGGTATTTTGATACTGTGAATGCGGGGTTGAAGCAGGAGAGGGGGAGTTATGAGAGGATTGTGGGGACGAGGAGGGAGGGGGTGGAGAAGTGGTTGTTTCTTAGTGATAATGTTGGGGAGGTGAGCGCTGCGAGGGAGGCGGGATTGCAGAGTTTTGTTGTTGTTAGGGAGGGGAATGGTGTTCTTGGTGAGGAGGAGAGGGAGGGGCAGGTTTTGGTTGGGAGTTTTGAGGAGATTGAGATTGGGGGGGTGTGAGTTGTGAGGATGTGGATTTGTAGGTTGTAGGCTACTCGTAGTGCCTTGATGACAGTTTTCTGCGATACTGCTTGAACTGACTTTCTTACTCGTTGTTTTGTGAAGTACATCGTAAAATTAGCGAGAAGAGGTAGTGTAACAGTTGGTATAATAGAAGTAGTTCTCTCCTTGGGTTATATCTCAGAAAGTTTCAGTAGTAAAAGAAAATGCTAAACGCTAAACAAAATCCTCCAAGAAGTTCAAGAGGTCTTGCGAACCTGAAACTCCTTTAAAGTCCATCTTTTACAGTTAACGCACTGCTATGTTGATGGTAATCTTGCCCCTTAGCTATGGTGGTGTAAATGGTATTCTTGCATATTAATTCTTTACTAAATGTTCTGAATTCTAGAAATTGCCACAGGGAAGGCGAGGGGGGGGGTTGTATTCCCCAAGGCGTGTTAGAGGATTTGATGGCATGGATTATTTTAGGGTTGTAGTGCTCCTTGATTCTGAGGACACCTACTGATTTAGAAATAACGATGGTTATAGATAGTGCTTGTAGATCTATACCTTCAAAGTGCAAAGACTAGCAGGTATGAAATTACATTCTAAAAGAGGGAGATTGATTAATGAACGTCTTCATATATTAGCTCCAAACGTAAGACCCCCAATCACACCTTTTACACCCACTCTCTCAGCAACTCACCCTTCACGTAAGAACAAGTTGAGCATGCTCCATTACTATGCCTCTCATCGGAACAGGCTTACGTCAGTCTTGATTCAGAGAGGGATGATCGCCGGGTGGTCTCTTTGGACTTCCTTCCTCATCAGGTAAGATTACAGAGTTTGACTTCGACCTCATAATCCTCTCCAACTTCAACCAGAACTTCTGGATCCACGGTGAATCCTGTAATAATTTTAGAAGCGACGGAATACAAAGGACGAGGAATCCTGCTACCAGTTCTCCATGGCACCATAGACTGAGTCCGGAAGCATAGTATGTGGATTCGGGAGTACTTTGGTATTTGAATGTACTATTGATATGGAAGCCGGCGCAAATTATCGCACTTGTTTTTCTATTAGTAAATGAAAATCGTGCGGTGAGTACCGTTTAGAGGACTTACACCATCCCCACAGCAAACCAAGCTCCAAGCCTCACTTTATCCGCTTGGATAATATGTAGGTCCCACAAATCTTTTGGCGCAGGACCAAAATCGCGAGATCGGAGAAGAAGTTGATAAAGGTCGAAGTTATAATAAGTTTGGGGATATCAGGAGATTTTCTCTCGATCAGAATATCCCAGGAACGCTCAAGGGGGGTGCAGGGAAAGATGGCGAGGAAGGTGGAGATGGTGTAGAATACTATGTTGATTGCCATGAGGATATGATATAGTAACCAAAATGCGTTTCGAGACTTGGAAACAAAGAGCCGGGTCTAGAGGAGGAGGATTCCATGAGGAGGAGTGTGTGGTGATTTTGAAGATGGGTGATGCTCTGCTATGGTGATGTTCTTTATTGGGTTAGTGTTGATGAAATATCGTACGAAGTATATATGTGAAGTGCTTGGGTACTAATAAGAGACTTAGCTTACGTATAATATGTCTAGTATAGTTTTTAGTTATATATTCCATTAATGGATGAAAAGCCCAGAAATATCGATAACCTTCCAGATAAAGTACCTATACGCATTCCCCACGGACAGCCCCTATAACATGTCAACGAAAGCACCCAAAAAATCCATTAGTTATTCAACTTACCAGCACCGCAATTGCTATATCTGTGAGAGGCCAGACCTCGAATAGCTCAAAGGTGTGGTTTCGAATATTCAATTAAGAAGTGCGTGAAGACTACATACATGCAATCTTTTCCTCTATATATAGAGAGAGGAAGAGTTTCTGGAGTCTTCCAAGAAACTGTTTGACAAATACGTGACGTCAAAAGAATAGAGTAGAAAAGTGTAGAAAAGGAGAAACCAATTTAGCAGTGGAGCAATGGCCAATGCTGAGCGGGGACTTTGGTCAGTGCTTAGCGAGGGCATGGCCCGAGCCTCCATCATGGGTTCCAACCCTCACAATATCTTCGGTATATCAGCTCTTAAGCCAACCTTAGGGGTTCGAAAAGAGCCAAACTTACAGTCGTCTATATAAATTCTTTTAAGGTAGACAATCCTCGAATACAAGCTTGAGACCACGAGTGAAGCCGCTACGATGGTGGATACAGCAACAATTCCTATACTCATACCATTGTGATTCGGGGGATCCAGAAAGTTTGGCTCGAGTCCAAATGGTAGATCAAGTACTGGCCCATCTAATAATGCCGTCTGCTCACTTGCGGAGAGATGGTAGAATTGCGTCAAGTTTACCATACTGAGCGATAGCAAGGCACGAGATTCAAAGAGAGCTTGAGTCGCATTTGAGGAAGGATGAGATGTGATATAGAAATATGCTTAAGATCTCCAAGGTAAGGCTGCGCTTAATACAAGAGGAGTTCGATTATCCTTTCGGCTACATTTTTGTTGATTGCTAAATGGCTTCTCGGTGGTGGGTTGTACAGGATCAATTGAAAGTAGTCGTATTAACGATACGAGAGGCGGGCATTACTCTGTAATCTTATACCTCTAATTTATAGAATCTGTTATCCTAGAGACCTTATACAGCGTTCGGCACTTAGAATACGATTCCAAGGATTCTAAGATTCCATTTCAAGGTGGAATATTCTAAAGGCTCTCTAATTTAGAATAGAATATTCTAAAGGATAAGACCTTAGAATTTGGAATTCCAAAGGATATATATATATTACTATTTAACTAATAAGAAAGCTCTATTTATTATAAAGTAAGGACTAAAATTATAATTTTACCTACGCTTAATTAATTATCGCCGTCTCCTATATGTAACTAAGGTAAATCCGAGTAGTTTTATAGTGTTTGTACTACTTGTACGCCGAGTCTAGGAGGCGTAAATGCGTGCATTTGAGGCTCTTTTGCGCAGGGTGAATGTAAGTAGGTTTAGAGTACGTATACTAACGTGTGCCGCTAGTATAGGAGGCGCAAATACGAGTATTTAAGGCTCTTTTGCGCTATTATTATTATAGTGTTAATAGTGTAGATACGATTCTCAAATATTAATATAGTACTAAGGCTAGGTAGGCTTCCTATTAGTCGCTCGGACCGGAACTACCTTTTTACGGATCACGTAAGGAATTCCAACTAGAATTCCAAATATTCCACCCTTTAGAATAGAATATTCCAACACTTATACTATTTAGAACGGAATATTCCATAGGGGTCCCTTGGAATAGAAAGGAATTCCAAATGCCGAACGCTGACCTTATACACCTAAATCAATTATATACATTTTAGAATACCTGAATAATTAGTACTTTTCACTCATTATTAACATAGGTAAAATAGGACAATTAATAAAGTTATACCAGACTTTTGGTATAATAACTTTTGAAAGCGTGTACAGTGTAATAACTAGTTTTCTTATAAAAGTTGAAGAGATCTATTGGCTGTTAATACGAAGCCACAGGCTTGTTGCCCCTTCATATCCTAGGATCATATGTTTTTCAATAACAACAGTAGAGAATGAGTTATTAGTCCTTAATTATGATCATTAGATTCTGGAATTCTTCCGTCCTTGTTTGAGGTTAAATGAATGACTTGCTAGGCTAACGAAGCTCTAGTGTCGGATCAAAACATCCTCGAACAAAGGTTCTGTTATCTTGCTACCTTACTTTGATTTGATTAGGCCTGTTACCCCATCATTTAACTTAGCAAATTCATACAGGTTTGTTAGGAACCTACGCACTTGATTATGGAATAAATACTGTTGTTTTCCACTATTGGTCTCATTTCAACCCTCGCCTATTTCAATGTAGGGCGAACGTACCGAAACGCGGAAGATTTCAACCCTAACCACACGTTTCGTTCTTGAGTCAGCGGCTACTGGTCTGTGCATATTGGCTGTGTAAGCAAACTCAAACTCTCCTGTGTCTGAATTGGAGTATAATTCTCGACAGAAATTTCACTGCTAATTGTAGTTCAGAATGACTTCGACGTTCATCAAACGAAAAGCCGCACATTTGATGTTGTTAATGAGACACTATCTGGAGTGCTGCCAGAAAAATCCTTTGCGAATGTGGTTGAAAGACTTGACAACGGCATTGCTGTGGGGGTGGGTCTGGGTCTCGCTAATTTGACGATGACAACAATAACAACAAAAAGTTCAAAAACAGAGGAAGAAGAAAAGATCGCGAGAACTTAAACCAGCAAAAAGGTTCGTGACCGTGCCGTCCGACATAGTATCTTAGGACTACTACTCCTCAAGCACGAATCCTTACTCCTTTCCGTAACGACCACTGAGCCATTTGGGCCGGGTCGCACCACCAACAGGTGGGTAATTGGTGGATTTATGGTTGGAGAAACCTTATTTGTATATATTAAAGAAAATCGCTAGTTAGGCGGGGGTTGGTGCCGAGATCGACCCGCTATATTGTTTTGGTTGGAGATTGAGCTCAACTTCGTCGCGCCATTATTGTTACAATTTGAGGGAAGATGCAAGTACAACCAGACCTCTGTTATCTCCACGCGTTGTCGAGATATTCTCAAAAAAAAGAGACTTATTTCAAACTTCCCTCAGGGTCAGCATTGTGATCTTGTATTTGAAATCTGTGAAATTGTAAATGAGAATAGTAAATAGTGTCTATAATACAGTATACGTCACAGCTTCCATTATTCTAGGCATTGGATCGTCGGATAGATCGTCTGATAGAGCGTCGGGCCTTCTCCTTATCCGCTTCCTGCTTTGCCTAGGGCATTAAAGAGAGGGATGTCAGTTTTGATAAATTAATAGTAAAGAGCACTAGGTGAAAGACAGAGAGCTCTCGTGGGATAGAGGCTGAGATACATCTTAATGTAGAATTTGTAGTACTACTAATGAAAAGCCAAAGGCACAACATAAAATAATTTCCAAGAAGTTCCATCCATACGATTCCCAAAAATATAAGTGCGTCTCAGCGGTAGCGGCCACAGAGAAAAGGGACAAGTAAATAATTACAGCTTATCTGCCCCTTATCCACACAGTGATATCCAAACAAATCTCCCAACCACAAAGAAGCTTCCCACGGTAAATTCTAGGACCTCAATATCCGTCATACCCCACTCATATCTCTTTATCTCCCTTTCAATCACAGGAGGCCTATTACGAACCGCTTTCCTTTCTCTCTCTTAAGCGCTTAAGCAGATAATGAATCCCTCCTGGTGCCTCTATAGGTAACCCAATCCTTCACTATCAGAGAACGTGAATTATACTATACATTACGTACGTCAAGATACCTTTTTATAAAGATAATTCTTAAACAACCTCACATACCAAGCCCATCAAGTCTTTTCGTCACAGCCGGTAGGTAAGTAAGGTAAATAAAGATCGTTATGCTACTGTATTGAGTGCAACACCCTACCTACCTACCGCAGAACCCAAAGCATTAGGTAGGTACCCTCCATTGATACACCCTCCCTCCCTCCTCCCTCCTCCCTCCTCCCTACTCACCATCTCACAACACCCCAAGAAAAACAGGAACAAGTAAACAACGTAGACAGACTCTTCAAAAAAGCATTTCCATTCTCTCATATAAACACATACATGATATATCATCCCCCCCTTTCTCCTTCCCCTCTTCACCCCCTCTCCAAAAAAGCCGCTATACACAACCACAACCACCAAAAAAAAAAAACATTACGTACCCCACAAACGCACCAATCCATGCATAGTATATGTAAACCAAAAAAGGTAAAAAGAAAGACAACGAAGAAAAGAAGGAAGAAAAGAAATTACAGGAAGAAAAAAAAACCCACCAAAACCACGCTATAAATGCCAAAAAAAATACAACAAACTCTCTCTCCCATATCTACTTTGTAAAAAGTTAAAAGAGTATTCACACCAATTAACCAACCAACCACTCACTCTTATCCCCATCCCCTGATCCCTCTCCACCACTATACCATACTATGCAAATTAACAAATTAACAAACCAAAAAAGCTTTTCTCTATGACAAGTTAAGAAAAGAAAAGAAAAAAAGAGATTCAAAAACCACCACATCCATTCACTCACCATACAAGGACCTCCAGACCGCACCCCCTACTCAGCACCAATCATAGCCTTGGGCAAGAACGCAAAAACCGTCCCCACAGCCGCAAGCACACCACAAACCCCAATCAAGCCCCAACACATCCACCGCTCTCGAGTAGGGACTTCCTTCCCAAAAATCTTGAGGTAAAAAAGGAGCGGGAGGATAACACAAATAGTGAAACAGAGCGTGCTGCCCATAAACGCCATGATGCTATCGAAAGCCGGGAAGACAATCGCAATCACCACGAAGATGACAACCACGACGATGCGAACGAGGACCTTGAGGAGGCCTCGGATCATGCCCGAGAGGCCGTTGAGAGCCGGTGTGGAGGATAGGGACTGCGCGTCGAGGCCGAGGATCACGTCGATGGTTGAGACGATCGGTCGGGCGTTCAGGGGAACCTTGGTGAGGGGGATGATGGCGATGAAGGTTGAGAGGAGAATGGAGAGGGAGCGAGGGTATCCGCGGGTTTCGAGGATGTTGCCGGTTAGCTCGTTGAGGACGCCGTCGCCGTACATCAGATAACCTGCTACGGCTGTCAAGCAATCCAAGGTGTACTGTGTATAATGTAAGTACTGGATCAATAAAGAAGGAATTGGGACATACGGTGAAGCCGAAAGTTGTCTTGATGGCTCTACCAAATTTCTGGGGATGCCGCATGTCTCGATAGATATTTGGGAAGACTCCGTGACCACCCCAGGGTGACATCAGAAGACCGAATGAAAGGGGAAGGGTGAGCCAATTTGACGGAAAGAGGTAGGTCTCAGCAGGTTCCCTAAGAGAACCAGGTGTATGAGGTTTGATGAAGCCATCTACGAAAATAATAAGTACAACTGCAGTCGTTAGCATGAATCCAATGCCGATTTGCATCAAGTATAGATTGGAAATTGTAATTGCTTAGGGTGTGTGTTTGCTAGACACAGGATTCCAGAGATTCCCCCAGCTCGACCATTCATCAGAAACCCGAAGCAATTGATAGCCCGTATGCACAATTCCCCCAAAAGAACTTGAAATTGCCGGCATAAGGAAAGCAGCAAAGAAAAGAAAAGAACAACTTACTGCTAAAAGTCGAAAAAATCCCAACAACACTAGTAACACTAAGCAACCTCAAGGGCGCAAAATTCAAGGGTATCAAGAGCAAACCACAAACCACCTTCCACTCATTCACACCAATTCCCGGGAAAAACAAATTCAACGTATCCGCAAAAAGGACAGTCAAAGCGACACAAGCGGCCAATAGCTCCAATGTGAAGAGAACGCTAGTAGCTATCCGTGCCTTATGCCCATAACTGATATATGCCAAATCAGCAAAGGTGACGAGGCTTGCATCTACATCCATACATCTGGCGAGGATTTTGGCAGTATATGCTGTGACGATAGCGGAGAGGAACAAGAATACCATGCCGCAAATCCAACCGGCGTATTTCATACCCATTGGAAGGGATAAAAGGCCAACACCAACAAGGACATTTGTAGAGTTGAAAATGGTTTGTGGGAGGGTGGATTGTCCGGCAATAACGTAGACCTTTTGGCCATCCTGCTCAATTTCCTTGACAATCAGAGGTTCTCTTTCTCCTTGTGATATAGCAGCTTGTTGTTCTCTCCAGAGCTCCCCCGCTCGGTTCATGGATCTTTCGCTAAGTGTTGATTGTAGGGTTCCATAAGAAGTGCCATAACTCCCCGCGAGTGGTGTAGAGAGATGGGGCGCAATCGCAAATATTGACTCTCTACCCCTAACACTTCCTTGAACACTATTCAAATCGCTACCCAGTCGCTTCCCAATCGACTCCTTGGGAAGCAATGGGTGTTCGCTGGGTCCGTCCATGGGTTCATCCTCAATCGCATCTTCAGGGCTCCCAGACGCTTCCATATGTGCCCTAATCAAGGACATTCTCGGCATTTGACCATATTCCACATCTCTCCTGCCATATTCTGAGGCTTCCCTCTCGATATTCTCGGTTCCCTCGTCAGCTTGAACGATAAAAGAAGGTCGTTGTGGTGCGACTTGTGGAAAACCAGCTGCTCGCGTCCAACTCCTCGCGAAATTCTCGATACTATTTACTCCTCCCACCTGTGCCAGAGCATTAAATCGAAGTGCCATTGAAGACCTATCATACCAAAATTAGTTTTCATATCCTCTCCCAAATCCCACAAACCCCCAGTAAACCGAGAGAAGAGAAATCAATTTTACCTCCGTCTTCGCAACCCCCCATCCTCATTATCAGTTTCCGCACCTGCATCCAAATTCGCATTCGAACCACTCGGAGACCCAACCACGGGCGTCTCAAACTGCACACTTCTGCCCCCCGTCGAGCTCATCGAACTCCTATGCGGCGAGGTCCCATACTGGTAATCGTCCCAATTCGTCGGATTCGGATTCTTCGTTCGCGTCATAACTTCGAATGCATGTGCATATGATGCATATATTGCAGGGTAACTTTATCCACAAACCTCCAGGAATACAATTAAGCACAGCAGAAGCTTGATATCGTCCGTTTTTTCGAGGGGAGGGATAAACAGAAAGACGCTTGAGAGGAGTTGAGATGAGGAGGGTTGTGGATATGCTCCGTGAATCTAAAAACCAAGAAATAAATTTGGGATTAGCTGCCCATGCCCTTGCCATAGCAGCCATACAAGCCTGTGTGTGGCTCTTATCTCGCTGCATTATCTCATTATTTATTGGTCAATGCACCAACGCCACTTGGGAAGTTGGGTCAGATCTGGTAAAGTCGCAAACTTGTTTGTTGGAGCGAGGGAGTGTCCGTCTCTCGCCGCTTACTTTCCTTGTGCATTCATCTCATTCATCTATCAAACTCCCATCTACCTTCACACTTCCGCCCAACATTCCGCTGTCTTCGCTTCCCACCTACGGAGTAACTTATTTCCAGAGTAAAAAACAAATTCCTCGCTCCCAAAAGCCAATATTCGGATTATATTCCCAAATCTCCATCAACACTCCGAACTCGGTATTCCGCTGTCCCTGGAGATGAGACAGACCACCTAGTGGGGCAGAGGGGCAAAAAAAAAAAACACACACACACGCACACAACAGTGGAAGTCAGAAAAAAGCCACCACAGTCCACGGCAGGCAAGGAATCACATCCCCCGATCCCTGCGAACCCGCACAAGCGGAGAAACACACGGAGCATATGCGCGAAAAAATTGCATACTTGTGCCCCTCTCCCCCATCCATTACAACGCTACACCTCCTGGGTCCTTACATACGCAAACATCCGCGACCCGACCCGGGTAAATTTCCCTCATATGAACCCCATGAAGGAAGAAGAGGGAATTTACCAGACAAGCTATCTTTAAATAGCAACAGTGGAATTGTATAGAAGCTTAGCGAGCATAAGGTTATAAAGTGATGTGATGTGATGTTTACTCTAGGCTCGTCATCTTTCATTGCGGGGTCCCCCTCGCTACGGTACGGTATGCAAGCCTCCAAAAAACGTTTTCGAATCATTTGACTATTGTACACCACCAACCAGCCAGCCACACTTTAACCATTTGTTATACAACTCCACAAGGCTGCCTACCATCATTGTTTTACGCCATGGCAAGAAACCTGTAAGCTTAAATATCATGTCTAATCATCCCGAGGTCGCTTCTGCTACGATGTCTTCACGTGCACAAAAAGCAAAAGTTCACACCAAGTTTTTTATATTTAACCCTCTATCTACTCTCTTTATTCTGGGACCTATTAGGTACATTCCTCTTTCTCCCATCAAGGTACGCAAAGAAACCACCGAGGAATGATAGAAACCACCACCACCTCTCATTACAGAAAGCCAACAAAAAAAGATCGCGAACTCATGAGTCATAACGTATACCATCCTCAAAGACTACATCCTCACCGCTTTTAAATGAATCTCAGTCTCCTCGCAATGACCAGACTAACGAGCGAGAAAAACACCAAAAACCCAAAGATGCCAAAGAACGGAGCCAAGCTCTCGGAATTTCTCCAGGGCACAGCGACGTTCATGCCAAACAGACCGCACACCAAATTGAGAGGAACCAGGATTGATGCCAACAAAGTGATTTTGCTAAGAACCTTGTTGGCCTGGTTTCCCTGAGTAATATTGTCAATTGAGAGTTGAGCCAGGTAATTGCTATGCGCTCTTGACAGCATTTTTTCGAAGTGCGCCAGACTCGTCATCATCGTGACAACGTGATCCTGAATATCACCAAGATACAAACCGATGTCGATGTGAGGTGTAACCTTGTAGTTGGGGTTACACCGCTTTGTGAAACCTCGTAGAACATCGGCTTTGCCGCCTAAAAGCTTCATGAGCCCCATGACATTTTTTCGGACCATGCCAATTCTTCGCAAGAAGGTGTGCATGTCATCGTTACGAGCGACAAAGACCTCGTCTTCAATGGAGTCTGTCTCGTGCTCAATTTTGGTGATGATGGGTGCAAAGCAATCCACAATGTCATCGCTGGTAAGTTATTAGCATGATAGAGAGTAAATATAAGGAGAGTACTTACATTAAGGCGTAGCAAACCCAGTCGCTGCTGAGGGAAACGTAATCTTTCAACATGGTGATTCTCTTCCGGACATGAGAAGCATGAGGATTAGGCGAGAAGCTAAAGCTCAACGTCCCCTCACGGAAGACGATCACGTAAATATTGAAGGGTTCGTATTCTTGACCACCCTCAATCTCTTCGACATGGAAAGAGCGGAAACATGCGAAGTAGTACGACGGGAATAGTTCAATCTTTTCGCGGGCCTCCTGAGTACCAATATCCTCGATAGTCAGTGGATGGACCCCAAAAGCCTTACAGATGGCCCGGATCTCCTCTTCCGTTGGATTGTTCATGTTAAGCCACCAAACGCCATCTTCCTCCTGTCCGTCTGGTGCTGTTGGTGTTGTGAAGAGAGTCCGAACATCTTCGCCTGGCATAATAAGGCCTCCGAAATCGGCAGAGTGGATAGTTGCTTCGCCTTCTGAGGAAAAGAACTCAAATCGATTGACATCTCTGCCTACTGGGGGCTCCGAAATAGAATCTTTAATGGTTGCAGCATCTAACTTTTCGTCCAAAGAAGAAGAACCATTTGTTGGAATCTCGACAAAATTGCCGTCATTGGTTACAATTATAGGAATCTGATCGGCCCTTTGTGGTCGGAGGTCTTGAAATACTCGAGCTTGAGGTTGTCCTTTTGGTGGTGTCTTTTCACGGTTCTCTTCTTCGGCAATAAAGTCCTCCAAGCCTTCAAAGTCAATGAGAAGTGTACTTTTGTTTCCATTTTTCTGTAAAGGAAAGCACACATCCTCCTCTGCCTCTGACTTGACAGATGCGGCTAAGGATCTAGCATCATCGTCATTTGCGACCCGTCTGCTACGAAGACTTCGATGACTGGCACATGAATTATCCCGACGAAGGTTGCCATCCTCATGTTGTTTCTTTTCGTTTGGATCGACATCGATTGTCGAATACTTTCTCTCACGGCGTCTAGCTTCGGCGAATGCCTTCACAGAACTGGGTGGTGAGATGGATCGAGGGTCCATAGTTTCAACCGTTCCTCGACGGCTTCTCTCACTACCAACGTTTCGGTTCAAGATGGAGCCTCCAGTACCCTCCTCGTCAATGACTGCGTGCTCAAAGTCTCTCGTGACAGTTTGCAAGAGTGCATTATTAACTAGGGTCAAGTCCGGGTTTCCTGAAGAGCCAACGAACATACTTCCGGCAGTACCTCTTCGAGAGCGTGGTTCCCTTTGGACCGAGGCGGACTGATGTCGGTGATCATCCAATTCAGGAACTGGTGTATCGAACCCAGTGTTGAGGATATCGTCGTGGTCAGACATTGCGCCTGCTACTCTATTTATTCAAAAGGTGTCTATACTTTAAAAAAGTCAGCCTCCGTTTTCCAAGTGCAACAGGCATGATAGCTCACATTATCTTTTTCTTCTTAGGTCTTGAGCGCCCTCAGATCAATATGGAGGGTCGCACCGAGCGCCCACCGCGTGTTGGCGTCAACTTGATAGTGGACTTTGCACAGGTTTTCGACCTGTACACAGCTTCCTATGGTTCTGTAAAAACCACCGCAGCCCAGCTCCTCGCGCAAAAGTGTTTCTGATTTTCTTTGATATTATGGTATGGTATTATGAGCGCTTAAGGGCCAGTTATGGAGGTTTCTTGTCGCCTCCGCAGTACGCCCAGCTTTTTGGGCCGAGGAGCGGACGGATAAAGGAAAACTGGTGATGTACGAGTCCCGCCAACTTGGTGGTTGTTGTATATTGAGGCCGCCGAGGCGATGTGGTAGGGAGGGGGTGGTCGGTCGGGCGGTGAGGAAGAACTGTCTGTTCTATTCTGTTATCTGGAGTCTATCGGAACGACTTCTTGGTATTTTGTGTGTGCTGTAGTATGGGAGAGTGTGGTTGGTGAGCGTAGTATAGTCTGGTCGTGCGAAAAGTTTGGCAGGAAGACTGCAGTTTTGTGGGTGACCACAATGACGTGCAGGCAAAGGGCTAGATTCGGTCCGCCACACGCAGAGATGCGGTTGCACGGTGAATCAGTTGGTGTCGTACTGTAAGACGGAAGGCCTTCAGGATTGCTGTGAATGTGTGATCGTGGTTTGTTGGGTTTCTTGGGGTTGTGGTTCAAAACCTGAGGTTGGTTGGAAGAAAGAGAAGAGGAGTCGGAGCTGGAGGGGGAGTAGTGAGTCGGAAGTTTTTTTTGAGAGTGCAGGGTAAGGCATGGTAAGGCACGGTCGGGTAGCTCAAAAATCGCTCATGACAACGCTAATTGGTCCGTTCGAGGTTCTTTTTGGCGGTCCGACTTGGCCGACTAGCTGATGTATGCAGATGCCGATCCAGGAACTGAGACGGGAAGGTACTCAAGTACGAAGGTTCGAGGCTTCGTATCAACCAATCTGCCTTTGGCTGGGTCTAGGCGAAACAGATCATGCTTTGCTATCCTCAAGATCAGACAAGCAAAAAGGCTATGGCAGCAGTATGTAGCCATACTTACTTCGTAGTACTATATGAGAGTCTGGCCTGTTGCTTACTTTGGTACTTTGGAATCCTACTCATAGTATGGCCACGAATGAGTTTGTTTGCATATGAACCTGGTAATATTCATAAGCTTGGGCACTGGCACCCAGTATTCAGCTCATGATAGACACAAAAAGCAAATGGCAGTGGGTTTCCTAGACGAATCTGATTCAGGGGTTGAACGAACTATACAATCTCAATTAAGACCACTAAATGAACCAGTGGATAATACTTTATTTGAGCAAAAGTTATTGTTTGAGGTCATCTTACAATACAGTACTTGAGTATATCCACTTCATCGCACTGTCTAGGGTTACCTGGGGGCAGCCTTCTTGAGAGCTTCAGCCTCATCCTATCACGTGTAGCCAATCAGACAATCCGCCAGACAGCGCAAGGCAAGAAGGCTTAAGGCCAGTTAAGGCCAGACAGACTCTCAGTAACTAAAATCCCATTCAAAGCCAAACCACCACAACCACAATCATGGCAGATCAAATACTAGACCAAATCCGCGATGTCGCCGAAGGTCAAATCGTAAGTTCGAAATTACCCTATTTTCCAAGTATCTGTGCTAACTAGATTCCAGGACTTCGAAGGTCAAAGGTTCACTGAGTTCCTATCTACAGCTCTACTCTCATTAGTTGGCGTGAGTTGTATAAGTTTGCAGATCCATATAGCTCTATTCCTGGAAACTAATTCATTGATTGTACAGGCGTTATCCTTCATCATCGGATTCATTAAACAAGACATCAAGCTCGCTCTAATGATTGGGTTGGGAGGAACTGCTCTCACAATGTTCATCATCGTACCACCTTGGCCTTTCTTCAATAGACATCCCGTCAAGTGGCTACCAGCAGGAGGTGTGGACAAGTCTTCCTCAGAGGGAATCACGGTGGATGGGAAAGTTGTGGGATGACAAATAGAGAAAGTCATATAAGTCTGGCGTTTAGAGACCCGGAGTCTCGGGAAATATGGAAAGAATGATTTTGCAGAAAATTCGCAAAGTCATCTTTGTATGGATTGTATGAGAGAACATTCGCAAAGATGCTGTGCGCTATGCCATAAACATCAAATTCTCTATGCCTGCGTGAACGCCGCCACCATAATATCTCCCTTCACAAGGACGCCTGTGCTGCTCTGGGTTTTGGAGAAAAGAAAAAAGCTGCTTCGCTTCCCACACATGATGCCCCTTGCCTGGGAACCATATTCATTTTCATATAACCATGCCAGGTTGTTCTCCCCCAATTGTGCCATGATTGTACCATTATTGCTCCTATTTCAATCCTCTAAGTAGGGCCTATCGACCATACTTCTGGAACTCCCAATCTCTGTTGTCCAAGGGGCAAACTTGACGAGTCTTGAGCCAACGGGAAATGCAGTGGAAATGGAACGCGTGCTAGATTCAAGTTAGTTGGGACGATGTTTGTGGATGGGGTTTGCGACTTACATTACAGATACCCCAAGCGACAGTACATTCTTCGCTGGTGGCTGACGCTTGGTTTGCTTGACACTCGATGCCTGTAGACTATGATTAGCATCATTCTTCATGAGATGTGCCTTGGATAACCACTTACAGAGATCCATGATGTGGTTTCGACAAATAGCACAGTTGTCGACCACAATATCCCAAGCCCACAAAGCTACAGCATTCCACTATTTGAAAGTTAGTATCTGCGCATAGCAAAGTAAGCAGATCCGGTTTACCGTACCTTCTTAACTTCGAAGCGTTTCTTGCCATCTGCCCCGTCATCTGTCGCGCCCTTTGACTTGCTCGCAGCCTTTCTGGCTGGTGCTGCTGGTGGTACGTCTGTCATATCAACGTCTGCCATGATAGTGTCGTGAAGAATTAGTTGAGAGATTCAAATATGAGGTCTCCGAAGATGCTTGGAGGGGTAGGTCGAAGCCGAAGGCGAGAGGAAGCTGGACTCTTGGTAGATGCACACCAAGCGATATCGTGAGAAGAGTGGGAGGATTCACAAGATTAGGGTGGCTTGGAATACCTGGGCCTTTTTATCCTCTGCAGGTGAATAGGTTGGCGCAGGATGGTCTTGAGGGTGATTATGTATGGAGTAGCTTCGCGGTGGATTTGGTACTGTACAAGGCAGGCGAGGCAGGCGAGGCAGGCATCGCAAGACCCCTGTCGGTTGAGGAAGCTGCAGAAACAGCTTCCGCAACTCTCTATGATACCAATTCAGAACCGTTGGCTCAGTTGAAAACAAAATTCCATTTCCACATATCATTCATTCTTGTATTACGGGTGAGTAGTTAGAGACGAAATGGTCATTTTTCTAATCAGAAAACCTCCATTATATGTAAGATTACTATTTGGAAAGTCAGGCTGAAGCTGGGAGGGAGACTCGAGTACCAGCTGATCGCCAAGCGATTAGATCTTTTAGATAAGGGACATCGAAATCGCGTCTTCCGCATCGTGAACCCTCTAAAACGAGACAACAAAACCCGATCGATTCAAATCCCATCACTACTACATGACCACATCAATTAATTACAAGACATAAATCTCAGCATGTCTCATTCATCCGACTCCAACAGTGGTGATCTGGTCGATGGCCAACTTCTCGACGACGAAATAACATCTCTTCAAGCCCAAAGTAAACAACCCCACCACGTCCCAATCCCTCATACTAACATGAAAAGTATCATCTCTCCAAGCGCAAAGAAAACTCCAAGCAAGCGCAATTCTCTCCTCTCAAGCCACCAAAGCAACCCTCCTCCGTCTCCAAAAGTCGCAACAAAAGTCCAGTTCCCAGTCCCGAGAATCAAGCTCCCAATCCACTCCATCCGACATACCCAGCGATACCAATCCTCTACTCTCCGCATCAAAAGACCAATTATTGCACAACCAGCAGAATCTATACCGAGCATGTGGATCCATAACCGCCTTTCGAATCCGTGATCCAGACCCCAATGCTGTCGACAATGGAAATGTCCTCGGTATACGAATCGACGTATCAACCTCCGGGAAATTCATAACACCGTTCTACGTCATATTGAACAAACCATTTCCAAACTCCCACTTATTACGAGTCCATAGACATACACTACCACCATACATCCCACTCGCCGAACTAGCGCAAAGACATCTACCCACCGGCAAAGGCGCCGTCGCAATGAGCACCTCCAAAAAAACCGACGGCGCGAAGCGACAAGATCTCAAGCGCTTCGTAAGGGCGCTACGGAAAGAAGTCGTAGCGTATCATAACCGCGTTACTGCCATCAAGGGTCTGAGGAAAGAGTTCAAGCTCGATGAGAAGGTGTCGGCGAAGGGGAAGGGCAGGGAAAAGATTCTTGAGGATATTAGTGCTGCGGATGCGGAGGCGAAACAAATAAGTCTTCGATGGGTTGATGGGAAGGTTGGACGGATCGTGGTGGATGATGGAGGACCTGTTGTGGGATGTGTGATTATGGGGCCAGAAGGGAGGGATAGGGAGACAGAACGCGCCGTTTTGAAAGGGAAAATGGAGGATATTGGGGAGGGATTAAGAGCGGGGATTTATTGATTGATGAATTCTTGTGATGCCGCGAATTTGCAGAGTTTGACTGGAGTTCATGTTTTGCTGGATGTTAGGCGATACCCTTGGGATGATTTGTTTTGCTTTGCTTTCTTGCACATATCGTGTGTTTCTTCACAGGTTGTATTTATGGTTTCTCTGAGATGATGGAAAATAATTGCCCCGCTTGAATCACGTTCTTTTTTTGTTGTTGTTATCATACGGAAGTTCTTATCCCTCTCTCACTTTCCATCGTAAGACACACAACTTAACTCACCATTCTATATATCCCAAAAAGCCATTCGCCATCACAGCTCGCTTATTTCAAGACACTTACCCGCATACCCTTCTTATAATACCTTTAAAAGGAGGTATCAAACCATCAACCCACCAACCCACCAGCCCATCAACCCATTAAAGCATTTAAAAACCAAAATATCAAATCATCAAAACACCCTAACCAACCACAGACCTAAAATGATACAAAACCATAGTCTATCTTGATTCTTGAATCAAAGACACAAGTACATAGCAGTAAAGATGGGGAAAAGTCGTCTAAGGACGGGGATATCGTACGCTCTTAGAGTTATTATTATTGTTATTGGTATTGGTAGTAGTAAGGTAGTGTTATATGTGGACATATTCCTATAGGCGATCTTTTGGTTTGTATGTTGGGAATGGTGTTAGGGATAGTGTCGTTAGGGGATTGACGTAGAGGGGGTGGGTTGATGCATATGTGATTTGGGGGAAGGGGGGGGTGGTAGTAGCAGGAGAGCGGAGTGGGGAGGGTGTGCTATATCATACCATATATAGGAAAATGTGAGGATTGGGGGAGCTGTTTGTTGGATAGATGTAAAGTAGATAGGTAGGAGGGTAGGAAGTAAGTAGGAAGTACTGAGAATAAGAAATGGAGGGATTGGTGCTCTATAAGGACATTCATAGGGAATTTTTGTCACTCATTACTAAACATCATATACATATAGACAATATTATTCTGGACCACGATATACAAAGGATATTCATTATCTCGGAAGTACTTAATCCAGTAAAATTATACAATATCGATTAATTATGTATGTACAAACTACAGACCCGTACCGTAGGTCATTCACTTTCACATCTTCTCATTCCTCATAACGATGATAATTCCTGAGAACCTCTAGACGCATCTGTCTCTTCGGTGCTCGCCTTCCGGTCATGAGCTGGAATTGAGCAATTGCCTGTTCGGGCAGGACTTGCAGGCCATCGACGATGACCCAGGCTTGTTTGGTTTCCTCGCGCACGACTCGTATTTGTCGGAGGAGTGGACTGTCGAGGGGGAGGTATGCTAACTGTGTGGAGGTCAGTCGTTATTTCGATAACTATTATGAGAGGGGAAATTAGGGGAAAGGTTAGGATAGATAGTTAGAACATACCTCGATGACAACACCACCCGTTGGACTTTGAAGCCAGTGCAAAGGTATCTCGAAATTTGCAGGTGGTTGGTCTTCGACAATGCGATTGGGAACGCACGAGATGATAATAGTAGGCTGTTTGAATCCTTCGGGCCATTCATCCGTTCTCGACTTCAAGACGCGAACAATCTGTCCATCATTACTTAATCCACTGGCCCAAGAGTTAAAATGCGAGGCGACTTCTTCTGCATGTTCGATTGTACGATTAAACATAAAGATCTTTCTGCAGCCAAGTTGAATCAAGGCGTATATCGCAGCTCGTGCCATACCTCCTGCTCCAATGACCAAACCCGTCGTTTTAGATGGCTGGACGACATTTCTGGGAGATATGTTAAGTCGGAGGCAATTGAAGATTCCGATGAAGTCTGTGTTATCGCCATAGTAGGCTACCACTTGGCCGTTTTTCCCACGTTGATTGGCTTGTCGAAGTAGTGATTGGATACTGCTATCCAACGAGGCATTGTTTGGTAGCATGCGGAGAGGCAAAAGAGTATTGACTGCCCCGATGGCTTTTGCATGGTAACTCATTGCAGCGATTTGACTTGTGATTTGGACTTTAAAGGGCTGTGTTATAGCTGCTCCACCAAAGTTTGGGTCTTGACAGAGTCGCTGAATATCTTCTAAAGAATGTACTTGAAGAGACTGGAAGTCGTTGGACATCCCACAGACTTTGTAGGCGGCGGTATGCATTGCTGGGGAGAGACTATAGAATACACTGGCACCGAGATGGTAGAAGTGGAGAGAATTGAGGATTCCAGATTGATATAGAGCCTGAACTGCTTCTGCTGCCGTTGGAAGGAATTGACGAAGTTGAGCTTTACTGACAGTGGTTTGCATCAGAGGATGCGTAACAGGAGTAAATATACGGTTCGCAATCAGAGACGGCCTTCCATTTTCTCCTAAATTATAAGCGATAACTGGTAGATGGCCTGGAATCGATTCAATTTTCGATAGGAAGGCTTTGACAGCATCGTTGTCGCTTGCTTTGGAAGTTGATCGAACATATCGTACAATATCACATCCTAGCGATTTCGCCCTTCGATATTGAATCATGCTATTTTCATCATCCCACCCCCATGGTCTCTCTTCCATCGCCAGATAGTGGCCAATCACTTTCGTAGGACCTGAACAATTGACCAACTTCGATATGTATTCTGAAGAATACTTGAGGTCCACCACTATATATTCAACGCCAAGTCGTAGCCCACACTCGAGCAGTTCAAAATAAGCACGTTCCTTTTCTGGTATTGGCGAAGCCGTTGAATCACCAAAGACGTAGTCTTCAACATGAAATATGATTGGAACACCAAGTTTTCTCCGAACGTTGGCGACCTGCTTCGACATCATGGTCTGAAGATTGGGTGACCAAGAATCGACTTTTAATTGAACAGCATCAGCGCCAGCTTCCAGTTCTTCCAAGTCCAAATCAGGACAAGTCGACAACCGAATCGACAAGGCGTAAGTATACGATCTACACTCGGGGGGAAGTGCAGCTATTGAGAACGGACTCGAAAGGCTGCTCCTGATCACTCCTTGTCCAGTCAACAAGTCAAGAAAGTTGGAGAAATCTTCTTTGACATATTTGAGCCTGGAAGAAACGCTTCCAAGACCATTTTCTGGCGGCGTATCCATGCCATCGCAACTCGCATCATATAGATTATAATATTCCAAATTGGAACAGCTTCGATGTGACAAATCCACGCTCTCTAATCGAATGGCTTCTTCTTCGCTAAGCCTCAACAAAGATCGTATTCTGTGACGCGCTCGCGTGACATAGATGACGGGGTTCGTTTTTGAGAATTCCCGTAAAGCTTTTTGCGCCTGGTTGGAGAGCGATCCCATTCCACACTCAATGACACATCCTGATCGATGCTGGTCCAGCATCTGCTTCAAAACGTCGACATTTTTCCTGTAGAAATCACGCTTTCCATATCTTTGAAGAAAATCGGCCCTCGAGGTGCCAGTCGCTTGTTGAAAGAAATGGTCTTCCGTGATAAATCGACGGCCTAGATGAGTCGCTCCAATGAATCCCAAAGTCCTCTTTCCTGCCCCCCTGGATCCGATGAGGACAATTGATGCATTGGGCAGGAATTGCCGGGCATTAGGCGTTTGTGGACGGGAGTCCATTCTAAGAGGTGATCCCAGCTCCAGCTGAGTCTGCGTGGCTACCGCCATCGCGTGTTAACGAGAGGAAGGGATGGAACTGTATTGGAGTGCTATGAAGGAATGAAGCGAAGACCAGAAGTCCTTGGGAGCGCCATACGGAGTAGATGATGGTGGTTGAAACATCTCTCCATTGAAGCTGTATCGAAAATGAGATGACTTCAGAGGGTGGCGGATAAGATATTTTCCGGAGAGTCTGGGGAAAATGAGGCGGCCCGTAGCCGTTGATACATTAACCGCCAACACAGAGGAGAAGCATACCTTACCCATACCCGGGTAGGTGGTAATACTTATACAATACACGCCATGCTCTGTGAGACCCGTACTTGCACAATTACCAAGATTACAAGAACCAAAATATAATTGACAGGCAGGCAATTGCTGCTAAGAAGACGTTTGTGGACGGTTGAGTTGGGTCGCGGAAGAGCGCCGCTCTTTCCCCAAATGTAGTGTGGGGTAACCTGGTGAACGGGGAAGGGCAAGTGAGCTCTGTCTATTCTTGGCCTCGATGCAAGTTCACCGCAAACCTACCTACCGAAGGTATACATACTACTCGCGGAGCCATGTAGACGAGACGACTTGCAATCGAACGTCAAGAGAGAGAGACCTGCCACCAGCCACCTGTTCGCCCCGAGGACACTGGACATTGGATATTGCAGTGTCTGGACGGCGCAGAACGACACCAAACACCGAAAGCAAAACCAAAACAAGCCCAGCCACGGTGACTGCGCTCTCGACTTGAATTCCGTTTGCGCATGCGCATGCGTACGATGCCGTGCCGGTTCACTGGGGTTGCCGATCAACGAGGGCGCGGAGGACAAGGACGGTAGTATCAAAGTCAATAGGAAACAATGCTTGGTGGTACGAATGATACAATGGAAATCGATAGCGGAAAACCAAAAAAGGGCAAGCAAGGCGCGCCCCGCAAACGAGTCTCCCAAGCCTGCGATAGATGCAGAAGTCGAAAGGACAAATGTAACGGGGGAAAACCAAGTTGCTCGACTTGCGTGCAGAATGGAAGTACTTGCTCATATGATGCAAACGTCAAGAAGCGAGGTTTGCCTGAGGGTTATGTGAGGGGCTTGGAACGACTCTGGGGACTCGCCATTCGAGAGGTACAAGATGTGGAGGAAAATATGCTGGAAGCCCTCAACCTCAACGGAGCTGAGGCGGGCAAGAATAATGGCAAAATTACGCCTCTCAAGGCCTGGAATGACGAAACGAGCTCGGAAAATCTGGTCAAGATTTGGCGTACATCGCAACTTTCTCAGGAGCTAGAGAGGCTGCTTTCTTCTTTGGAGCCTGTGGGTGTTGCACAAAGCAACAAGAGGAAAAGACTAGATTCCGACGTTCAATTACCCGAAATTAGAAAGGCGGTTTTCGGAAGTCCTCCAGCTACTCCAAGTCCAGCCATCTGGGAGAAGCAGATGCATGCAGAGTACCCAGCTCTACCAGACAATGACCACAATGGCTCTGTTGCCTACCAAAATTCAAGGGAGAATGGCCATGTGGCTAATGAGCTGAGAGACCAAACTTCCATTCTTACACCGTCCCACATATCTAATGGTTCTCATGCATCTCAAGGTGGAAGCGCTTCGAACGAGATACCGGAACTCCCTTCTGAGACTTGGAATCTTCTAGATGTCTACTTTTCCTATACTCACCCCTGGTTGCCAATAATTGAGAAGCATGATCTTCTCCGAACTTCTTACCAGTATTCTCAAAGCCACAACTCCTTAGGTTCTGGAGACCATGCTGCATTATGGGCTGTGATAGCGTTTGCAAAATTTCAGCATAGAGCCATTAACAAGATTCCTCGTGCACAAGGTTCCGTCAGAGAGATGGTTTGGACTGCGGAGAGAATCTATTCGCACGCGAGAACACTTATACCAAACGAGGAGGGCAATTTTGAACTAGGCCATGTTCAAGCGCTTCTCATCTTAACGCTTGCCAACATGGGAACGGGCGAATTTTCCAGAGCTTGGTCGTTGATTGGTCAAGCCGTTCGTGCAGCCATTGATCTTGAATTAGACACGGATGCAGAGACAATCGTCAACAAACCCAAATCTAGATCAAAACACGTATATCTAGGCTGTTTTGTCTTGGATACTTTGGTCGCCGCTCGTTTGAGACGCCGTCCACACCTAAGGTCACAAGATATAGACCTGGTTGGAGGCATTGATGAGGATGGTTTAGAAGAGTGGGATCCTTGGACCGATTGCCTTTCAGTACGAAAAACCAATCCTGGGAGCTCTCGCGTTCCATCGTCCATTCTCAGCACTTTCAACCGTCTGGTACAAGTCTTGCAGGTCTTGAATGAAGTTATCTGCACCTCATCGAATGCCATAGGTACTGGCATACATGCCAGCACAAAATTCCTGGAAAAGCTGCATGCTTGGAGCCAGAGGCAGCCATCACCACTGTATTCTGAAACTTCTTTCATAAACAGCGAGAAAGCTATTCCATTGTTGCCGCATCATTATCACTTGCATACGGCATACTTTGCTACCCTGGCAAAGTCACAAATGCTTGCCTATAACCCTGGTCAAGAAAATGTGAGCTTGGAGCCTTCCTCCCAGACAGCACGTCAAATATCTGAACTTCTCAAGAGATATTCTGATACGTTCGGCTTGTTGATCGTTCCGCCTACATATGAATATTTCGTTAAAAGCGCCTATGACATCGTTAGCGAAGTCCGAGGTAGCATAGAGAACACCCATATCGTAATCAATGATTGGAAACACAATCTTGATATCTGTTTGAATGACATGGAGCCAGCTTGGTCAGCATTCGATTCATTGCGAGGCTCTGTTATAGGAAAGCCCTCGAACCAAGCACGCCGACAAAGCGAAGTTGCGTTTGATCTGATCAACGGAATGAACTCAATGGCAGAAGGATCAGCCTCTGTCCAGACACCTCAATCAGCCTTCGAAGTACAGGCTGCATATAGTCCTCAATTCCCTAACTTTGGTGGAACAACACGTCATCGAACCCCCAGCCATCAGCAACCGCCAGCTCAGAAAACCCCTACATTTGGAGCGTCGTCAGGGCCTGGCCTTCCTTTACCACCCATGTACCAAGATGTTCGAGCAACTCTACGAAATAGCACCACTACAAACCAAACAACACCCACCATGACGAATAATCATACACGACAGGCATCGAGGTTGAGCTTCACTTCGTCGGATGTCGCTTTAGATCCGATACAAAGCAATGCTTCGGTGATATCAGATAATGATACCGATCCTTTGGCCAATGAGTTCGCGGCTCTGGATGCCATGGAGTGGTAAGTTTTATTCTTCAGGGGGAAAAGACAGGAGTGTGAAGCATAATCCTGACTCTTCGCAGGAGTGGAAACTGGGACCAGTCACTTCTAAATTTAGGCTTCACGGATCGCGCAAATATGAATCAAGACTTCTACTCCTTTTGTCAGGAGCCGGATCCCCTACAGGCCAATAATGTTTTCCAACAGTTAGTTGCTAATTCTAATGCTGAGGTGACTACCTTTTTCGATGGCTCTGCGTTGGGAAATATGTCCACGGATCCTGGACGGGGTTTCGTCACTGGGGATGAGAATGAGGGTATTGAAGCTGGGCAGATATTGCAGGCGCTGAGCGCGGCTGAGGAACCGATCGGGACCATGATGGATGGTCGATAGGGGAATAGGGGGAGAGAACATGTAGATACCCTGGCTGTTGATCATGTATGATAGGATCTTGAACGATTATGATATTTTTTTTCGAAAAACTAATACAACTTTTCGATTTGGCAAAAGTGAGGGGGGGCGTAATGGGTAATGAGATTTAGTTTCTTGGCATTGGCATTGGCATTGGTATGTAGAGAGCAGAGCGGGGAGTTTGTTTGAATATACGATATACCATGAAATCCGGATCTTCCTAGCGTGTCGTTGTGCTTTCTTAACAAGAAGGGATTGTGATATATGTGTGCTATGCATGTCTATCCTTTTGAACTTGGTGGTCTGTGGCCATCAAGGTAGATGGATATCTTGTAAGTTGTAACATATTGTACCACTGCCTTGGATTGCTTGAAACTTGAAAGTGAGGGATTGAGTTGGATTTGGTTACTGTGACGAAGTGACGAAGGAGTATGATACTGTAGGAAAGAGTATAAGTTGTAAGAAACCTGGTTATTATGCCCGTGCTACCACTTAGGGTGTGGAAGCTGGATGATTGGTAAGTTCTAATCGTTATTTGAGGGGGCTTTGGCGCTTTACTCTCTTTTCGTTGAGCAGAGTAGGAGCTGGTTGTCTACTTGCGTACCCTAGACAAAAGTAACCGCCTATCCCCAGGAGTGGTAACGACTTTGTCATAGAGTGTATAAAAAGATCGAGGACGAGAATAGGCGCTTATTCCTGGGTGTATATGGGGGGTCTCGCTTAGTAGGTTAGGGGGGATTTTTTTATTTTAGAAATTGCATGTGTTAGATCTCCCTATAGGAGAACTAGACTACACCCTTTCCAGGTTCAAATATTGTAATAAGAAAAGAAAAGGACTTTGGTTGTTTACATGATATATTCCTATCTACCTATCTACCATTGCACTTGGATTTCGTGCGGTCATCCCCCGAGATGTCCCTGAAAAGAAAGTTTGTATTAAGAAAAGCCAACAGACATCCAGCTTCTAAGACCAGGTTAGAGTTCTGCCTATCCTCGACTTTGATGATTTATCATACCCATCAAGTACCCAAGCGACATTGCTTCCTCTAGAGAAGTACCCTACACTATGGTTGAACAGACGGTCCAGTCTCATATTGAGCCCTCATCAAGACACATGCAAAAGTTAACCCTAATTCCTACGCTTTTGCAAGCTGAGAAAATCGGTTCCAAGTGTGTTGGACGTGGTACACTCGTTAGAGCTGGATTTGTACCAGGATCCGGGAAAGGAGGACCGATGAGCGTGATGGTCTCCAGAGCGAAGTTTCCCAAAGCCTTCTGTTCCACAAGCTCGGCCGCCCATCGAAATTGTTCTTCTACATACTTCACGACCTCGGAAGAGATTTCCGCATCTTCTGGAAGTCCCCGCTTTTGGATTTCCTCGATAACTTTCGACTCTAGGAAGGTGTCGCATTGGTCGCGGCCGAAATATAACTGAAGAAATGTTAGCTTTTGGGTGTTTATATTTTCGATCTTGTTTTTGGACTTACATTGAGGGTCTCGAGTGATTTGGGGAGATGTTTGTAGAAGCCTGGGGTGGGAGCTGACAAAGATACAGCTCCGAGGGGTAGAAAGAACATTGAGTTGACGGCAAGATGTCGAAGTGCGGTAAACTCGCTCAGATCAAGGCTTTGTGCTATGTCTCGCCACCAGAAAAGGCTATAAGCTTCATCCTTCATCATCGGATGCAAATATAAGGTCTCAAGTGTTGGTGATACGGGTTCGAGTATTTGTGACATACTGATGCCTGCGCCGGTTGTCTCATCACGCGATAGCGCAAGGAGATAATAGTACCAGCGTACGGCCTTCAAGTTTTTGCATCGTGCGAGTATCGCTGCAATAAGTGGTGATACTTCACATATCATATCAGGTCCTCCAATCTCGATTGATTCGAGTATCGTATTTTGAAAGAGCGGTTCCGTGAGATCATTATCATTGTAAGTGAGGCAGCTCCCTTGTTTGAGACGCAAAAACCGAAGGTTCCGATATGATAGAAGGTGGAGAAGATGCGAAGCTGTGAAAGAATGGCAGATTTTATCGATCTCTAGCTTTACCAGAGTATCTCGGTTAGAGGGCCAATTATGATGATACCCAAAAAATATGGATGGGATGTGTAGTTTTCGCAGATTGGGAAGCTTCTCAAGAATCGTAGCTGCCAAAAACAAAGTCCTAGATACCACACGGATACCAGCTGTCATATCGAGAGTAAAATCAAAAGAACCCACAAGGTCGCCACAAGACTCGAGAGCTGGAAACCCCCGTTCAACGTCTGAGCTGATACAAGACTTGAGTGTGACATGCTCATAGAGGATGGGTTTGACAAGCTTGTTGATGGTTTTACTAGTCAGCATAAGACTGAGAGCCGTCTTGTAATCCATGTGAGTTCGAAGTTTGACATCGTGGTCCCACTCGGCGGATAGGCACCAAGAGATGATCTGGTCAACCAGCTCGTTTGGAAGCTTTTGGATGAGCATTTTCGCAGTTGGTGTTAGTGTTGATGAAATGATGATGATGATGATGATGATGAGGAAGCGATGATGAGAAGGCGTTGTTGTTTTGTCGGAGAGGTTGGCCCAAAACAACTTGGAATAGCTTGAGCATAGCACAATATATAAGGAACTCCTTTGGGTGCTGTTTCTGTGTAATTACAACAAAACCAAAGTGAACAGTTGCTACATCAAGATGCTGTGGTAGCTGTGTGGTAGTACAAAAAGCCTCTTCAGATCTATGGTGAATACTTCACTGTTCATACTCCTTACTACTGTAACAGTATGACGTCGCTACTACTACGACACTTTATTCACCGCTATCCCATCCGCCCAAAGAATAAACCACTTGTTACAAAAAGGTTTACAGCCAATCTATAATCACACAAGCAAAGTGAAGAGTCAAATACATTTCCTATTCTTTGAGGTTTGAAAATTCTATCATACCAAGTTTTACAGACAGGAACAATCCCTTCTTCTCTTGAAGTTTTCACCTTCCATCTGTTATATAAGGGCCAATAAGTACTCTAGGATCAGAATCAAAACCAGCGAGTCCTAAATTGAGCTACTCAACCTACTATGACTTGTATGCAAGACAGTCGGGCGAAACTCTGTACACGCCCTAAGAACCTGTTATACGATATCTCCTAGAAAAATTGACTTGACTTTCCTAAATCACTCAGTGAACCATTTTAATTGTACGAGACATTTAGGATAATATCTTCTTCTAACCTAGGGGTATACAGAGTTTCGCCCGACCGTCTTATAGTATTCATATATTTAAAAGAAGAGACATTTTCACACTGTCTCCCAGCTGCCCAAAGTTATAAACCTCAACATCGTTTCATTCCTATCTCTTACTTAATGAGTCTTCAACTTCCGATAGGCAAAACACTTGATCGGGTTTGGCCTTAATGTTCTCGCTAATTAAACGAGAGGGGTGCTATCTGCCATACCTAATTAAGCGTTCTGCCTACCGGTAGTGGTGATTTACGGAGGAAAGGATATGGGATATCTAGTCTTCTAGAGGTTTGGCTAAATCTAAGCGGTCGAAGCGACTGGTAGTTATAACCTCCAGAGGTTCGGTGCGACTTGCTTCGCACTACTCAAGTAGCACTCTACTCTACTCAGGTACTTGGCTGCTAAAGTAGAGCAGGGTAATAATTCACTTCAGTAGAGCAGAGTAGGTGCCGAGTAGGATACTACTCTATGTTACTTTACTCATTATGAACGCTGCCTGTGCCCTCGTACGTATATATCATCTAAAGTAAGTGAATTGGAGCTGAAAAGACATACCCACGACCCCTTCCGAGTTTTCCTGTTCATAACCTCAAATAACACGTCCAAGTCCCGCCAATCGACATTAGCGGGAAGAACTTCTGGCAGATTAGTATTGGGGCGACATTTCATTCACTCGCTCGCTCACCAACCAGCCAACCAGCCAACCAGCCAACCACTACCCTCCTACCCCCTCCCCACGGTCNTTAGTATTGGGGCGACATTTCATTCACTCGCTCGCTCACCAACCAGCCAACCAGCCAACCAGCCAACCACTACCCTCCTACCCCCTCCCCACGGTCCCCACAGTCCCCACCCCCGAAGTTCTCCCTTTAGAACCCTAAATAGCACATCCAACTCACGCTATTCGACCTAGCGTAATTGCGGATTGCACTGGCACATGGGCGCAACAGTCAGGAGGAAGACGTTAAAATTCCGCAAGCCGCGGCCTATCGGAGCGAAGTAATCAACCGACCAGAAATGGTGTCTGAGTTTCCTTAAGATTCCCGTACAGTTCTTGTACGGCTGGAAATTAAGTTTTTGCAGTTTTTTTCTATTGTTTTGGCTTTTTTGGGGTTGTTGTGCTCTTTTGGACTAGTGCTGTTGCTTAGCAGCGACGTGCTTCGTACGGAGGGTAAGGGAATGGACTACTATAATGCCTGGTCATATGACTAGGCTAGCTTAGGCCACCGAGTTAGGACTAGCGTGATCTATGCAAGTACGAGACTTCAAGTCGCTTGACCTAATATTACAACTGAGACTACTCTTTAGAAACATGCTGACTGATAGTACCTATGAAAGAGAACAAGAAAGTCAAAAAACAGGTGTAGAATATACAGTGGTAGGTCAATGAGTTATTCTTGGTTGATAAAAATATTGTTTTATGTACAATACATACGCTTAAAAATATCTATAATATAGAGACATTATGCGAATTCGCAGAAAGGATTGTTATCACTATTTGATTGCGGCTATGGACATCACAGCCTCAGTCCCCAGTCCAGTAGACTACATACCGTAATGCCTACTATAATACTCGCCTGACAAGGAGGTAGTACCCCACTCCAAACCACCCTGTTTATGATCCGCAATGCCTCTCCTAGAAGTCATCAAAACCTCCAACTGATCCTCAACCGTAACCCAAACCTTCTTCATCTTGCACAAAGCAGCATGAGCAATAGCCCCCTTCCACTCTTGAAACCAAGCATCTTCATCTTGAACTGCGCATAGCCTGCCATCTTTACCTCTAGGAACATTTGCATAGGGCCACACCGATTTCACAATCTCATATCTATGAGGTCCGTTGGTGAAGATTTTAGTCATGCTGGCGATGAAGCGGGGTCTCTTATCTTCTGGGGAGACTATGACTCTGGTGTGAGTAGCGGGGAACTTTATGGAAACCCGGCCGTTGTAGCCTATGCTTCTGAAGAGAAGGTAGAGACGGTCTTCGAGGTGTGATGTATCCCAGTTGATCATGCATCGTTCAAGGACAAATCTGAGTTTGGCCTTAGTATTTACCATAAGAAAGTAAGAATCAAGTGGATTGGAAAACATACTCTTTCGCAACCGTATCATCCTCACAATACCTCTTTACCCAACTCTCTAAACCTTCCAAAGCGGGCTCCGTCGATTTCTTCGTCTTTCCTCTCCACCCATTTTCTCCAGGCGGCATAACGTGGATATAATTCATCCTCTGTCTCTCATCATCCGGAACAAATAGTCTCATCATATTAAGCCTCAAGTCAAAATCAACAATCTCTGCACCCGTACTCTTTCCAATAATCCGTATTTCTGGCTTAGGAGGTACAGAAGAGAGACGTTGAACGAGGCTCAGGAGGGAAGTTCTTTGGGTATTCAGTTGTTTATCATGAGACGTTATCGTGGTCTGGTTCTCTGATAATATGAATGTTTGAGGTATATAAAGACTGTAATCTAGTTTGGGAATACCCGTGGAGTGCTGCGGTTGTTTTTGTTGGGCTAGTTGAGACTCAAGTGTTTGGGTTGTGGTTGGTACTGGAGTGGCTGGGCCAGAGTATGGAGGAGGTTTGTGGGACCCTTCATCTTGTTGTCTTTCTGGATAACTAGATGATGTTGCTTCTGTCTGTGAAGGATTGTTGCTAGAGTGCGAGGCGCCCTTTTCAGGCTGTGATCCAGGTTTCATAACGAATCGAAGTGGTTTCCGGCAACCAAAACTGAGTGTTTGAATTATGACTTCTGGAGTTGCTCTCTCCAAATATAATAAGCAGCGAGGTTCCCCCCTTTCTCAGGTGTGGCGCAGCTGTGTTGCCTGCATACTGTGTGCACTTTGTTGCCTGCCTTTCAATGGCAAATTACGCGGTAGCTCCCTCGGTAAATCATCGCATCAAGATCAACATGAATCTATCTAGTGGTATATTTTCTGTTTTCATATTCCCCAACATTAATCTACCAGCATGGTATCATCTCCAAATTCAGGACCTGCGGGCTCAATGGCCACTCCCCTACCTCTACCCTCTAACAACTCTCTTCTGACTTCAGGGCCGATTGCTGAGTGTCCCTTTGTTAAGAGTAAATCCAGTAATGCCTCCCTCTGATCTTCAGTGATATCATTTCGATATCTCTGCGCAAATGCTAATAAACACTGGTGCCAGATGACAGGGAGTTTCGTATCCTTCGCAGCCGCTGCACCTGACAACCCCTCCATGGCATCCTCTGGTCGCACATTTGCTGGATCTGCACTCCTAAATCGCAAAAAATGGAAAACCAGAGCATCAATAACTTGAAATGGCAACGCATACTTCTTTTCGAGAAGCGCCTTGATGAAAATATTTGTTGCACCGCCACCTTCTGTTCCAGCTGACGACTCCTGTGCCGCGATATCGCATAGACCCTTGATGGCAGCGGCTGAATGCAGAACGGGCACAGAGACTCTGACCAAAACTCCTGAGATGATGTGCGCTTCTCTCAATGTACAAGTACCACTGCCCACTAGAGGGAAGAGAAAACCTTTGAACCACGCCGCTGGTTTATACAGTCCCTTTTTGAGTGCATTGAACAGATGCACATTCAGCTTTTTCGTCTCAAAAATGTCCTCTCGAACACGCTCTAGAATCACCATTTCCATAAACCTTTGGGCTGTAGCTGGGGTACTCGAAACGAAAATCTTGGTGGCTCCATAACATGCATTGGCAGTCCATTTATCTGGTTGGGTAATTTCGAGGATATCCTCCCAGTGCGGAACGGTTGGTAGGATTTTGAAGGGCTTTGGGAGCTTGCCAGACTTATACCTTGAAAGTATGAGGCCGATTCTGAAATATCTTGTCAGTGATTTGTCCCATTACTCAAAATGGAATGTGCAGGCATACTTTGTATAAACTTCTACAACTTTTGGGGGTATTTCAAAATCGTCGACTGGTCCAGGTACATTTCGCGCTCCCTCTCCCTGTGCGGCCTCATGTGCAGCAATCTTTTCCATAATCAAATCCGCCAGATTGGTTCCCTGGCCTTCCTCTCCATCGTCGGCCTCACCACCCCAGCCCTGTCGTAGTAATGGGTCTTCTTGTGTTGGAAAGAATTTACTAAAAGTCGCAAGGTCGTCGGGCGCAAGTTCTATTTCCTCCACCTCTTCATCGTCATCTCCCCACGCCTCGGCATCTTCGTATGTTTCCCCGTCCTCGTCCTGAAATCTCGATTCAAAATCAAAGGCTGTATTTGGCTTCTCTATCCTGTTCTCGCCTTCTGCCTCGTCTGCCAGCTCCTGTCCAATCCTCAGAATCTTTCGAGATGCCTTGGAGTCCACGAATTGCTCCCCCTCCTCCTGGTGTCTCGACTTTCGCTTCCCAGGTTTGTTTTTTAATATGCCCGTCGCCGTAATATCATCTTCGAGAGGATTATGCCTCCGCGCTTGACGCGATGCCGCAATGGGTGTCGTAGCTTTTGGCATTGTGATGTTTCGTGGTGGGGTAATTGATGATTTTCTATCTTGAGAAAAAAAGTCGATACTGATAACCTTGTGGGACGGCGCTAAGATAGGCGGAATGCCAAGACAATCACGTGTCCCCCTTCTCCCCTCCCGATCTTTCCCCTTTTCCAATCACAGCACTCGGTTGTACAAGTATGGCATGACGTCTGTAGATATCTTTCCAGCTTTGTATGTTTCTGATGGGGATACTCTAGTATCTCTTTTGGATCAATTACAAACACCATGACGACTCCGCACAATACTTCCTATCTCATTGTTGGAGGAGGTGTCTTTGGTGCTAGTACTGCCTACCATCTTTCAAGGACGTATCCTGATTCATCAATCATTCTCGTTGACCGTTCTACTTCATATCCTTGCTCCTTGGCCGCCTCATACGATTTCAACAAGATTATCCGAGCTGACTACGGCAACCCTTTTTACTGTGAACTGGCTTTGAAGGCACGAGAAGCTTGGAAATCGGAGCAGCTCTATAATCCCTTTTACCATGAAAGTGGCATGGTAAACATCGATGATACCGGTCTTGGTCATAGGATTTTGAAGAATTATGAAATACTTGGTGTTGATCCTGGAGCTTCCCTCTTGACCCCCGATGAACTGAAAGCCAGATACGATGGACTTTTTGCAGGCACTAATTATCGAGGCGTTGAAGAGATATATTTGAATCCTTCTAGTGGATGGGCCGAAGCTACTCTGGCTCTCAGAGCCGTCCTCGAAGCGAGTATTGCCAATGGAGTCGGGTACCGCCAAGGTGACATAAAGAGTCTGACTTTTGACGAGAGTGGGTACTGCAGTGGAGTTACGTTTCAGGATGGCAACTCTTTGAAAGCGGATAATATCATTCTTTGCACTGGAGCTGGGACAGCAAAGTTGCTCGCGGGAAGTGCACCGGATCGTGAAGATCTTCATGCTGGCAATAGAATAACAGCCGCGGCTGTTGTGACTGGCATAGTGAAACTGACCTCAGCGCAAAGGGAAAGATTCTCCAAGTCACCTGTTTTTGTCCATGCTATTGATGGAGTTTTAGGTAAAGTGTCAACCATAATTTTCAATTTTCCGCTGATATAAAATTAGGCGAGGTGCTCCCCCCTACCCCTGAAGGACTTCTGAAATTCTGCGTGGACGTTAGTTCCAAAAACACATCCTTGGACTCATCATCAGGTCAAGAAATTTCAGCTCCTCCAGAATCTTCACACCAAGACCAACACGACGTGCCTGAGAGTCTAAAAAGAGAGTGCTATCGAGTAGTAAGGGGTATATTTGGCGATGAGCTAGCCGGGTCACAATTTGATTCATTCAGAATATGTTGGTAAGTTTAGTTACTCAAGCAAAGAAATTCTGACTTCCATTTATTTGTAGGGATGGTATCACGCCAAATCAAGATTTCATCATCTCGAAGCATCCGCGTTGCCAAAACCTCTATATCGCCACTGGAGGTTCTTTTCACGGCTGGAAATTCTTGCCGATTATTGGAAAGTATGTTGTTGAGATGCTTGATGGACAGCTAGACGAGAGCCACCTGGCAAGGTTTGCATGGAACCGAGATCAAAGTGGAAGTGCACATGAAAAGATTGTGCCCCAAAGAGAGCTAAGGGATTTGTTGTGATTGACTTTTCACACATACGAAAGCTCTCAATCAGGAAGCTCACATATTTACTTGCTATGATATTGAAATTCAAATTGAACTTATATTCATTTCCTATGTGCTCCTCCAATCCAAGCAAAACAACAGGTCGAAAAATCATCAATCTTCTTGCTTAATAGACTGAAGTACTCCTCGTCAGCAGCATACCCAGTGTATACATCCGTCTCAAACTATGATTCCTCGCTTCTCGTCCTCGAAATCCAACATTTGAATGGAAAAGCCAAGTTCGTGCATCGTATTTTGCGGCGCTTGGATATTGGGATAGATTAGGCATCGTCCTGTAGAACTCGTTTGCGCTTCTCAGCCTTCGCAGGTTGGGTTCTTTTGTCGTTGTCCCTAGTGTTGCCGTTTGGGGGAAGCATGCGGGGCTCGTTCGACGCCGTCCAACTGGCAAGTTGAATTTCAAAGGTATTCTGAACTTGTTTCTCGGCATTTTTCCTCGCATCTCCAACTAAGTCCTGAATAGCTTTCAAGGCAACATGTCTCTCCGCAGTTGTTTGCAGTCTCTTAGGTTTTCTTTTGTACGATGGCGCAACGTGACACAATCTATCCTTCTCCTGTTTTAAAAGGAAATTCCACTGGTCGTCATTTAGTAAATGCAAAAGTTGCCTGGCCACAAAAACCCTGGCTTCGCCTCGAATTCTGGTCCTCTCATCCCCGTCATCAAGCCTTTTGTTTTCCTGTTTGGTGAACTTGATAGAATCTGTCAGGTCTCGGAGAGCCACCAAATTTTCAATCAACAGCCCGACATCAAGATTTGAACTTTCCCTGAAGTCGTCGTCGTCGTCAAACCCTCCTCCATACTCGTGGTCACTACCATCTCCACTTTCAGCCGTCTTGCTCCCAAAGGACCACTCCGTTTCGTGAAAGACCATTTCCACTTCCTTCCACATCTTTCCTAGTTCCACTTTCAGACTAGCCCCAATGGCATATTCATCTTGGAAAGTGACTTTCTTTTGCTGTGGCGGCGGGGTGTCATCTGCCTTCTCGCTTTCGAAGGTATCCCCAAAGTCAACTTGATGTTGATTGGTAATATCGCTCCTGCTCGTATCCCATATCTCTGGGATGTAATCGTCGATTTTCCTTCCGCGTGGCATGGTGATTGACTATCAAAAACTATTGACGCGTCGAATTATCGTTCTTGCTTGTCGCTGAGTGTGTTTGTCTCTGGATCTTGATTTTCTTCGTTCCGAGTTCTTCGTGTTGTTGGGAATTTTCGAAAGCAAAAATTGTGAGCACCGAGCGGTATTATATACTTGGTTTTGGCAGCTCTGAGTTCCCCGAATCATCTACAACCGCTCGTGAAGTGTTGAGCTGGACGTGTCAGGCTGACTCTGGATAGTAACTTCGGGATTCGAGACCCTTGCTGGCATTGAGCGTCCTCTACTGAAGGGACATTGAGTGTTTTCAGAAGACCTCTTCTTTGCGGAATTAATAAGCTCGTGGCATCTAAACCCCACTGGAACCGACATTGCGAATTTGATGCTTTATACGATTTGTTTTTTGTATGCATCTCGGGGTTGTCCCTTTGATTGCCGTACTGCGAGCATCTCGAGGGGCGTTGAATCTTCTGGTCAAGTAAGGTATTTGCAATGATGTGTTCAATATGTAAGGACAGTTACTTTGAAAGAGGATTTAAGCACATTGCATTGCCGAACGAAGTAGAATTGGCAAGGCTAAGAATATAGCTACTCTTTGATGAACCTTGCATACAGATTTTCGACAAAGCTCCCTTTTTGGAAAACTCTAGCATCCGGTATTTCATATCGCTTAGTACCTGAAGATTTCGAGATAGCATGATATTTCAACCATCATCAAACCATTGAATTTTCCACTCTTTCAGGGAACTTGCTTTGGCTCCCAAGAAGGGAGGAGAGAGGAAAAACCTGAAATTTTGTTTGGCGAAGCAGAATAATAGTGAATAGGGAGGATTGTTGGATGAAAGTTACAACAACGGGCTTTCCGGCACATAAAAGCAAGAGTTGAAGGGAAAGCAGTGCATCTCTTGTTCTCGGGCAATTCAGCAGGGTATACACAATGAAGGAGTGTATTGACCCGGACTTCAATAAGCACATGAGTTTCGTTAAGATCAAATAAAGTCCATTCGAGTTCCTTAAGGAATTAGGGAACTCAGAGTTGGAAAGAAGTATTTGGATATGCATATAGAGGAGGCTTGAAAATCCGACGAATCCGACGAGGATTCTGAAGATCGCCTTGCTAGAATACGATTGATTGACAAGGTTGCACTCTAAGAATTAAGAATCTGACAAGGACCTGTAGGAAACGTACTAACGAAGACAGCTGGCTCATTCCATATCGTTTCTTTGAGGTTTAGGAGATTTAGACATTGTAAACTCGAAGATTCGTAGACTCTATCCTCGATACCGTAGTAAATCGAACTTACAAAATACGCTATGTGGGCGGGTGGAGTGCGGCACAGTGTGAACTAGAGTCTCCTACTCGCTAGAATCCCTCTTCTTATGCGTAGAAGATTGCGATGAGCGGGTTATCTACTTTTCTACCTAGGGACCCGTAGAAAGCTGTTCTCTGAATGGCCCAAAAGTAGCCTTGCCAGCTTCTCGGTAACCCACGAACCCACTTAGCGTATTCTATCAGTTCGATTTCTACGGCATCAAGTGTTGTGCCAATAGCAACTCGCCCCCCACCCCAAGAAACGAAATTAGGTGGGGGCTTTTCTGTTTGGGACGGAAGCGCCTCAATTTCGTTTCACGTGAAAGTAACAATAAAAACCCCTTACAAGAGCAAATGTAGGCTTGAAGCGCGTCTGATATTATGAAAACACGACAGAATATTCGATAGCAACTTGCAAGTAGCTTATGGGTGTACAGAAGGGAGAGAAGACCAAAGTGGCAGCATTGTTTATATCCACGTGATAACGCGTTTTCCGTCTGTGCTTGTTTCGGACGATCTAATAATAAATCAGACGAAAAAAGCCTTAACTTCGAATTACCTACAACGACTTCCCCTGAACATCATGCCGGCAACATCATTCATGAACATCTCAGTTGGAAATACATACTGAAGCGAACAGAGAAGAAAAAAATTCCACAGACTCAGATTCAACATACCCAATGGCCCGTCCAAGAGTCTACAAAGTCCGGCCTGGACCCAAACGGAAAACCCTCGCCGATATTGAAGCAGGGCCAATAACAGTAATACCCGAACCTCAAGCGACTGAAGGCCAATTCAAAGCTGTGAGGGCGAGTTATTCCAACAAAAGAAAATCAGCCATCATCATCTGGCATTATACTCATCAAATTTCGAGATACGATGCTCGTTCGAACACATATGTATTGCGTAAACCCAGGTTTCGCGATACTTGGACTCATTTTCATTCAGAGTTGAAGAGTCAAGGAGTCCCGTTTAGTACGATGGCGGGATGGCTGGATCGTAAGATGGCGGATAAGATTTTGTCTTCTAAGGCCACGGCTCGCACGTATGTAATTGTTCTTTTTTCCTTCTTTATTGAGCACTGGAAAGAGCTGTCGCACTTTACGAATTCTTAACTTGCACTCTTTTGGTTACAAGATAAGGATACAATATTCAAGGAGATGATTAGATTTTTCAAGAAGCTTTGTAAACGGATCTTCTTTAAGAGAACGTGCTAATGCAACGCAGGTCTGACCCCCCAAGGAAAAAAGCCTCAGGGGGAGTGATTGATCAGGAGGCAAATGAAGAAGATGATGAAGAAGACGTAGAAGATGAAGAAATGGAGGAACCTCCGTCGGAGGAGGATCGTGAAGGTTCAACTCCCATCCCTCATGGAGAGTCTGAAGAGCCTGTACTTGGAACTCCCTCAGCACCATCAGCAACATCGGCACCACCAGCAATATCAGCAATATCAGCATCATCAGCACCATCAGCGCCATCCGCAACATCAGCACCATCAGCACCATCAGCGCCATCAGCAAAAAAGGGTTCTAGAGCTGGTGGTAATACTAGGAGATCCTGTAATATTTGCAGGGAACGGAAAATTCGATGTAACCACACTCCAGGGCACCCAGCTGCTCAGCAATTTCACAACCACGGATTTCCAACACCATATATTCATCCCATCCAAACCACTCAAACTCATCCCCGACCTGAAACGAATAGAACGGTTAAAGGGCCACAGCCACTAAAAAGTTCTCGTCCTGAACCCTTACGATTACCTTCCATACAATACATGCCTCAGAGACCATCAAGGAGCGAGGAACAAGGCGTGGGCTCGTTCCATCAACCAAGACAACCACAACCGTCTCCTTTAGGATTTGCAGGCCAAGGAAATGTGCAGGAATCCGGATACCTCGCTCAACCTCAACCTCCACCTCCACCGTCCCCCCAAAGTACCCCTAACGGGCACCAAGAAATGAGGATATCTCACCCAGTTCCCGTTCGACATCCTTCTTCCGTGTCAGAACTAACAAGAGAATCTTCCCAACGTCCGAGTACATGTCCACCAGGTCAACCTCATCCACTGGGAACGCCACCAAATCACCGAGGGGAACGTACAAACTCTGCAGTACAACCAGAAGCACAGCAACAACAGCCGCCTGAGCTCCACCAACGCTCTCCTTCCTCGATGACCGAACCAAGTGGGGCAATTCAAGCTCCGAATATCAATTCTCAGCTGCTACAGCGGTCTAAGGAAGGTCAAGGCGTGACACTTCCCTCTCTCGTATCCCAAGTTGCTCTCATTCCACAACGTCTTCAACTTATGACACAGAAATCGCCTATCCAAAGACCAACTTCCCAGCCTCAGATCAACCGCTCTCAATGGCCTGTAGTAAGATCGGGACCAGCAGCAGCAGCGTCAGCATCACAACCACAAACAGTTCCTGATGGAAGTCCTCTAAACGAGGCTCAAGGACGGAACTCCCCTCACCCAGCACCACAATCACGACCACAACCAGGATCGTCCACAGCAGACACTCCCATCAACCAACAAATGGCAAATAGCCACCTACCACCACCTCAACCATGGGTTCCACCACCCCCTCGAATAATCGAGCATCTACCCCCAAGAAAGTCAAACCAGGTTCAAAATTTCCCCCCAAGGCCTCCCCAAAAACTTGCCCCCAAACCACCCCACCCAATCCCCGGTCGACAAACCACAGCGGATCTGAAAACCTACCATGGTTCCTGCCACTGCTCCACAGTAACCTTCGCTGTGACATGTAAACCGCTTCCTAACCCAACCCACATCTTCATCTCCTGTACCTGTAAAACATGTTCCATCGTACGTCCCTCTTCTTCCTCCCCAATCATAATCCCCACCGAAACATCCAGCATCCAACATCACTAACCCTTTCAACAAAGTCAAATACCCTCTTCCTCTCCTCCACCAACCCATCAGATTCCTTATCCGTCACCCTCCTCACCGGAATCGACTCACTAACCCATTTCCACGGGCGTTCATTCTGCAAGAACTGCGGTGTCACACTCTTCTCCCACGCGTCGCCGGAACTGATCGAACGGAAATCGCCGAATTTGATCATGTTAAATGTGAGATGTTTATCTGGATTGGAGATTGATGACAAGTTGGTGGTGTGGAAGGAATGGAAGGAGAAAGGAGCGGTTGGGAAACCTAGCTTTGTGGGGATGATCAATTGACCTCCTTCTCTTTTACAGTACCTAAGACTTGAATTTTTACTGCGCTATTGGTTTAGTGGTGGATTGTTTTGGGATGTGTAGGGTATACATACACATATATATCTAGTTCTCGGTTGTGGAGGTAGTTTGGGACTGGGTTTGGGGTGTAGATACATACAAGAGTACATAAGAATAAGGGCCATCAATTGCGGATTTTCTGCTTCTACTTCCGCTTCCTCGATTTCTGCAATATTCTCCTGCATACATTATAGCACAATCTGTCCATCATCCATTTGATTGAAAGTACATCTAAAACCATCTCCAAATCTGCCAAAAACCCAATCTCCATTCTCGATAACAACACACTCCTATCCCATTAGCCCATCAAGAACTCCGTGAGGATCCCTAACGTATCCAATCCAAGTCCCAACGTAATCTTCAACATCAACCTTTACATCCCAGACTTAACCATCCCAGGCTCTCAATTCGATCCTCAAAACCACCAAATCCTTCCAGAAAAGACTATCTAAATATCCTCACTTATGCGTAGAATCTCACGTACTCCATATAGTACAACTCTATCTCCCTGCCTCCCCCAAACATCAAGTCTCTCTTATGCCACACAGTTTGACGCCACCCACACCACATTCCGAATTACAGTCTACAGCACAACCATAAAACCATAACCCCAAGCACCGCGATATAAAATCCTTTTTAATCATATAATTAAAAGTCCTCCATCTCAGAGCTGGAAGTTTCAAATCCTCATCCCATTCATTAATAAACCTTACAATCCCTCCTTAAGTACTCTTACTCCTCTCTTACACAATGAAATAAAATAAGTGAAGACGCGTCCGCCCCTAGCTAATATCTCCTCGTCGCGTTATATGTATATTTCAATTTTTAGGTTAGTGATACCCACTCTAAGCCTTGGTACCCAAGAATGGTATAACCTAATTGGTACGGGGTATATCGGACCAAGCCCCGTAGTGCGTCTAGGCATTATACCGACCTGTCCGACCGCTTGAATAGGAAATCGCAAACCCAAAAATTGAAATGTACATATAACGCGACGAGGGGATAGCACATTCCATCCATCCACTCCCGTCTTTCTCTCCTATATATAGCGTTGAATTAATCTCAGTTACCTCTTGTACTAAAACTAAAGGAAACCAAAAGAAAAGTATAAGTTTTTTTTCTCTTGTTCTTTGTAGTAAGAAAAGAAAAAAGGACTAACGAAAATCAGCTCAACTCACCTTAGGTTGACTACAGTAACTACAACGTTTATGATCCCTTTCAAGCCATTCTCCTCTTACTATATCTCACTTTCAGTGTCTAGCCTAGCAGAAACCCTACGTACATTCCGTGCGATGATATATTATCCCATACCCTTAACACAAATCTTCCTAATATAGTAACAATTCCCATCTACTCTCTAACCAGTCCTGTGCAACACCTTCAATATCTACATTCCAAGTCTCGCATCATTTATACACACCCTCTCCCTCCTTTTAATCATCTAATAATTAATAGTTAATAACCGCACCTTTCCTCTCTTCCTCCCTTCACCTTCACATATAAATTAACCCTACACCTCACCCAAAAAGCTGATAAGCTAGGAAGAGCCTCCAAAGAAGAAACAACCCCCGTACGGTAAGAAACCGATGATGATCAAAGTCTTACATATGAACCCCCCTGGTCTCTTGCACTTACACTTCTCCTTCTCCTTCTCCTTCTACTACCCTTATCACTACAGTAGCACCAGAGACGGGATACGTTGAATCAAGTACTTTACAGTAACTACTACTATATTAGGTTATGTCGTTCAAGGTACAGTTATACCATTCTACCGTTATTGACTAACCTAGAAAACGCAACCTCAATTCCAACCCCAACACAACCCCCGCCCACCATCAACACCTCTACCTTCCCCTCTACCTCTACCCTTCCCTTCCCTTCCTTCACAGAGTTAAAGCCCGAGGATATATATTACTTAGCAAGAGATACAGTACCATACATCACCACTAGTATATACATCCTCCATAAACCCATTCCACAAAAGGTAAACCAATTTATCAAACAATTCCCTTCCTTCACAGAGTTAAAGCTCGATCAAAGATATATATCGATTACCAAGAGATACAGTGTATCACCACATATACATACATCCTCCATAGCAAGTCATACATCCACCATAAAAACCATTCCACAAAAGGTAAAATAAACCAATTTATCAAACAATTCCCTCCACTCACTCACTCACTCACCCCCATTCACCAGTATCCAGCCTCTCATACCATACCAACTTCACCCTTCACCCTTCACCCAACAAAGCGAACTCAGCTCAGGAGTTAGGAAGAGCAGAGTCCGAAGTCTGAAGATGTGAATGCACAATGCCCCGTGGAAGGATCTGGATTAAACACGTGTTAGACACTCTTCACTCTTCACTCTCCACTCTTTACTCATAATTGTCCACCCTTCACCCTCCACCCTTCACCCTCAGCTGCCCATGCTACGCTGAACCTAATCAAGTACCTAGATAGGTATCATCTCACTCGCTCCATCTCCCTCTATCTTCGCACCTATTCATTCCCGAGATCTCATCAGCATCAGTATTAAAACCAATCATATCAGTTTTCAAGACGACCGTTACCCCACGCACTCGCGCTACCTAGCTACCCCTGACCTTCGCCAAGTCGGTAGGTGGGTAGGTAGGTAGGTAGGTAGGTATTCACTACCTTTTCTACCAAGGGAGATGGGTATAAAATGAAATACGTAGGAAGTGAAGAAAACGCAGAAAGAGAGACAGAGGACATGGAAGGAAAAAAAAAACTGTAATAGTAATGATCTATTCAAAGAGCATTCTCATCGGCAAAACGCAAATTGCAAAACGCATGCGTATGCATCATCTCTTATCTGAAAAACAAAGTCCTCTAGTAGTGCCTAAGGCAAGTCAATTAACATCCTATCCCATCCGTAAAAGTGCCCCCCAAGTCCGTAGACAACAACATGGAGGAAAAAAAAAGCAAGCCATCCTCCCCCCATCCGGGTAAGCTATGCAAGAGAACCCCATCCATCCATCCCATCCCACTCATGCCATCCCAACCACGAATCAGAAACCTCCCAAACACCTCATCATGATAAAACATCCGTCAAAAGAAAAGGAAAAAAGAAAAAGTTCCCAGCCATCCTTCCCATGTAACCTGGTTGGTATATGTACAATGGGTAGGCTGAAGGTGTTACACCTCGGTCAAGAGATGATGCGAGTGAAACCAGCCGGCCCATGTGAAAAAAAAAAGAAGAAAAAAAAATCATGGCAAGACCGTAAGCTATCCTTCCCCGGTGAAGGGTAAGCTAAATGCATCTATCCGATCCCAGACGCCGTGCAAATATGAAGCTGCGGAAAGAAACGTGAAGTGTGTGAGAAAGTAAGCCGTCAAGGCCTCCTCCTCATCAATACAAGTCCGCAATGTCTTTCAGAAAGGACAGACATGCGAGACTAGAAAATTAGATGAGTTCGAATCCATCATCGTCATCCTCATCCATAACCTTGACACTATCCTTGGTAGCCTTCTGCTTGGGACTTCCCCTCTTCTTCTTCAAAACTGTCTTCTCTCCTTGTGCATCAAGAACCTCGTATTCACCTCGGATAATCTTCTCCGTTTGCTCAGCAATCCACTTCTGCTCGGCTTGTTCAATCAAAGAGCCAAGTTCTACCTTGGTACCCCTTCCAGTTGGACTTGGTCCTTTGTTATCAAAGCTATAGAGGATATCTGCGTCCAATGTTCGAATGGATGGAGAGGTATTGTTGACATGTTGAGGGAGGATGGCAATGAGGGACTCGGAGAGAGGACTTGTAGCAGTAGATTCACGATAAGCATCTGCTTTGCGGTCAAGACGGCCTTGAATTGTGCCCGAGTGAAAGGCACCCGAACCGTGGAATGTAGGCTTGGAAGTTCGGTTTGCATGGGTCTTGTTGCCACTGAAAGACGAAATGATTAGCTTTTGATCTGCCGAGTGAGAATTGGTATTTTGAAATACTTACAGAATGGACTTCATGGCATTGGGCCGAACCTTAGCACGTTGCATAAACTCGGCTTTGGTTGGATCCTTCCAACTCTGACTTGGGCTTACACCATCGATAAGCTCGGAGTGAATAGGAGCAACTCCTGGAGCTAGACGAATTCCATTGCTCCACTTCTGTTGATGTTCTCTATCACGCTTGAATGGGACGGAGGCTGAGCGGATATCGCGTTGCTGAAGAGAAGCAGTCGACATGATCAAGAGGCGTTGATGGAGAGGATAGAAGTGGCGTTGGTGTTGTGGTGTTGGGTTGGGGGGTAGCTTGCAAGAAGCTGTTTGCGGATTGAGTTGAAGTTGGAGGACTTGAGAGAAGGTAAGAGTTGAGTCAGAAGTGACTCAATAGATGGTGGTTTGAGTTTGGGGTTCTTTGTTCCAGAAACGAACGCTTGGTGGAAGATGTCGGAGATGCAGAAAGCGGACCGTGGAATGTTTGTCTGTGGTGTTTGGGTTTCTTTGAGATCAAAGAGAAGGTGGGCGAGGAGTAGGATTATTAGGAGAGTTATAGGTTATCGAAACTGTAGAAGTAGCAAGTAGCAAGTTGCCGGATGACTCTTGAGTATGCAGGAAATTGCGGATGGCGTAATATGTACGAAGTAAGACGAGGAAATGGCAACCCAGAAGGCCAGACACAATTAAGTGGTAGCGGAGGGAAAAGGGGTCGGGGGAATTCGAGGACAGACAAAGAGTCAAGAAATTAGATGGTCTGTTGTCGTTGATGTTGAGGAAGTGCACGGTGAGTGAGTCAGGCGAGCTTGAGCCCAGATGGGGGGGGGAATACTCGTATGGATACGAAGATAAAGAAGGTCGGTGGATAATTGACAACCGAATGCAACTATCGCGCTCTATGCAGGTCAAGTTGAAAGTACAGAAAGACAAGGAATACAAATAGGGGGTATGAGTTTACGGTCAATAGTGTGATGTGATGGTAGTTTGAGTGTTGATAGAGAGAGAGAGCAGAGGAGGAGAGAGATGATGGGGGAGTGTCTTATTTACCTTGATGTCTGGCTTGGCTGGGGAAAGCTGCCAGGTATGAGCAGCAGGTGGTGTGGACAGTTGAGCTCGCATTGTTGGCCATGGGGGAGAATGGGAGTGAGAGAAGGAGTACTTTCTTACAGTACCTAGGAGGCCTCTGCCTGCGCCCGTCATCACATTGTCACACACAGCCACCTGCTTGCAAACACCACCAACACCCTCATTGCACACCCATCAAGGTCGGCGGCGAGTGACCTCGATGGATAGGGTCATCGGATCTGCCACCGACGACGCCATCGCTTGCCCACCAAGATAACGAGATGAGAGCGAGGATCGACCCTAAGACTGTGACAGGCCAGGACCAGACACTGAGAGAGAGATTGCGTTGGGCCATGCATACTGTGCATATGGGCCACGGGCTGCCTCTCCGCGCCGCTGTTGAGATGCCCTGGCGAGCCCGCAGTGGCCTCCAGCTGGGGATGAATGCGGGGTTTCAGCGTTGCGCTGCGCAGGAACCGGTGCGATAAAGCTCCCCCAGCTAAAAGGGTCCCGCTAACTTGCATCATTTTATGCAGCCAGATAAGGGTCCTGCTGGTGGTGGAGGCGGCGTGGGCGTGGGCGTGTCAACTCAACCTTACCCAATAATGGAACCTCACCCAACACGATGCAACCAGAACTCTAGAATAGGGGCAATCCAACCTATGGCCTCGATGCACATCGCTCTTCGAGCCAGATCCCGCATTAGTTTGCATATATCCTTGGCTTCATTTGCATCCTTTCATCTATCGTGGCATAAAATGGCATCATTGATGTCACTGTCCGGAAAACCATCATCCAAAGTCCGGGGATGGAAGTCCGAGACATCCCGACGAGTGTTGGTCACGTGGTAATCTATTTCTGTCTCCACTGTTTCTGATAACCTCAAGAACCATCCACTGCAAACGACCTCGTATGACATACGATACGAAACGGCGATGAAGCTCTTCTGAAAACCAGCTTTGTTTTTTTTCGCTTCCGGTTTGTATTCTTACGCAGATGGCTTGCTTGATACTGTACGTCCTTTCTTGATACGCTCGCTGCCGGATTTACACCAACAAAGCGCCTCAACGCCTCTCGTCGTCCCACCCGCCTTTCACAACGGCTCTCGTTGGTACAGAAGGACAAGTGTCACCAGACACACCAACAGTCTAAAGGGCGCGCTAATGAGAGCTACTCGCTGTTACCTGTCCCTATCCCCTATCTCTCATATGTTTTCCCGTATATTATTGAAATCCTGCTTGCATTACTGGGCTTCGTCATTCTCTCTTTCAGCTTGATTTTGAGATGACCTCAGAGAAGTGAGAAGAGGAATCACATGGTTCCGGGTATGAGAGAGTGCCCAGGTGAGAAAGATGAGTACTCGTAGCCGAGTCATATCTTTCCATTGTGACATTGGGAACTGACAGGACCTCGGGATACGCGAACTGAGATGACTCCAGTGAGTCTTCGTAGGAACCTGGAAGGCACATGTTTATATACATCACGTGACTCGCCCCCTCAACTTACTCACACCACCTGTTACTTCAAAAACCTCTGATTGGATCACTCGATAACGGCAGCTGTACGCAGTACAAGTATGCAACATCTGTAAGGATTATCACAGTATCACACGTATAACCAAGAGAACGAGGCGGCGCGTCCATACTCAGTGTATACATATCTCAAGTAATACTCTCGTGCCTAACCAACAGACCTAGGCGCCAATACGATATTTATCGCGATATATCGCCGGTTTATTTTCAGACAATAACAATAATTATTATTTAAAAAGTAACGTGCATGTATAGCGAACCGGCCAAACAAGCGAACCGGCCAAAATTTTCTACACTCGCGATTGAAATTGTAAGAACTCTACCACAACGCCTCTAATTAAAAAACACTATTCAGAAATTTCTTCCTCAGATACTTCCTCTATAATATTACAGGTGCGCGTATTATGACCAGTCTCTCCGCAGTTGCCACAGCGCCGTGCACGTGATTCTTCCCTCGGCTTCCGACCACTACTTCTCTTTATTTCCTGCATTACCTGCTCACCAACGTCTCTATCATCCTGTAGGTCCTGCGCTTCCTGTTGACTAAGTGATCCTCCTTGCTGTAGGCGTGTTTTTTTAGCTCTACGGCGCTTACTTAGTACTTCATTTGCTTGTCGAAGTCTCTGGTTCTCAGCTTTCAATAGTACTATCTGGTGCATTACTTTTGATGCACCCTTCGTAAACTGGTCAATGGCCTCGTAAATAGGGGTTGGAGAGCTACTTTGGTGGCGTAAAATTCGATCTTTAATAAATGCAGTCTGTGATAAGGCTTCAGTAGGGTTATTTGGTGTCTGGGAAACCCAAGGCTGAGCGGAATACGGGGGGGAGTTTGGAGGCGTTGGCGTCTTTAGCTTAAGATCAAGTGTAGAAATTACACTTTCTGGGTCAAATGGAAGAAGCCCAGCCCCTCGGAACCCTCCTCGGATATTGCTTTCTGTCATTGCAATATTAAATGCGGCGTGGAAGGCAGGAAAGAAATCATCCTTAGTAATATGGATGATCTGAGCCCGCATCATATCTTCAATTTGCTGACCATATGCCCTTTTCAAAGGGCTAAAACAGCCAACGTCGAGTGGCTGGAGTATATGAGAAGAATGAGCAGGCATACAAAGAGTGATAATGTTGTTTTCCTTGCAATATTCCTCAAATTCGTCGGAGTGGTGGCTTTCATGGCCGTCGAGGACTAATAGACGATAACCACCAATAGATTGGGACTTTGTATGCTTCTCAAAATGTCGAATCCAATCCATGCCTTTCTCGTTTGTTGTCCAACCATTTTCAGTAATAGCAATCACCCAGTTAGGTGGAAATCCACTGTTTTGGTACCAAGAAGCGAGGTGATTTTTTGCGGCAACAATCACAAACGGTGGAACACACCAGCCTTGGGCATTAACCCCCTGGATTACTGTAACCCATTCCCGATTACCAGGCTGTACTCTTTTTGCTTTTACACGTCCTTCTGAGCTTGTAATAACCATTGCAGTTGAGATAACGCCCATCATAAACCCAGTCTCGTCAAAGTTGTAGATATCTGCATCGTAGATTCCGTACTTCGCTATTGTGTTTCGTACAAGCTCAAACCAGCCACGAATGACTTCTGGATCTTCGCACTTAGCTCTCGGATAGTCGTATTTTCGTTGGAAGCGTGTCTGGAGTTCTGGGCGGCGCTTAACAAAGTTATAAGCCCAACGCGTCCCGACGCGTGGCGCGTCGCGTGCTTCAAGAAGTCGATTTGCTATATCTTCAACTACAGATATCCGCGGAGGAAATCCTTTTGTAGCTAGGTCGAGGATATGTTGAACAAGTACTGATTCCTCTAGCTCGGTCATTTTCCGTGAATTGGCTAAAATATCGCGTCGTGAAGGTATACCAAGCAAACGTCGACCTAGCTTCCGGTGGTCTACAGAATAGGTCCTGGCAGCAGCTCGAGCACGTAAATTTGGGTCTTTTTGCATAGCTTGGATAGCTAAGACTAACCGGCTTTCGTCATTTTTCAGAGGCATCCTTCGATGTAGAGAAGTTTAATATTTCGTGGAGGTGTGGTGGGGTCGCCGGGTTTTGGCCGGTTCGCTTGTTTGGCCGGTTCGCTATACATGCACGTTAACGATATTCGATAATATTAATAATTATAACTAAATTTAGTATATTTTAGAAGTGTCTTTAGAGGTGTTTTAGGGGGGGTTTTAAGGTGGATTTAGTAATATTTAAAGTTAAAATACGATTATTATAAGAATAAAAAGAGTAATAGATATAAGTACAATTATAATAACAATAACCAATTATATACTAGCGCTTACTCCTAGAGGGTTTCTATAAGGTAGAATAGAGGTAGCTTCGAGTAGTAGCATTTTAGTTAAATTTAGAGCGTTTGTTAATAATAATACCTAGTAGTAGTAGTAAGCTTGGGGCTCGTAGTGTTAAGGCGCAAGAGCGTCCTGGAATAAAGTATACTGATTGGTCCGGGGGCGGACTTACAAATTTCCGCGTCACATGACCCGATAATCGATATTATATCGGTTATCGCCAAGACTACGATATATTATCGTTAAATTATTTACGATACGATAACTTATCGTCGAGCCTCCGATATCACATCGATAATATCGTGCCCGGGTCTGCTGACCAACCACAGATCTTCGTATCACATTACCCCACCACTTGTCAGACCGAGTCTGAATTAAACGAAGATGTCCCCAATACTCTACGAGTAATCATCAACAATTCGCGCCCCAAGTTATGTCGTAAGAACATCAATCATTGTCGTTTCCCTTCCAAGCATAAAATCAACCCTTCATCTCTCTCTTTCCTTGTCCCCTCTCATGAAGATCTATCTGTGCCAGTGAACTTTCCACCCCTCAACAACATCCCTCCCCCCCCCATCACAATTTCTCCCGTTCCATTCCATCTCCAAAAAACCAACCGCCAAAATCCTCAAACTCCGGTCATCAAATACTAGGCCGTGAGAGAGGAATATACGACGCCAGGATCCTCGTCGAAGACACCACTGTGAAGAGGAGGAAGAGTGTTAGTGAACAGATGGGGATGTGGATAGGGGGTTGATGTTCGGTGTGAGGGGTGTGTGGGAGGTTAGTGATATGGGGTTTGAGATGACGATTGATGAGGGAGGAAGGGGGGTTGAGGATGGGTTGTGTTTCTAGGAAGTGGTTTTTTGGATAGAGTGAGGTATGAAATAGGGATGTGTGATGAGGAATGGAGATACAAGTGAGGTACAAGTAGAGGAGATGTATTTATACGTACATAGACATACTATCTATACATAAGTACGACAGACTTGTACAGCACAATACCATCTGTGCCACTTAAAACTAAACTAAATTAAACTAATACTCTCCAAATTCCAATAAGTACTCTACTAGTATCTATATCTAAGCAAAGCAAAGTAAACACTACCTACTTAAGTTTTAACTTGAAAATCTCATGATTACTGATTAGTTACACCGGTAGAGTCCTATGTATATACATACCCGCTTCATCGTTACCTCTAGCGCTAGTCCCCTTATCCTTACTCTTTTTATTAATACCGATACCTCGTCCCGTCTGTTTATAAATTTCGTTCTCCCTAGAGTATTATATATAGTATATATATACTCGTAGATACGTAGAGTAGCTAGGTTACATATGTATTATCTAGGAATCGAAGTAAAATCTCTTTTTATATATATATATAGTATACCGTATAGTATAGTATAGGGGATTATAGGTATTAGAATTGTGGTTATATTAGTGTTAGGAGTGTAAGAGTGAGTGTTATATTATATAACGTAAGGAAGTTAAATCAGCTGGATAAGGGAAAGGAAAAGGAAAAGCTCCCATCTGTCTGTATGTCTGTCTGAGATTTTTGAGAGGGAGATGGTTGGTTGGTGTATGTGAAGTATAGTGTAGTACGGTACGGTATTTAAGCGAGGATAGGAAGGAAGTACGGATATGGGATGGAGGGAGGTTGTGAGATTTGGTGCTGGTTCTTTGGTATATGTATGTATGGTAATCAATCTATCTATCTCTGATTCCTTATTTGGCTTTTGGGGGTTGAGTTGGGATTGGAGTTGGGGGTTAAGGTGTTCGTTCGTTCGTCCTAGATCTAGTTCTAGATCTTGATCTTGGTAGCTTGGATGAGTTTGAAGGGGGGCTTGGAGGGTTTTGGGGGAAGGGGAAGGGGTGGACACCGTGGAATTGGAGATAGGAGATAGAGTGCGGGAACTTGGGAGTTGGGAGCTGGAAACTGGGAGCTGGGAGTTGGTAGTGGAGTTGGTGAATGAGAGGTGACTTATCTGGTGGAAGGAGGTGGAATTTTTGGGATGGGTTGATATTTCTGTTTTTCTTGGATTGTTGCTTTATAGTATTGGATATGTACTGGAGATTGTTATCTGTGTTATGTATGTATCTTACCTAGTCTTTTTATACTCTTTCGTTTGTAGATGAAATATCCTATTCTACCGTGGAAGTGAAATTTCTCCGCTGGATTTGGAGGAAGTACATTACCCGGAACCTTTAAGATTCTTCAGATGGGATGGTGAGGATGGTGAGGATTTTACTGGTGCCGGCTACTTGGTATCCTGTACCAATATACAGGTACTCTAGCTGACATGCTTTCCTTGAATATTCCCAACCAACATCGATACCACCATCCAAAATTCTCCACCAACCAACCAATAAATATTTTCTTAATGCCACCAACTAATATCTGATTCACCCCATACCCATACTCCCATATTTTAAAGCCATGCAAGGGTATGAAAGGAAAAGTATTATCTACAATTCCCCTTCCCTTCCCTATTTTTCTGGATACCTACAGCCTGACCATGAACAAAGCAAAAGCAAGTACGGATATACTAACTATTGCTCTAAGGACGGTGAGTGCGAAGATGGCTGACTCACTCATTGAACTTGTGGCTGGTGTTGGTGGGAGGTAAGAGGAGGGGTTGGAGTTGCGGGGATTTGGGGATTCAATTTTTGTGTTTTGCTGGTGTGAGGCGGAGGGATTGTGTTCCTGCTTTCTTGGGAAGATCTAGATTTGGATTTTGAGGATGTAGTAGAGGGGATGCTTATAAACATAATCTTTGAGCGGAAAGGGGGGGGGGAGGGAAACAGCGTGGGAACAAATTACTTAATAACTTAAGTACTACACGCGTTACTTGGAGTGGAGTGGAGTATGAGTAGTATATATTACTAAGTTAAGTAGTAGATTTAACCACTCGAGTAATACTTACAGTAGTTTAGTATAAACAGTAACTAAACTACAAAACAATTATCCTGAAATATAACGTCTTCTAGCTATATCTCCGCGTCCTTTTCTTCTACTATAAGAAGCCCTAGCTTTTAAGGCTAGTATTATCTTAAGGTTCTCTTTTGATAGCCTGGTCCTTTTCCGTACTGTAAAATGATATTACTCGTAGCTCCCTAGCTAAACAACCGCTCGCTGGAAGAACTTGCCGCTGAAACCTACAGATATCTCCTCGGGTATACTCTAGGTAGTCGGTCCGGCGTATTTCGTACTACTCAAGTAGTACTCAAAGCCATTGGAGTACTTGGCGAGTTAAGTTTAGTAGGTCTAATGACTACTCTGAGTTAAGTTGAGTAGGTAGGTACCACTCCACAACTCAACTCAACTCAACTAATTTTCCACGCTGGTCACTGCTGGGAAGCTGGGTTCTGTTATTTAGGATTTTGTAGTTTGAATGGATGAATTTCTTTCGAAAATGTGAATCACTAGATTATGGTATAATGTTAGGTGTTAGGTGATTGGTATTTGTTTCATTTAGGTAATAATTACCTTACTTACTAATAGACTTTAGGTTTAAACCTTAGTCTGTTCTCGCTTATTCTAGAACGTTCGACCACGTGAAACCGAAACATTCTAGTATCCCTTTCTATTTATAAGCACTTCTATTCTATTTATAATCTATAGAACCTCCTAGAATCTATCTAAGGAGTATATATAGACCTTTACTGTCCTTATAGTTAGAAAAATCAAGTCATTTTCACAAGTCAAATTCTTACTCTTTTGATTCCCGATGTACCTAACAGTCATCTGACCATCCTACTTCCACTGTCTTATATACACTCTGTANTCATTTAGGTAATAATTACCTTACTTACTAATAGACTTTAGGTTTAAACCTTAGTCTGTTCTCGCTTATTCTAGAACGTTCGACCACGTGAAACCGAAACATTCTAGTATCCCTTTCTATTTATAAGCACTTCTATTCTATTTATAATCTATAGAACCTCCTAGAATCTATCTAAGGAGTATATATAGACCTTTACTGTCCTTATAGTTAGAAAAATCAAGTCATTTTCACAAGTCAAATTCTTACTCTTTTGATTCCCGATGTACCTAACAGTCATCTGACCATCCTACTTCCACTGTATTATATACACTCTGTATATAACCGATACCTCTTACAGTATTTGTCCGTTTGGGTGTGGTGTTATGGTTATTATTATATCTATTAGGGTGTGTTAGGTTTTCTTAATTAGATTCTTGGTGATCAATTTTTATGGTGTTTTGGAGGGGCGAGAAGGGAAGAAGTGGAATGAAAGGTGGGTTGAAATCGTGATGTGATCTATTGAATATCTGTCTAATAAGTAATTCTAATGAAAAGTACAACAAACAAAACCTCCCAAATTTAGAAAAATCACTCTTAACCCAAAGAAGCCACTCCAACGCTAGGCACTACGACCTATCCTTCTGGCCCATCTTACTACTATGCCCTCCAACAGATCATATAGGCTCCGAAAAGGACAACTACCACCCATACTAAAGCGAGTCCAATGATGAGGATGATGTATGGAGTTCTGAGGCCTCCACTGGATCTCTCGCTAATAGTCGTAGGAGATGGTTGGTGGGGAGATATGGTGCGCCTTTGTTTGATGGGTAGGAGGGTTGAGGGTATTGATGTTGGTGGTGGGTATATAGTCCTGATGTTGGTTGTTGTTGATGTTGTTTGTATGGTTGTCATGGCATCCGAGGTTTCATCTTTGGGGATAGTTGTGGACAAAGATGGTGAGACGTCTTCGATAGGTTGCGCTGAGATCGAGGATGTGAAGATGACGAGATAGGGGAGGAGGATTGTGGATGAGAAGTTAGAGAGGAAGAGTTTCATTTTTGGCTTCTTTGCTTTGGATATTTGAATAGGTTGGAAATGATTGTTGAGTGCTTGATGTGGATAGAGTTTGTGCAGATGTTTAAGGGGGAAAGAGAGGGTTATATCACAGAGAAGGATATATATATACTTTTGGAACAGAGGATCTTGGACCTGTATATGTGAATGGAAATTAGAATGCGAATTCATGATTGGGTATGTGAATCATAAAGAGAAGTTGGGCTCTTAACGTCTGCTACTTTGCGAGTGGTAAACGAGGGTTGGGGGGTGGTTGGTTCTCTTTGTTATTTTTCTTAGCGAATCTCAAGGAGAGATTTATAGGGAGTGAAAGCAGATACGCAAGGGTTAAACAATATTCATTATGGCAAGGTATTCTAAAGGCGCCCATCAAAAACAATCTGTCTAAACATCTATCAATCCCCAACTTCGACCCTATAACAATCTCCGTAATAAAGAAATCTAACCTCATCACACCAACACCTCTCATCAACGAACCAAATAAAACACTTCCCTCGTGTACATCCTAGACAGAGCATTACAACTTACTCCGAATTCTACAAAATTTAGAAATAGCCCATACCGCTAGGGCCGAGGCTAAAACTGCCCCAACTACGATGCCTACCAACACCTTTATAGATGGACCGAATCCATCATCTCTCTTGGTTTTGAGACTAGCTGGTGGTGGTTGGCCGGAATCGATAACAGTATTTGTCCTTTGCTTCGAGGCGACAGGCAAGAGGGTCATGGGAGCTGCGTGATCTGAGTGGTCTTGTGGTGTGGCGTGTCGTACGAATTTTGCGACTTTGGAATTTATGGGCATGATTTGTGCGGGTTTGTGGTTTATGGGCATGGCACTTCCGGGTTTGCATAATGGTGCTTTACGTCTTCTTGTATGTTGAGAGTTTGAGGAGATTGCGCGCTCCTCTTCCTGATTTCCATATGTTGGAAGGATGAAGAGGGACAGGAGGACGAGCATAGTTGCCAAGAAGTGTGCGGTGGAGAGCTTCATATTTGCTTTAGGTTTTCAAGCGTGTGTTGGGGTTTCTGGTGATATGTAATCTTGATTTGGAATGCAGAGTTGTTTGATATGTGGAAGGTTGAAATGTGTTTTAAGAAGAGAAGGAAGAGGTGGGGTTTATATCGATATGTGTTTGATAAAAGCCTGGGACTCCATGGATGGCATTCTGATTGTGTGATTCATGAATTTTTATTCTTTACTCAGATGAAGGCTACATTAGCTCTTAATGTAGCCACTAATGAATCACATCTCGTCTTTCAACGCCTTCCTACCGACTAAGTCATCTCAAGCTACCTCTCTCTTCCCCCTCGCTATAACACTCACATCATTACTCTAAGAGAACCGTCCATCTTTTTGGACACACTTTGAGAACATATTGTACTAGAATTCCTAAAACATTCAACTTAATTGTTCTAAATCATGTAGGCTAATAAAGATATATTAACTTGAATTTTCCGTAATCGCACGCATAACTAGTTTCTTTGTGCAAGGCCTTTATGATAGTGTTATTTTGACCTAGGTGCGTTCAGAGTAATGACCGCATTTCTTACACCATAACGAACCAAAGCACTGTCAATCAACCAATTTTGTAGCCTTTTCCTGCAAACGCAGCACATTGAAATAGCAAAAGCTACTACAAACAACCCCAGTAATGCTATTGCCACTGTTTTCTGACCAGAGTTTGCTTCCCTTTCTGGGCTAACTGGTGGTTGTGAGGATGTGTTATTTCCGTTTTGGCGAGGAAGAATTTCGATTTTTGGTTGCAAAAAGACGGCTTTTGGATGCACGGCTCTTGTGATAGTTGTTCTTGTATCTGGGTCTAGGACAAGAGAGTTCTGGCTTTCTCTCTCGTTTCCGGGTGTGGAAAGCACACGCGGGAATAGTAGGAGGAGCATGGCCGCAAAGAATAGAGAGGCAGAGAGCTTCATCTTTGTCCATCGTTTTTCTTGAGGATTCCGCGGGACTTATCTCAATAGCTCTTGGAACAAGACAAAAGTTGATTTGTATGGCTGTGCCTTGCTGGATGTGAAGCTTCAGATGATGTTTGTGAAAGTAACAGTGGGTGCGCTCTACGAAGGTGGAGGATGTTATATACTTCGGACTGTTTGAGACTTCACAAATCAATTTTGTGAGGGATGTGAATCATAAGCAGAGGTTAAGACTCTAGTACTAGTATTGGTGACTCAAATAAACAATTCTGAAACCCACCACCACTACCACCACCACCACCACATTATTTGCTCTAAATAACACACCAATAATCAAGCTTCGTAAAGGCCCAAATCTGCCTTTCATATTGAGGTCTGAACCACTACAGTAGTCCCTCGCGTCGCTTGCGAGTGCGCTCAGAATACCGGTAGTATAACCAACACGAGACCCCTATGATCAAAACAAGCGAGATCAAACCCACTGGAAGTGCCCAATACACAATGATCAACGAATACTTGAGATATACGTCTTTTAGTGTTACGGAACTGGCTGTGGTGTTCGACGGATAAGGATGGGTGACATATCTTCGCTCCAGGAATGAGGTCGCATGTATGTTGTTTGTACTGGTTGTTTTGGTCTTTGGACTCAGAGTGTCTGAGTATTTGCCTCTCTCATCCTCATTTCCACATGTTGGAAGGACAAGAAGAGTAAGGAATAGGAGGATCGTGACTGAAAACAGAGAGAAGGGCGAGCACTTCATTTTGCTTCTTTGTGTTTTGCTGTATTTGAGTCTTTGATATCTTCGGAAAAAGTAAGTTGTCTGGCTGAGCGTTGAGATGTTGTTAGTTTGGAGTTGTTTCTTGGAGAACGAACGCTGCAAATAAGTATGTCCAGGACGTGGGCTTTTAGACATGCAAAGACAGAGAAGCACAATAATATCGATTAGTCACTCAATACACGAGTCATCGCTGTTGAGATCCTATTCAAGAAGGAGTCAAACATAGGCATGTAACCATCCGTCCCCAGATTCTAAGGACTCATGAAATATCTCTATTTAATCAGTAGCACAGCTACAAAAGTCTATCTAGAAGAAAAGAAAAGATTGCAGTCGCTGACTAGTGGACATAAATTGGATACCCAACTTGGAAAAACAACTGAGCCCTAATCCCTTTCACTGCAGCCACGAACAAGGACAGTACACACGTACGCCGATACAGCAATAATGGAAAGACACACAAGAAGGAATCCAACAACGATATATACAGTCTCGTTCCCCGTCAGTTATCTCTTCTCAATTGCCCTCTTCACTATCTTATTTTGTCCGATTGGTGTCGGGGAAGTGATTGTGGTGAAAGTGGTGATTGTAGTAGTAGAGGCAGGAACAGTCGTCGTGTAAGTACTATCCGACTCGGAGGAGACGATCGTCGAGGTTTGAGTTTTTGTGAGGACAATGAGTGTTGCAGTATGGACGTGGATTCCGGAGCCACCGCTCTGTTCTGGATCAGGCTTCTGAGAGCCTTGAGAAGTTGGCTGCGAAGTGGAGGTCGAAGTCTGTTGCGGTGCTTGGTTTTGAGAAGAAGTGAGTGGTGGGATGTGACTTGTAGAATTCTGGCTGGAGGTTGACTTGGGCTGTTGAGTTATGAACACAGAACCTGTGAGTTTCTGGCTGTTTGTGGAGTTTTGAGGTTGAGTCTGCGTACTTGTAGCCTTCATGCTACGGGATGTGGAGGTAGAGTTCTCGTGTAGCATTTTTGGGCTTGCGGCCCCAGTTTTGTAACTTGTACTTCCGTGTTGGCTTTGAGTCGTGATCTTTGGCAGGCTGTAACTTTTGCTTCCATATTGAGTGTACGAGCCCGTCGCGTGTGGGCTCGAGCTCAAGTTTTTGTACTGCGTACTTGAAGTTGTGGCGTGGGTAGTGGAGCTTGAATTATGACCATTCGTGTGATGTTTGGGCGTCTTAGTACTTTGTGGTTCCGATTTGGTTTGTGGATGTGGGGTGTTAAATGGCGTATTGTGAGTTATTGTCGTTGTGAAAGTTGGGACTTCGATATTTGAAGCGTTTGCTTTGATGTTGAGCGACGAAGTTGTCAAGGAGAGAAGTGAGGTGCTTGATCTATTGGTTTCTGGTTCATCTTCATCGTGGGCAATTGTGGGAAGGGTTTGGAGAAGGATCAAAGTAAGAGTGGAAAGAGAGTTGAGCAGCTTCATTTTGATTGGGTTTTGAAAACCGATACACAAGTTCCTGAAATTGTATTTTGGTTGTTGCTTCTCCTTAGTAGGAAGCTATGGAGCCTAACAATACAAGACTGGGAGTGGTGTGAATTGTGGGAATATATTTTCTGTATCTTGGTTCGCTGTGAATGTGCTTGCAAAAAACTGAATGTGGGTGTTTTTCAGATATATCTGGCCTCGCCTGATTTATTGAAAAGACGGCTATAGTAGTATATGATTATGTTCCGTGAAAAACATAATGCTCATACCACATTTTTGGATATACTTCCATTTTGTCGCATCGACCCAGGCCCCTATCCGAATAGACGAGCCCCGCAGATTTTAAGCGAGCAAAGTTCAGAACCGCTTTCCTTTAGATATGCAATCAGTAAGTATTAATCAGAAGCGGCGTTGACAATATAACGACAGCCAAATTAAAATTTGCAGATCGCAATAGCTGTGTCGCGTCAATAAGCTATACACCAAGCCCATGCCTCATAATAACTTCTATTTGTTAAACTGTTAACAAACATCGACCTTGGAAAATAAGGTTCTATCTAGCTAAGAGGATCCAAGTCTGTCCCTCCACCCTTTCTTTGATTGCAATTTATGACTTATCCTCAAGTGATTCACATAACGTGCCAAACTTCCACTTTGCCGGTTTATCCATCTGATTTTAATGCCCATAGTGCAGATGAATAGCAAGAAGTCACGTTTATTGGACTTGGTGGGCTAATTTTCCGACATTTTTGCGAAGTGACTTTCTAGCCCTGACAGGTTGTCAACGCTCCTAGGGTTCTGGGAGTAGTTTCAGAAACTTCAAACCGAACAGGGTAATAGATCTTTGAAAACGACGTGTTTCTTTGGATTTGGTAGGCTTGAGGGGTTGCGAGGTGGCCCAGATTTGATTTTCATAAGGATGCGCGGATTAAATGGGTTTACAGAAGATGAAACTTGTGTAAAGAAATGCTGCGAACCTATGTTCCACTGCTGTGAAAGGAACTGCGAATGCTCATAGCTGATCCACTAAACTCACATTATCGAGTCAACTTCGTATCTGCTTAGTATAAACTACTAAGTGTGATCGCTTGTACTAGGCTGCCGGAAATTTTCTATGAAATTATGCAGTATATCTAAGAGAGCTGACCTGATGGATTTTGTTTACTGTTTAGTGCATGAAACTGGCTCTAGAATGTGATCTCAATCCGTAGTGACTTGTGATCCAGAAACCAGATTCCATCTGAAGATGTTCCAACGAACTTTGTTATCTACTATAACTGCTAGAATGATCCAGATGTTGAAATTTCTATGGTGTTTTAAGAGAGGCGGGCATTACTCTGTACACACCTGGGTTATAAAATATTATTGGGTTGAAAGGGTATTGGGTACTGAAGGTCATGGAGAATTGATTGCATTGTAAAAGGTAGCTATCTAAGGTGTTTATATAAAGAGTGTAAGGTTTAGGTAGACATGAAGCATTTAGGCAGCAGAACTATAAGTGGATCAAATAAGGAAGTGGAGCAAAAGAGAAAGTAGACCCAGCACAACAAATATTATTCTGAAGACCTCATATAACTAAATTAATTATACGAATAGTTTAGAACAATTGTTACTTTTCAATTCTTATTGTACTAGGTGAAATGGGACAATTGAGTTACTTGTACCAGAGTTTTGATATAATAACTTTTGATAGCGCGTACAGAGCAATGCTCGCCTCTCTTACTTAAGCTCTGCCCACATATTCAACCTTTCAAATAAAGAGAGAGAGATACACCAAAAATCTTCGCCCAAAACCAAATCTGGGCTACGGCTCGCCAACCACTTGGGAAGTCAAGAGATCCCAGAAAATTCGTAACTTCACGGAAAGCCAAGTCTATTCCTTTAACCCTGCATTGCGGCCACAGCATTAGATGAGAGAATACCGAACTAAAAACTAGAGACGCAATTCTCTAAAACTTTGAACGATGGCAAAAGATCTCGATCCCTCCGTTACGATTATTGAGAGCTCACTACTATCCAAGTTCTTTAACCAAAAAGACCAACAGAAAACGCCGTCCTTAGAGTAAGTCCATCGAAAAGGTGCCGCCATTCCCCAGCTAGCATCCAAGTTTTATAGACCATCAACTGATAGAAGCACTTCCCAGGCTGCCCCAACCTCTGGTCACTGTGCACCTGATGTGGCTTGGGGTAGAAACAAGAACATACTTGATTCACAAGAACATCATTTGCAAATACTCCCCATTTTTCGAAGCCGCATTCATCTCAAATTTCAAAGAGGGCGAAACCCAAAGGATGGAGCTATGGGGAACGTTCGGTGATACATTTGGTATATTCTTGAATTGGCTCTATAAGCAAAAGATCGTAGACGAAAATGGTTGGGTTACGTCCGCCGAAGCTCTCATAGACCCGTGGTTGCTAGCACAGCGGTTTTTAGTTCCTCAATTACAAAACCAGGCATTGACCCTGTTGGAGAACATACGCGGACTAAAGAAAGAGAATAATAGGCGACTACCTCCTTTGATGTTGAAATGGATATACAATAACACATCAGAGGATTCTGTACTTCGACAATACGTTATTGCGACGTGGCATGATGGGGTTATCGCGGAAAAGGATGGATTTCTCCATCCCCGGTTGTTGCTTCTTGATATTGTGAACTCAAACTATTCGAAAATGAGACTAGCAGAGCTCCAATGGAACCAGCAATATCCATCAACACAACCTCAAAAAGAACCCGTTGGACTCTCGATAGATGAGTTAAAGAAATTCTACGTTGATGAAACGATCGTACGTGCCAAGCATCCAAACAGACGAAAAGACAACGCAGATGGACTAGAATATGAGGGGAACGAGGAAGAAGACATGAACGAGGACGAAGACACCGAACACTGAGCTTCGGCGGGATTATTGAGACTCAAGCAGTTTGGCAAATCTCCCAATCTTCAGTTTCTCGTTATGTTGGGTGTTGGACAAAGAGGACATGAAGCGAGCACAGTTTTTTTGTATCAAACTTTTCAAGCGAGATCCTATTTTCGTGCACCAGCGTGCAGGACAGGGCTTGAGCGAATCAGTTCGATGTCGCTGCAACAATCCTTCATTACTTTGAGACCCACATTCATACTTTCTTGAAAATGAAGGATTTCTGTGAAGCTGGATAAATCTGATTTGGTGTGATACTGTGTATATTTGAGTAATCTATCGAACTAGTAGCTTGTTTTTAGTGACGTGTTTCTAAGACTTTGTCATTGGACTGGTAGATAGGAAGGTAGAGATGGAGTGACTAGCAAGGAACACTCAAAGTTCATGCTGTATGATTCTCAGCAAATAAAAATCTTTCTGCCTTACCACCAATTCACTTAGAGGTATTCAGTAATCTAGAAATGGAAAAAGATCGAACTTATTCAAAGCTTACTTGGGAAAGTACTATCTATCATGACCTATAGTCATGAATGTGGTTGTCCATGGAGTCTGTCTCTGGCATATGTGTTGATATAATGACTTGACATTTTGTTTCAGTGGCTATGTTTGGTTATTATACACCTGAATTACAACGAGGAAAACGAAAAAATTGTTATTCGTAAACACTTCATATGTCATCACTCATCATTCTTCTATAACGCTTTCATACTGACTTCGAGAATAGCGGGACAAAGCAATTGATGCTAGATAATATCGCGACCCCAAGAACTTCGGTATCTTTGTCAACTAGCTTTAAAAGAACTTTATCGTGGACATGGATAATTTGACTGCCTATCATGAGCCTGTTATATATCTCCGACTCTCGCATCCAAATTTATATAGCGACCCGGAGCTGCAAAATCAGGCACTAACGTTATTAGAGAACGTATCTTAACTACGATCTCTCGAATACAATAATATAGACAAACGAACACTTCCACTCGAACTCCTCATAAGGATGTACGGGAATACGCCTACGTCAACATGGTATAATGGGACTATCTCACCGGAAGACCTGATTTTATTACCCCCTGGACTTATTGGCTGATATCATAAACATAACGTATCCACGCGGCGGATCCTCAAATATCGCTGGACTTTCCATGGATGAACCTAAGAAGTCTTTTGTCTCCGAGGCAGTCAAAAGCACCAGGAATCCCAACAAAAATACTCTTCTCTAAGTATGAAATTCAGTCACAAAGAACCGAGGGCAAAGAAGAGCACGAGAAAATGTAAAATAAGCGAAATGATCGAGTCAAAGAAAGCCCCACCCCTATGAATGAGAACCAGTGTAATTAACAAAGCCCAAGTAGATATGTCGATTACATATTCATTCTCTGCTATGTATATGAATTATGCGAGTTTAGATGTAAGACTACAGTAGCTCGAGAGTAGGTATGTAGTGGCGGAAGTCTGGTTCCGCCCCCATTTTTCGGATCTCCGAATACATCATACCAGTACAATGTTTATTATGCGGGTGCCATAACATGTTTTCACTCCCCCATACCGCAATGTGATGTATTCCTGTAAACTTCCATAGGCAAAGCTCCGAAATCGGCACTGCTTTATTGCACATTGCATGAAAGTGACCAGCAGCATATGAAATTTAAACTGCCAAAGTCACCTCCACATGCCCGTACAGTTCGAGATACATCATGCGACACCAACTTCTCCAAATATCTACAAACACCACCAAAAAGGAGACAAGAAACCGGACATCCATCCTCCCATGTGGTTACATTAGTAACTCATAGAACAAACCATGAACAATAATGACCCAGAAAAAGCCCCTGGCGAAGCGACACAAGAACCACCTCCACCTCCACCTCCACCTCCACCTCCACCACCGTCTCCATACAGCATCTACACAGCGCGCCAGAAACTCCTCATCGTAGCGATAGTCTCGGTAGCAGCAACCTTCTCAGGGTTCGCAGGGAACATCTATTTCCCCGCCATCCCCAGTATCTCAGCGGACCTAGGTGTCTCGGCGGAGCTAGTGAATCTGACTATCACGTCGTACATGATCTTACAAGGGCTATCGCCTTCGATTTGGGGTGCCGTGGCTGATGTAAGATTTCTTTTTCGATAACCCATTTATTTGGGAAATATATACTGAAGAGGACAGTAGATATAAGGATGAATTGCTGATTTATAAAAAGGTCCACGGGAGAAGAGTCACATATCTATGTACCTTCACCGTCTTCATCGGCGCCTGTATCGGACTAGCAAAAACATCGCGTTACTACCAGCTCGTGATCCTACGATGTTTGCAAAGCACGGGCAGTGCGAGTACCATCGCCATCGGTGCGGGCGTGGTAGGTGATATCACGATCCGCGAGGAGAGAGGGGGGTACATGGGATTATACCAAGCAGCTCTACTTTCCCCCGTAGCCATCGGACCCATTCTCGGAGGGATATTCTCGCAAACCTTAGGATGGCGATCGGTATTCTGGTTCCTGACGATATATGGCGGAGTATTCATCGTCATCCTCGGAATCCTCTTACCAGAAACCCTCCGAGCAATGGTAGGAAACGGCTCCATACCCGCCAAAGGCCTCTCCATCTCCCTCCTCTCCTACATCAAACTCCATCGAACCTCCACCAGCAGCTCCCCACCCCCCTTACAAAAACCCCCCACCACAACACCACTCACCAAAACCCTACCCGTCGACTTCCTCGGCCCCCTCCGAATAATCTGCAGCATCGAAGTAACCCTCTCCATCCTCTTCCTCGCCATCTACTACACCATCTGGCAAATGATAATCGCCGCCCTCTCCACACTCTTCAAACAAACCTACGCCCTAACCGAGCTCCAAATCGGGCTCTGCTTCCTCGGCAACGGCCTAGGCTCCATCATCGGCACGCTCACTACGGGAAAATTCCTAGACGTCGACTACCGCCGCTTCAAAACGCGTTTTGGTGGACGAGCCGAGGATTTTCCCCTGGAGAGGGCGAGGTTGAGAAGTATCTGGGTCTGGGGACCCCTTCAGAGTGCGGGGGTCCTGGTTTTTGGGTGGACGTTGGATTATGGCGTGCATATTTCTGTGCCGGTCATTTGTACTTTTGTGGTTGGGTGGGCGGCGACGAGTATTCAGAGTATTATTACGACGATGTTGGTGGATATCTATCCGAAAAAGAGTGCGAGTGCTACGGCGGCGTTGAACTTGGTGAGATGTTTGATGGGTGCTGGAGGGACGGCCGCTGTCTTGCCTATTGTTGATGTTATTGGTGTTGGTTGGACCTTTACAATGCTTTCGGGGGTAATGCTCGTCGGTTTGGGATTATTGGTAGTGCAGATAAAAAAGGGGGTATCTTGGAGAAAGAGAAGGCTGGCGAAAAATGCTATTGGATCTGGTTCGTGATGCTTTGAACCACTTCGACATGTACAATCTCTTTTATTTTGATTACATCCTCACCTTAAGCCCAAGGCCCACTACTACTTTTTTCGACACTACATCAGGTGCTCTAATATTCGCCCACCCTGTCCACCACCATTCGTGATGTAGAACGCAGTATAACCATGGACTCCACCAATACATATGGTTTACAAGTAGTCAATCATCATAGCATGCCTATACATAATCCTACAATCCTACAATCCATCCCTTATCATCCTCGCTTATCTCAACCCTCAAATTTTCATATATTCAACCAATCATCACCTGCCTATCCTGCTTACACCTCTCGCAAGTTACCACCACGAACCCTCTCTCACTCTCATCCATCGGCCCACAACTCTCACACAAAACAGGCTGTACAGGCATAACTTTAACAGCCATACCTTTCATCAAACCCTCATAAATCTCAGTCTGAAACTCTGTGACATCACTCGTCAAACGCAGAAACGCCCATTTTACTCCCTCATCAGCTAGCATATTTTGCATTTCTGCGATAGCCATTTCAACAACCACCAATCGTAAACCGGGGTTCTCGTGCGTGGTGCCTTTGTAGACTCTTCGTACAAGGTTGAAAAATAACTCGTGTTCTGTGACAAGGCTGATGAGGTCATGTTGGAATCTCTCAGCGGCATAGTCTTGAAGGCCATGGACTTGGAAAGTAGATGCGAGAATGAAAATTTGGACGTGGAGGTTGAGGATAGACTCTGGTGTTATGTCACCGCGTGGTTCGGGATAACCGGAGGTGTAGATGTAATCGAGTAGGCATTCTGCTGCTGCGGATGATCCATATTGGGAGATGTCAAGGATCGGCCCCTAGAGTTTCGGTTAGGCCGTCTCCCAAATGCAAGCATGCGAAATGTTGATCAACAATGGAAGCAACCACTCATGCCACTTACTTCCAATGCTTCCAGTCCCTCAATCATGGCTTCCAAAACTGGCGACTTAGAACAAACGATGACCTTATGCGCCTGCCAAGTTCGTTGTTTATGGATAATTGTCAGATCCGAGTACTTGCCCAGCATCAGTGAACTGTCACGATTAGCCGAGCCCGCGTTGTATACGCGCAAGAAGCTACTAACGTGCGAAGAGCCGGGAGTGCACCATCGTGTATGGACTGTATTCTTGGAGAGGGAGCATTGCTGCTTGGGGATGGGGTAACGGGAGTAACAGGAGCTGAAGTGGTGCTGGGAGAAGGTTGGCTGGGTGAGTGACTAGTCATCCCTAACAGCTGTGCGCTTGGTTTCACCATCTCTGCGTACAGTTCAAGTGCATCAGCTTGTCTTGCTTCGTAGATGATCTGTCGCTCAACTTCGTCGTGGTGGGTTGAGGAGTTGAGGCTACGGTTGTCGGGAGGCAGGGTTGACGTTGACGTTGTGGATGGAGTTTGAGAAGAAGGGCGGGATCTAGCCTCGAGGCGCGTGGCAGTCATGTCGGCGCCGCGTCCGTGGAGAGGCGAAGCGAGAGTGGGATGGAAATAGCTAGTGAGGGAAGGTGCATTGGACCTATATGGTGAATCCAGAAATCTGGGAACAGGACTTCCAGTCGTTCCTGCCTTCGTGAAAAACTCCAGCTTCAATTGAGGACAAAGACAAAATACGCCACCTTGCCCGAAACAGACGAACGTTTATAGTGCGGTGATACCTGGGCATGTAGAGCATATAGATATTTCACCTATAGGTATAGGTAGGTATAGATGGGCCAAGTCACGCAGTGCTTGCCCTTCCTTTATCACTGCCGCCTCTTTGGAATGAACCTGGCACCCTCAACTCTCCAGCTCTCGTATCTTCAACTTCCGTCCCCGCCATAGAAATATCATCTCCAGCACCACCGGCACCATCACCACGAATTGCAAAAGGCGCACCATCCACAACAAGGTGGTTTGAGAAGATGTCTAGGGGGACATCTTCATCCGAGTCAACGATGATGGGTGTTCTATCAAGAATAACACCTCCTTCTCGAACGAGCCTCAAGCTCAACGCTTCATCAGGCTCATCGCTCACAGTTTCTGCATCCTCATCAGACCCATAGCCGGTCACCACCCTTTCTTGGCCTGGATCACGAGGCGAAGGTTCCGTAGGCACCGGAGGAGGTCTTGGGGCGAATTGCCTGCCCTGGATCGTTGGAGGCTCTGGGAACTGGTTAGTGATGAAGGGGACCTCGTCCCAATTCATGTCATTCTGGTCAAATGATGGCCTCTTCATCTGAGCGCTCTCTACCGCCACCTCCCGGCCCTGAAGGGTTCTCCCTGCAACTCCTCCGTCAAGGGCCGGTTCAACGGTTCCTTGTTCATACAATCCATGATCAACTCCCGCAACGCCTTGCTATAGTATCCCTCCACGTCGTCGTTGCCCATCCGCACCCCTTGTGTTTCCCCACTTTTGAACAGACCGCAAAGGGTATTTCGCCATGTATTAATGGGAATAAAGAACTGGTCAGAATCACGTCGAGCCACCAAGTTGTGCATGATAGCTCCAATTTGATAAACATTCGTATATGGTCCTTTGCGGGGTCGCCGTAGCTTAAACCATTCATTGTTCGCTTCTGGTGGCCTGTAGTATACTGTTCCGCCGCGTGGTTGGCGTCCAATTCTTTTCAATGACCTTTTTCTTCTTCTTCTCGGCTCTAGTCTGGCCAAGCCAAAATCTGCGATCTGCGAGTAATTAAACTCATTCCTTTCGAAATCATAATTTAGAGAGGATAGGAATTGCTATAGATACCTTTACCAGAGGAACACGAGTGTGATCTTTATCCCGGTTTGGAAAAAAAGACTGTTTATCCCATACATTACTACTAGCTTATATTTCAACAAGATTCATCTGGGCTTACCGTTCTCTGGTTTGAGGCTATTGATGCAATTAATACGTGTAGCAGACAGCCGGGGAGATAAGTGACTTACTCATAATGAACGATATGATGGTTCATATCCCACGACGACGGTGCTCTGCTTGTTAAATCTTCTGTCCCAGGACGACGGTGCTCTGCTTGTTAAATCTTTTGTCCCACGATCCTAGGGACCAACACCCAGGGCCAAACAGTGAAAAATGTACCAAAGATCAGCTTCCAAGAGGGGAACCTCGGGCAAGACTCCACGCTTCCTAGCTGCCCATCGTTCTTCATATAAATTGTGTAAATCTCCACCAGGGCAAAACTCCATGAACAAACGTATCACATCCGAATACATGTCACCGGTAGCACGATCGCGGCTCTGACTACCGAATAATCTTATGATGTGAGGTGATTTGGCAGCTTGCGCCATTTTCAAAATATTTCCTTCTCGAAGCCATTTGGGGTTCTTTTTGTCAAAGAACTCAATTATGGTACTTTTTACCGCAACTTGTGTGACTGCTGGATTTCCGGGGCCGTAATATTGCCATAATCAAACAACTCCATAGTCGCCTCGTCCCAATACTATTCCGACTTTATATTAGCATCTGCGTCACAAGTTTAGAACGCGGAGAATATAAGGACGCTTATTCTTACTTTTTCTCCCATACCACTCGGGACCCAGGCTCTCTTTCCAAGTTGCATCGCTTTGTAGCCAGAGATCCCGAGGAAGGAACTCAGGGTCATCCATTCTTGACCTGTACGAGAAAGAGAGATTGTTTGAAGCGGGGGAGGGCTTCTGAAAGAATTCAAATCAAGGCGAAACAATAAATCCAATAGTAAAAACAAAATAAAGATTAAATCATGTGGTGTGATTGTCGGTTCATGGTTTATTTCATGAAAACAGCGCCTATGTTCAAAGGGCAGCATTTTCATCGTCAAAGGAACAAAGCCCCTAGCTCCAGAAACTATTCGATTGTCTTTGTTATACTTCGGGCACACTGCTTCGAATCCTCCGATACATCTTGGGGTTGCGGCTCTAACTCCTCAATTTGACTGGTGCTACGACCACGATCAACCTTTCGTCGCCAGGGCTTGTATAGAACTACCGATAGCGCCCCAAACACCACGAAAGCACCGCAGATAGCCCCTCCGACTTCAGGGTAGTGATCACCTACAGCGTTGACTCCATCCCAAAATGATCCAGTTGAAAAGTTTGCAATAAGAGACAGAAGTTGAATCATGCCTATGACCAATGCAACTATTACTGTAATAGTCGACAAGATAATAGAAAAGTACAGAATGGCAATTGGATCTCGGGCAAGAGAAGTGGAAGTATAGAGTGTCATCATCAGAGCACCGTCAATCGTATCGATGAGACACATGCCAGCTACGACATGTCAGCGTCTCAAAAGGGGGAAACAAGGAGGAGTTTTGGAATACCTGTGAACAGCAGCGGAAATATTAGAATAAGCCAAATGGAAGTACCCTTGGCGCCTTGCACCGAGGCAATTCCAAGAACGGCAATCTCACTGCTGGTATCGAATCCTAAGCCAAAGAGCACCCCAAGAGGATACATCTTCCATGCCCGGTCAATGAAGTTGAATGCCTTCTTAAATAACCTCACCATAAGACCGCCTCCTTGCAGATCTAGGCCTGCCGCGGCACCTTCTTGAGCCATTGCATCTCTGTCTTCGCCCACATCCTCTTTTAAAACGAGTCTGAGCCGTTGTACCAGCTTGTATAATATCCAGGCGTTTCCTATGCCGAGAAGCAATAAAACCGCAGCACTAACGCTTGTCCCAATTATTCCACCCACATTTCGGAAGCCCTCGAATCTCTCTTCCAACGCGCCAGCCGTTGCGGCAACGACTATGCAAGTGATGGTGACTATAGTGCTGTGCCCGAGGGAGAACCATGTTCCCACCGTGACTGGCTTCGAACCTGTAGCTACCAAACGCCGTGTCATCGTGTCAATGGCGCAGATATGGTCCGCATCAAGAGCATGTCGGAGGCCGAGAGTGTAGGAGAGTATTGCAGACGAGGCGAGAGAAGAATTCGCTCGCAGAACGAAGGCAGTAGCTATCCATACGACAATGTTGATTATGACGAGGAGGGTAATAATTCCCACGGCTTCGAAAGAGAGTAGACGAAGCTTGAGAGGGAGTCGTAAGGCAAGTTGGACTGCCCATCGAGGGGGGTATTGGAAGCGCATGTTTGCCAGGGATGATTATGTGAGCCGTACTTTATCTGGTCCAAGAGGCCCGTATAGTGAGCAGTAGAGGTAATTGAAGCCATCGAAAACTTTCCTCCCTACCTACCTTGTGTGCTCCCGATAGCTAGCTAACCACCCCCACCTACGTACCCCGCTTGCTTGCTGGCTTTTTTCATCCATCGCGGTAAGATTGCCCTGGCCGGCGGCCCGAAGGCAAGCAATGATAGTAGCCATCAAAAACCGTATGAGTAACATGTATTTGCGTCCTGACATTTGTGCTGCAAACGTTGTTGAGTGGTTTTATGCTCGATGGAATGACATTTCAATTGATCCAATCGAGATCTCCTCCAAGCAATAGTAAGTCTGCGGTATCGCTTGGCAGATTCCGTAGGTACGAGGTACGAGTACCGAGTACTTACAAGGTTCTAGGCTTGAATCTGGGTCACGTGGACCCAGCTCTGGCATCGATAGGTAACTCCAGCTTGGAATTTGGGGAGTTCGTCACGTAATATTAATTCATAATTACGTTTTTGAAGAGAGAGTCTTGTGATAGAAGTAGAAGGTAGTGGACGTCGATTACAGCATTCGACATTCTTTGTAAGGGGGTGGGCAGCTCGCGTCGCCCGTCCCCCCTTGTATACGACGTACTATAGGAAGGGATTAACCCCACAATATAGCTAATTGGATAGCCCGATTTATAGGTACGGAGGAATATCAGAATTGATAAAGGAGGGAAGGAAGGCGATCCAAGATATCAAACCCTCTTTACTCGATCTTGAAAGCGAGATATTTTCAAGAGGCTAGCAGAGTGGCCGACATTCAGATGTAAACATTCAAAGAGGCAAAGATAATTGCTTTGTGCTGTTCCAACGTGCTCTCAACTCCTTTAGGCATTCGTCCTTGATAAGTACATTAAATAGGTCAATCCTCTTAAAACCCTCACGTATTTATTCGAAGCGTCCTACATCATCGGAAAACTAGGTATGAATCACCATAAAGATGTCTACAGAGTGAGCAAACACAACTAACTAATCGAGAACCTTATGGAAACTTTCGTCTATCTTTAGATTGATTAAAGATCAAGATTTTTGAACACTAAATTAAAATCAGCGATATCAAAGGACATAATCGTAGGAGTTTACTGTATTCTACTGTACTGACCTTCCTTCCTCGGGCCTATTCTAGCATTGGCACTTTCTTGAGGGTCTTGGCTTCTCGGGTTTTTGCAATGTTGAGTTATGCGCTGTACGAAAAGCAATTTCCCTGGCATTTGCGAGGACTCTGGTGACCTAAATACCAGAACTCGTGGAGAACTTAGGAGCACGTGGTACCTGTTTACCTGCCGTTTCCAAGATTCATATAGGGACGTAGAACGCTCCAACGACAGAACTCCACCCTCATGCGGGTGTGGATATTTCCCCGCACCACCCAATTGGAGCGCTTCACGTCAAGCACCTCTTCCCAGCAATTTATTTCCAAACAAGCATTCCTACAGTTATAAAGTTATTCCGGTAATGCGGGGATATACTGTCCATGGCTATATTGAGTGGAAGAACAAGGCCGTGAAGGGTCTTACTCCTAATAAGTAGAAATTCATTCCTTCAGAGAGAGGATAAGATGCAGCTTTCAAGAATTGCTTCCGATATCCTCAGAAAAAATGAAGCCAACTGTTATTGCCTTTTTTCTCGTCCAAGCCAGTCTTTCTCTGGCCCAAGCTTCAAGATTGAATATAAGTGCCCTCGCGGAAAATTATTTCAAAAACGATGCACCTTGGTATATCGACAACATCCCATTTTTCGAGACAAGTGACAGCCAAATTCAGAACGTGTACTACTATCGTTGGAAAATATTCCGATCTCACCAACGTGATCTGGGCGCAAAAGGCTTCATTATGACGGAATTTCTGGATGATGTGTCGTGGCAAACACAACCTTACGGAACACTTAATGATGCTACCGCTTTACACTTACAAGGCAAGCAAACTTCAACATTTCTCAGAACAAATGAGTTTTGACATGTTACAGAGGCTAGATGGGCGCATAATCGCCGTTACAAAAATGACTACGCTTCATTCATCTACAGCTCATATAGCAACCCTAGACAATTTTCTGAGAGCATAGCCGATGCTGTTTGGAAAGGGTACTTGGTTGATGGCGATGCTAGCTTTCCGATCTCACTTCTGAGTAACATGCAAAATGTCTTCGTTGCTTGGAATTACAGCTTTGATGCTTCGAAAGGATTGTATTTCGTGGAACCCCTTCGCGATGCGACTGAGTATTCAATCGCCAGCATTGATGCATCTGGTGGCCAGGATGGGTTTAGATATGGCGAAGCTTTCCGTCCCAGTATCAACAGTTACCAATTTTCGAACGCAAGGGCTATTGCAAACATTGCCGCGTTGAACAATTTGACGAATATCACTGATGAATACAACAAACGCGCAGCTGAAATCAAACAAAACCTTCAAAATCAGCTGTGGAATAGCACTTACCAACACTTTATCGATAGGCACCAGGCTGAGAACAACTTTGTAAAGTACTTTGACTTCATTAGAGGAAGAGAGCTTGTCGGATACGTTCCATGGGCCCATGATTTACCAGACGATAACAAAGTCTATGCACAGGCCGTAAGTAAAATCCGTTTTCTCACTACCTGCTCTAGCTTCTCCATACTTTGATTACTCCTAGTACCTCTCACTCCCGAAGCGATGCCCCACCTATGAATTGATCGAGGAAAAAAGCTGACACTCTGCACTTTTAGTGGAAGCATATTCTGGACACCAACGAACTCAGAGCTCCGTATGGTTTGCGAACAGTGGAGCCAACATACGAATACTATATGCGTCAATATCGCTACGAAGGTACACGTCCCGAATGCCAATGGAACGGACCAATTTGGCCATTTCACACGACCCTAGTCCTTACTGGACTTGGAAACTTCCTAGACCATTACACCACTACTGGCTTAGTCAACACTTCGGATTTTATTTCTCTTCTTCGCAACTACACTCAATTACACTACAACTACGGTGTCCTAAACCTTCAGGAAAACTACGACCCAGCAACCGGGAACCCAATCGTGGGCTTAGTCCGATCACCACATTACTTCCATTCCGGATACGTCGACATAATACTCAATCAATTAGTCGGTATTCGGGCACGAGCAGATGACCGACTTGAGATTAATCCTCTAGTTGACGAGTCCATCGCTTATTTCCGTGTCGAGAAGGTCCCTTATCACGGTCTACAAATCAGCGTCCAATGGGATTCAACGGGCAACAAATATGGAGTCACTGGCCTCGTCGTTGAAATCAATGACGCCGTCGTCACGACTCAGTCAAATGTTCAACGACTTATCATTCCTCTCGCCCCCAGTCCTCCTCCCGCAATTCTACGGCCCATTTCCAAATCTACACAGCCTCTAACCACTACGGCATATCCAAGAGGAAACGTGAGTGTACCTGACCAGAACATCGAGGAAATCCACGATGCCATCGACGGAAGAGTGCAATTCTTCACAGAGTATATAAATGGATGGACTACTCCAGTTGGAAACGGGGTTTCTGAACTCTGGTACCAAGTCGATTTTGGGAACGCCACCGAGATTAGCCGGGCTGAAATTGCGTGGTTTGGTGATTCAGGTACTTTCGATGTTCCAACAAGCTACAAGATTCAGGTCAGTAAAGGATGGAATTGGACGGATGTTTCTAATGCGACATATGCACCTTCTGTTTCCAGTGGTATTACTCATGTATCGTGGGGTACGGAAACGACGCAGCAGGTCAGACTTGTGTTTGTGCCGAAGAATGCGACGAGAAGTCGGTTAGTAGAGTTCACCCTCTTTTGAGAGCTTCGAGTAGTTAATTACAGAAAATTCAATAATAATAAAGGTGGATTGAGATGCGATACACATATTCAACGTTTGACTGCTAAGGCCACTGTATGCGTTCCTTGACCAATTTCCCCTTTTGCCGCAGTGAACGGTCATGTTACTCAATGGACTATCCCTATGGATGGTAGGACGTGGTCTGGGAATGAAACCCTCCACACGATAGTCTCCTCTTGCTATAGTACTGTATGTTAACCTATTTTATCTAAATTTCAGCTCTACTGACCAATTTGGAAGTCGTGAATTCCCTTTTGCTTGCCTACTTACAACAGGGAATCATAACTCATTCATAAAAAGGAACGTCAATGTTCTAGCAGACTTCTAGTGTTGATCTGATCAATGATAAATCTGGGCCGACAAACTATTACTTCCTAAGGAACGCCAGGACTCTACAAGTTTCTACTTATTATTTTCTTTGTGCGACTACTAACACAAGCATAAATTAACTTTTCCATTCCCGCAGAAACCTTATGATATTAAGCGAGAAGATGATTCAGAAGTATTGGGTTGAAAGGGTATTGGGTACTGAAGGTCATGGAGAATTGATTGCATTGTAAAAGGTAGCTATCTAAGGTGTTTATATAAAGAGTGCAAGGTTTAGGCAGACATGAAGCATTTAGGCAGCAGAGCTATAAGTGGATCAAATAAGGAAGTGGAGCAAAAGAGAAAGTAGACCCAGCACAACAAGAAGATACTAGTCGAAAGTGAGAAAATCATAAGGGAGATAAGGCAAAAGATGTATGGTGTACTCAGCATAATAACAAGCCAGCTCGGTACTCGTACAAGTGTAGCGACAGGCTAATTAGCTCGGTAAGATTACAACCGTTGGAACCAGGCAAGCAAGAATAGGATAATAAACTTCCAAGCAACCGACCTTGTAACTCTTTCTGATTTTCCCATGACCGGACTTACATTGCCGGCGAGCCTCTCACTTCAAACCTCTCGCTTGCAAAGCCTCGCCTACTTACTCCTGTAGCACCCACTTCCTTATCACAAAACAGCTAATGATATTCTGCTACTAGTGACTTGTAATCAAGCTAGAGCACTATCGCAGAAACAGAATGTGATTATAGCTCTGATCAATCTTCCAATTAGGAACCAGATAGTAATATTCTTACTATCTTCAATGAACAGCAACACGCCTCGGAAGCATGCATCTTTTTCAAAGTATCCCCTTTTTAAAAGAGTCATTGAAGTGAGTGTGAGAATACTCAATATTCATTGTCAACACTAGCTCTTTTAAGGAGTCATATACATATTTCGATTTATCCGCTCATTCAGGAGCAGGGAAGGGGCCCTTTATTACCAAGTAACATAGTTATATCTTGTGCAGTGGCATTTATAATGATTGACTCCGGCTCTCGTCGCTGGGCGCTCGCAGGCAGGTCGGTATAGCGCAACTTCGGGTCACGGGAGGACTCCATGTACCGAAGGGTGTGTACCGCGTTCGCTAGCGAGAGGTCGAGAGTGAAGATAGGCGAGTCAATAACAGGAGAGAATATACCTTTGTCGTTGATTGCCATTTGTTGTACTTCCTTCAGGATACATCTGTGTCGGTCTAGACTATAGAAATTGAGATGCTAGGTAAATCACGGTTTATTCAAGAGACCAAATAGTCAAATACCTAGGTAGCTAAGTTTGTGTGAATCTGTGGTAATATAGACAAGAGTGTCCCTTTTTCAGTGCGCGAGCATCTCTACTGATCGTTACGGACAGTAATGTATACCTTCTAGAGTATATTAGCCTCGGAACCACGTATACACGAAGTGAATATAAGTGGATGCGATAAATGGGACGGGTTAAAGCTAGAATACTTGCTGTAATTTCGGGTGTTTCTTCTACCTCAAGCATACTTGTAAACGCGACTTGTTCAGCTAAGCGCCGTTGGTTTACGGGGAGAATGGAAGTAAACACGGTTTGTCACGAAACTAGTTCCCCCTTAATTTAGCCGAGACTCCTATCTTAGCTAAAGTTATATATAACTGCTACTATATAAAAACCCCGAGGTTCTACCGTCCGAAGCTATACCGGAGTAAGTATAGGATTTAGATAGTATAGGATTTAAGGCGTAAATAATAGTAGAAGTATCCCTTTCAGACTCGAGAGTACCGGGTGCGGTCGTGCGTTCCTAGTAGAGTAAAATTATCCACTTTCCAAGCACTTTACGCGTGTGCACATACTACTAATGCTAATCACAAATACGTATAGTACTAGTGGTAGTAGGTATATTACAATTTAGAGCGATTTTGTAAAGGAAAATAGAAGTAATAATTTCTATAGAATCTCTAGATATTTCTCTCTATTTAAACGCGTCGCTATACGATTTATTATAGTAACTAGTATACCGAGTAGAGAAAATCTTTTATATCTTTATTACCGTGTTTTTATATGTTCAGGTCTTAATCTATATAAATCCACTTTCCAAGGTCTTAAGCCTTAATTTGACCTATATATTATATCCACAAGTACGCACGACCGCACCCGTCACTATATCTAGCGCAAAAGATCTAAACACCGGACGTAAATCCACTTAGGCTATCGTCCTCCTCCACTAATATGTCTGATTCAACGCCTTGAGCTACCTCTTACCCCTCATCCTCTGTAGTACTACTTTCACCCACTGAAGGTGGATACTGACCACCTACCCCCAAGGCCTCAATAACATGAGCTACTACATCCTGGCCAGCAACCTCCGTATCTCTGCTACTAGTGGTGTTCACTGCCGTTAGAGAGCCACTACCCACATTTAAGGTCTCGATACCCTCTGAAATTAACCGCAAGGGCGATTCACGACGTTCTGTAACAATTTGGCTGGAAACGTGCATACGGGTTGCAATAAGGCGGGAAGGTATGTAACGCGACAGAATGATTGAATAAGCCCCGGGGACAGCTCCGCAGTGGGGAAGAAGAAGGAGAGGGAGTGAGGGATCGCTGTATTACAACCCAACGAGTTTGGAGTTGTGGTAGGGTATAGACAGGAGCAAGATCGAAAGTTTATATCAGGGTGGAATATTAATTAGACTGTCCGCCAGGAGAGGAGAGAACTCCCGCGGTGGAACTAACTAAATATCTATAGAATACCCCTATTCACTTAGGCGAGTATTGTCACGTATAAAACTATTTACTATAAAACTCGAAATCGAACCCTTATAAAGACTTATAAGTAGTAATAAGGGATAAAAGAAAGGAACAGTAGGGATTAAGAGGTAAATAAAGGGCGAGAAAGAGCGTTAATATGTAAATAATACTCTTAAGTAGTTTTAATAGGTTTAAAACTATTAGAAAGTTAATTTCTAGGTATTAAACTAAGAAAAAAGTACTTGGAGAAATTACTACTCTTAAATTTTTATAATACTTATAGAAAAGTCTATAGTAATATTAAAACCTAATAAAGTTTCTTTTCTTTTAAGAATACTAAAAAGATTAAATTACTTTAAATCTTTTAAATAAGAAAAACTTAAGGCTAAAGCTAAAATATAGAAGAAAGTTTATATATTTTCTCTTTCCTTAAAAGTTACTAGAAATATTTCTATTATTCTAAATCTATAAACTAATTAAAACTATCTTTTATTTATAAGAATAAAATAATAGAAAAATAAATTAGAATATTTATATATATTCGCGTAAGAGTTATAGAAAATATATATTAGTTATTCTATATAGAATAATTAGAATAAATAGTTTATTAAGAGAATAAAGTAAAAATATAGTTTTCTATAGTCGTTTTCAAGTAAAATACGTAGAAAAGGTAAAGTAATTCTCTAAAAACCCTCGTTTTTTTACAAGTACTCGAGTACATTCATCAATTCCTCATTTCATTTCACAATCTATTCATTTCCCATTAATTTCCACCACAACCCCCCCCTCCCTCCCATAATTCCGCCAAACAACCCCATCAAAATACCCCTCCGTCTTCCACATCTGTCCAGGAACCCGGAATCCGCCCCTCTTCACATCCACATACGGGATTTAGCCAGACGCCGCGCCTTCGCGGCCTCAAACGAGGTCGGAAGGAAGAGTTGGATATGCTGGAGGGAGGAGAGGATGGTGCGGTGGGGCGTGGAGGTTATAGAGGGGTCGGTGAAGAGGAGCATGCCTTCGAGGAAGACGAAATGGTAGGTTATGGTGGTGTTAGCGAGGATGTGCGCGACGCGGTGACGAAGATGGGTGATGGTATCATGGTATTGGGTTTTCAAATCGTCTCCTACGACGCCTAGGTAATTCCCCTCTTTCGCGCCGGCGGAAAGTACCTCCCCCTTCTCCTTGAGATCTTTGACGGCCTTCCATAATCCTTCGAAGTCAAATGCCTAGGCACAATCCGTGTCCGGGCCCGTAACCTTCCATTTCTGCCCCTGAGAGCCCTCCTTCCCATCACCTAACACCTCCGTAATCTTGTAGAAACCAGAGTTACTACCCATACTCCTCATCACGAATTCCTTCTCCCCCTCGCCAACCAGAAATGAGGTAGTAGGAACCGCCGTCTTGGCCTTGAAAAAGTCATCTTGCGTGAGGGTGTGCTGTTTTCGACGGCCAGCTGCTTTCTCCTCTTCCGTCTCGGGATTGAAGACTTTTTTTAGGAGGTACGCGAGCGTTGATTTTCCAGAGGAGGAGATCCCCGAGATAGCGACGAGGATGATCTTTTCTTCCTTCTCCGCTGCCGTTTGCGTTGTAGCATCAGTAAGAGTCGTAGTAGTCTGCGTCGACGCATCGGTACGAACAACAGCAGGCCCAGAAACTCGTCGCTCCCCCTCAAAAGAATAAGAAGCACCCTCGCTATCCTCAGACATGAACCGAATAGCATCTTCAACCCCCCCTCCCAACTCCCCATACTCCCTCGCAATACCCTCCATCGAGGAATCCTNGAATAAGAAGCACCCTCGCTATCCTCAGACATGAACCGAATAGCATCTTCAACCCCCCCTCCCAACTCCCCATACTCCCTCGCAATACCCTCCATCGAGGAATCCTCCACCATACCACAGCCCTCCCCCTCCCCTACGAGCCCCTTTCCATACTCGCTTCGGAAATCCTGCCATGTCTCATATGGATACCCACCCAGATCACCCCATGAAGCAGAACTGGCGCGCGTATGACTTCGACGATGGCCCATCGTAGCCTTGGATACATCGCGATTGATGCTCTTTCCCTTTTCCTTTCCCTTAACATCGTGGAGCAAGAGATCACCAAGTCCACCCATAGAAATAGCTCGTCGTCGGCGGCTAGGTTCAACTTCTTGCTTGACTGCTACGTCAAGTTCCTCCTCTGGTGCCTCAACAGTAGCATCCCTGCTGGCGTTATTCCTACGGGCCCACACAGGGACAAGAGATAGATCTGTAGGATGAGAGGAAAAAGGACCACCCGGCTCTCTATGTCGTGATGGTGTGTTGGAAGTGGACGTAGAGGTGTTTGGCGCAGATTCGGTTGGCAGGGTGGTAGTTTTGAGGGGTGATGGGAGGTTATGCCGACGGGCTTTGCGGACAAGAGTGTTGATTTTGTTAAGGTAATACATCTTGTATCTTCCGCTATAGTGGTGAGAATCTGAGAGGGGTATAGATCGCAATAAGTCGGTTCGAATAATGCGCAGGTGTACCCCTCTATCCCAATCGCGAAATCCGCGTTGAGGTTAAAGTCGTTGTCGTCGTCGCGTCTCGTCTCGTCTTGTCTAGCCTCTCTACCGCTCTCTTCTCTATCCCAATCTATCGCGCAGAAAGGAAAGGTATATCACAATAACCCAGTCGTGTACTCTATCAAAGAATAGAAGAGGTATATCGCACACAAGCTGCCCAATCAACCGATCTGCGAAAAAGTGTGTTGGGGAAGAAGTGTAGTAGACTGGAAGTGTTGAGAGAAAGTCGGCCTCAATAGAGGGACACTTAATTCGTCTACTTTGCATATAGATCTCTCTAATCATCATCATCAGAACCTATCGTAATACCAATCCAGAGTGTCTACCATGCTGCTAATCCTCTCTCTCTGACCGCCCTTCTTTCTACTAATGATAATATCATCACCTCGCTTATTTCACCTCACCCCTATCACCTCCTCCCACCAAGCAGCAACCACACTAAAACCCCACATCCTAAAACAACTCCAAACATCCATTCACAAATCCCCACCATTCAGCTTCTACCCAAGCTCCCAATAGACAAAAAAAAACAGGTAGTGTATTAAAAACCCCTAACCCCTCTTTCCCCCTTCTCGCTTAATCCCTACCACCAACCATCCCTCCCAATTCCTCCTGTGTGTATCCCTCATCTACCCCTCATCTACCCCTCACCTACCCCCCAGTCTCCCCAGTCACTCTATACAAAAATCCAGCATCCCTCACTGAATTCCCAATAGTNCCCTCCCAATTCCTCCTGTGTGTATCCCTCATCTACCCCTCATCTACCCCTCACCTACCCCCCAGTCTCCCCAGTCACTCTATACAAAAATCCAGCATCCCTCACTGAATTCCCAATAGTGCCTATTCATCAATAAACCCCTCACCCACCCTCCCCTCACCAGTCCCTCCTAAGCCCTCCAAAACCCCCAAAACCCCCTCAAATCACCTCACTAACCCACAATCAACAAACCCACAGTCCACCAGCCACAATAGACCAGACAATCAACACTCAAGTAAAACCTCCCGAGACATCCTCAATCCATTCCAAAAACCAACACCTGCAGTCCCAGTTCACTAGCTGTAATAGAAAAGTCCGACTGCGACTTGAAATCTTCTTCCTAGATAGAAGAATGGGAATTCTAGCTAAGGAGGCTCTAATTTATAGGACACTATCCCACACTACTCCCCACTGCACCACCCTCACATACCTTGCCACCTCACCATATTTCTTTAAATAACATCGATATACCCACCCCTCCCTCCCATCCATCCCATCCTCCCATTTCCCATTTCTCATCCTCCCATCTCCCCCTCTCCCCAACATCCCCCCTCCTAACACACACCTCAACTCAACTCAACTCAACCCAACATCTACAGTGATCCCATCCCGATTTCCCATTCGCCGCCCTAAATAAAAATGAAAAAATGAACCCCCCCCCGCGGAAGAAAAAGATTACTTAATCCAATCACCATATACCTCACAAACTATTCCTCCCTTAAATAAACCGATAAAATCTCTTATCGTCTAAAAGCAATGAGTCTAACGAGTACAGTAGCTTATGAGGTTGGACTTTCTCCCACCATTGAAATCATCTTGATCGCTGATCCCATCTATTAGCCGACATAGAAAAGATGTATACACAATAAATACCAATAGCCAATCTCATCTACTAGGGCCTCATGGACTACACTAGAAATGTTCTAAAAGTGTTTCACATCACAGCCTCAAAGTATTCAAAATCTCACTTCATTTTTCAATTTACGAGTCACTAATTCTTTCCTTCCTCCAGAACACATAAAGTTCAAAATACATTCATCACCAATAAATAGGATGAGACCCAAACCCAACGCCAATGCAAAACCCCCCAAATACCTGTCCACCCACAATGAACGAATCAATCCATTCATGCAGCAGCGGCAGCGGCTTGTTGAGCGACTGCAGCAGCTTGAGCCAAGTTCTCAGCAGGCTGAGCAGGCTCGACACCCACTCGCTCCTTGGAAAGGATATCAGCCAGAAGAGGCGATGGTCGGGTGTCCTTGCCAGATGCGTATGCAGCTTGGGTAGCCTTGTATCGCTTGACATTGTCGATGTACATGTCAAACAGGTAAGAAGAGTCCATGGGTCCTCCCTTGGCTTCTGGGTGGAATTGTGTGGAGAAAATTGGTCGGGTCTTGTGGATCATACCTATAATTTAATTAGAATGATTCTTCTTCAATTTCACAAGAATCAGCATACCTTCATTTGAACCATCGTTAAGGTTAACAAAGTACTCTTTGAATTCCTCTGGAAGGGTAGGAGTATCAACGGCATAACCGTGGTTTTGACTGGTAATGTGACATTGACCAGTGGTCAAATCCAAAGCTGGAATGTTGTGGGCACGATTTCCATACTTGAGCTTGATGGTTCGTGCACCGGAAGCAAGAGCGAGCAATTGATGTCCAAGACAGATACCAAAGATAGGAAGTTGAGAAGACTCCATTAATCGAGACAAGTGATAAACAGTCTCTTGGCAGTGAGTTGGGTCACCTGGTCCGTTGGAGATGAAAACACCGTCAAAGTGGTGAGCAACCTTGTGGATAGGGAAATCGTATGGGAAGACTGTGACACTTGCACCACGGCTAACCAAACTTCTCAAGATGTTCTCCTTGACACCGCAATCAATGACTGCCACGTGCATATCTCCATTTTGAGAGCTGACGTGGAATGGTGCCTTGGTGCTGACTTTCTTAACCAAGTTGATTTGCTCGGGATCAATGAAAGCCTCGTCCTGATCAGCATCGTACTCCTCTCCAATAGTGATTCGAGCTAAAGAAGAACCCTCCTCTCGCAAGAATGTTACAATAGCACGAGTATCAACTCCGGAAATTGCTGGAACACCTTCGCGAGCACACCAACTGGCCAAACTCTCCACGGCAGTCCAGTGGCTGTATTTCTCGGCGTAATCGGCAACGACAACACCTGTGCATTGAATGTTTGGAGACTCAAAGTACTTGAGGAGTCCATGCTCATCGCGGTTGGAGGAGGGGACACCATAGTTGCCAATGAGGGGTTGAGTAAAGACAAGGATTTGTCCACGGTATGAAGGATCGGTCATCGACTCGGGGTATCCAACGAGCGAGGTGGTGAAGACGGCTTCTCCAGAGATGTTGGACTTGGCACCAAAAGACTTTCCGTGGAAGACTGGTCCATCCTATTATTCAAATCAGCCAGTTTTCCTCAACCCACCACATCGAGGGACCGTACCCTAATTGTGAATGTAGCACGATCGTGGGAGATTGGAGTAGCCTTGGGACGGGTGACTGGCATAGCACGACCAAAGCTGCCCTCGACTGTTGCCAGGAATCGGGTTTGTTGAGCCACGCGAGCACGCATGCTTCCTGCTGCTGACTTGAAAGCCGCAGCCTTGACGAATTGAGCAAACATGATGTGGGGTATGTTTTCGAGTAGATATCGAGATGTTTAGATGGCGGTACGGGTTGGAGAAGCTACTTTCCGTTCACTGAAGCTTTCCAGATGTGATCTATTGAGTTGGATAGGTTAATATGGCGGTGTGGCATGTAGTGAGAGGATTCAGAGAAAAAGTACCTGAAATATAATCCTGTAATACCGTTAGTCAAGGAATGCTAATGTTTTGGGGGTAGTATGTAAATGCGAAAGCTACTCGGACAATTGACACACAGGAAGAAGAGCTTAAAATGATACAATTGTGACGTTTAAATGTCGCGAGCGCTCGCAATCAGGTGCAGAACGTGGGTCAAAAGGATCGTCAAAGAGAAAAGAAAGTGAAGCATTTGATACTGTACTGTGTAGACATACCTGGGACGTGAAAACCGACGGACGACCAGTCATACGCGCGGCTGGATCTTCTCTTGAGGGTTTGGATGAAGGGTAGCTTGGGATGGTTTTGGTGCTGATGGTTGTAAAAGCAGGATGGAGGTGGCCCTTTTTTTGATACCCAGATTAGTGGAGGGAAGCGTTTGCTGAGGAGCCCGTCATGTTGCTTGGTGCTTGGTGCTGGGTGCTTGGAAAAGGCTAGCAGGGAAAGCCGCAGGTACCACCCTGGATCCGACCAATCCGATTACTACAAGATGGATTTAAGTGGGGCTGTGCTACAATTAAATTTTTCTGGCAGTCACTGGTGAGGGGATGGTCGGCTTACGGCGTGCGCCCGCTCTTTGTCCAGCTTCCACACCAATCCAGTGCTCTTTTAGGGCTTGCAAGGGACGCAACAAGAGCGAGGAAGTCGGCTTCCTATCTTTTTTTCTGCTGGCTGACCACTCACAGTCTCTGTATTAGCGTAGCACTTTTTCATCCCAATGTTAGGAGTACCAGTACTAGACCTAAAAGTAGATCTAAAGCTAGTACTAGCACTGTACATACATCCGCCAAATCATCCCACCACCTCTAGCAACACATCAGAAATTTTCAGTTACATCAGCGCAGAGAAAAAATTCTCATGTTGCAGCAATATAAGAGATTTCCATCATCCCAAAATCCTATTTCCCTCGTCATCGCACGTGTAGAGAGGCGAATCGTCCCCGGGTCCTTGGTCACAGCTGGCGATAGCGGGGTACCCAAAAAGTATCAGGGAAGAGAGGACCGGGGTCCTCCTACGGGTCCGGGGAAGAAGATGTTTGGATTTGGTCGAGTTGTGTATTACATAGGTACTGTACGAGTACTGTACTTGCATCCAAGGATCTTGGTGGTTGAAAAGATTTATATCCATACTCCGATACTGAATACTTATAGGGCTATAGGGCTTATTTGGCTTTCGGTGGCCCGGGTCTTTGTAGCAACCGAGAAGTAAATGTCAAGTGACGAGTGTGGGGGTTTTCTGTTACGAAATCTTTGAATACTTTACGAGTGAAATTGTACTTTAACTAAGTTGAAGTACTAAGTTGGACCTACACAATTCCTCAGGTCTCGTATCCTTTGCTCGTTTGAATTTACACACCGCATTTGGGACTTTTACAGGTGCCATCTAGCCCTATGTCCCAAATTACAGCCCCGATCCCTTCGGTTCCTCCGGATGTCCCAGTCATACTAAATTTGGTGAAAGTAGCTGGAAACATCCTGAACATGCAACGTGCCCTGTGATGCCCTCATATCGTGGTACTTTCCAAGTTCCGGTTGATCTTCCTGATCCAGTTGTAATTCTGGTATCCTCGCATGTAGCTTTGCACAGTAACTCGAGCGTGGGACATCCGGAATCAAAAGAAGTATCAAAGGGATATACCACAATCAAACCTGGTAGATTCGTCCCAATCCATCCTTTCCCATGGTATCCCAAGTATCGACAACAAAAGTAACCCCTCAAGCCCCAACCTTTTCATCCATCAACCTCGCCGTCTCAACCTCCTCATCCACCACCCCACCACCATTCAAGTATTTCACCTCCTCCCTAACCCCAAGCCTACTAATCATCCCCCTCTCCCCCCATCTCTTCCCTTCCCTCTCCACCAACCCACCCAAACTCCCCATCCCAACAACCAAAAACCCCAACTCCTCTCTCTCACAATCAAACACCTCCCACCACTCCACGTCCGGCATCTTGACCCCCGTCTCCCTGGCAGCCAGATAGATCGCTGCAGTCGCCAAACTAGCCGGCTGGTGCGTCAAATACAACATCTGCGGACTCAGCAGCGCAGTATTAAGCCACTCCACCGTCCTCCTCGCCAACTCCTTCGCCTTCCCATTGGCATTTGCGAAGACATCCAAAGTCTGGAGATACGTGATGGCCAGAGGATGGGGAAGGGCGACATGGGTTACGAAGCCGAGGGCATTGAGGATTTGCCCTTCGATGTTTAAAATGCGGTTGCGGGTGGTGATGTACGTCCCTTCGGAGAGGTAATAAGACTCGGGATCTACTTTCGCATTGCCATCTCCATCGCTACTTGATCCGGGGTTTTTGGACAGCGACAGGGAGGGAGAGGAGAGGAGGTATGCGTAGACATTCGTGATACTTCTCAGTGAACGTGGTTCAGCGGATATTTTGGCCGTTAGGTAGATGGTCGCAGCCGAGACATCCTATGCGCCCAGTTAGTTATCTCCTTCCTCTGATCTATCCCCAATGCCTCAATTCAAAACAAAGAGAAAAGTAAGGAATCATACACTAAATTCATGCGCCATCAAATCATCAACAACCCAATACCTAAAGAGCAATACATTGGCCTGCGCAGTGATATCCTGGGGAAGGCGCAAAAGGATCCCAGCGGCTTGTGTGAGACGCGCCGTGTAGAAACGGATGCTATCTTGGATTTCAATTGGCAGGGCATTGGATCTTTGGTATAGCTGGTCTGCCGTGGCTAGAGGATTCGAGAGATGCGACATGATTGGGACTTTTGAAGGAGATGTTTGTTGATGTTGACATGGGAGCTTCGAGGTCTTTTGGAGCTCCCCAGGTTCTTGAACCGTGCCCGAGGCTGGGTTCAGCCTTGTCGTTTATTTACAGACCCCTCCCCTCCCCCTTTTTTTGTCAAGTGGTACATGACATGATATGATTTGGATGATGGGCAGAATTGTTACAGTCTGTAGATCAGTGAGGAACACTCTTATCAAACGAATGAACATAGAAGAAAACTTCAAGTATTTTTAGTATTATTTTACAATCTACAAGAACCCTTATGGGCATCATTATCCGTCATCTCATCCAGGATTTCCTCATAGTCTTACACAGGAAGCACCGTATCTTTTCTTGCCAACCATCGAGATAGTCAAATTTTTGCCTCCCATACTCCCATAAAATGCAAAGAATTGCCTCTCCAAATGCTTACTCCCAATAACGCCGATCGTCTCTCATGCCTCTTCGATTGTCGCGTCTATAATTGTCGTAACGTTCTGGTCGACCACCGTAGCCCTGACCCTGATATCCTCTACGTAAAGGTCCGCCTCCATTCGGTCCACCTCCACTACCATTGCCCCTCGGTCCTCTGAATCCTGGTGGTGGTCGGATGCCATTAAATATTTCTGGTCCACGATCTACAAGCACGTCACGATCCTCAAAGGTATACCGATTCATATCACCATCAAGTCTGCGACCACGAGCTTCTTGAGATGTTGCAGAGTCAATATTGTCGAGTCTCTTGTCAGCAACAGCTTTATCGACGGGTTTCCAATAGAGTAGCGGTTTGGCTGTAGTGCTCTTAAAAAGTTGATCGAGTGTGGAAAATCCATTCATAGCGCGTGCAGGTGGTACTCTATTTTGTTCAGCACGAGGCCCAGAGGGTGCATTCTCAATACCACGTGGTTGAAATGGTGCTTGATGTGGCGGAACTGGATTCGATGGTCGTCTAGGTGGATGTTGATGCGGAAAGTTGGTTACTTCTTGGAGGTGTGCTGTAACATTACGATCTTCGTCTTCCTCATAGTAAACTTCCCATTTCTTAGCTGCTGCTCGTCCTCCTCCAGCAGCCTGCTCTTCCTCAGACCACGCCTCAACCTTTTCTACGGGTATGAAGTCCGCCCACAGTGGTCTTCGTGAACGTTCATCTGGCCAGATACGGTCGTGAATTGCCGAGCGTACTCGCGATGCCGCAGCCACATTAGCGAAAGAGATAAATGCATGGGTGCGAATGGGATCCAAGAAGAAGTAAGTGATGACCTCAGGATCAGATTCGCGACCAGGTGGAGCTGCTAGATCTGCTATATGGTTTTTGAGCTGACCAGGGTTTAGCGGTCTCATAAAATTTCGTATATACAAAGCAGATGTAGCGGGATGTCTAGCTGGAATGATAATTCGATCTGGCAACTCGGTCTCCATGGCATCTACACGATCGCGCGATGTCGACTTTTCTAAAGACGGCATGCTTGGAGCTGTGAAGAGCTCCTTGTAATTTCGCGAAGGGTGTCGTGGGGAAATATCCATAGGGTCATTGGATATGCTTCCGTCCTTGACATCAACATCCACTGTGTCTCCAGATGACTCGGTCGCTTGTGGGAGGGGCTCGAGTTTGCTTTCCTGGACCATGTCCTGTCCTTCCATGGCAAAATCTGTAGTTCCGGATTGAGCAACACCTACATCTGCTGGGTTTCTCTCCGAGCCAGTGCTCGCTAGGTCCTTCTTGTCTTCATGGTTGGCATTTTCCTCCACTTCAGTCATCTCTTCATCTTCTAGTCTGGGTCGCTTCGAAGGAGGAGGGGTCTGCGATCGACGTTTTCTCTTGCTTTTATCTTCCACAATTTCTTTCGTTTCGGCGGAGGGCAATGCAGAATGATGGGTCTCAGGAATTGGCGTAGGGCTCTCCAACGTAGCGGTTGGTTCTTTCGCGGTCTGCTCGAGCTGCTCCAATTGAGTTACGGTCTCTTGAATCACAACAGGTTCGGGACTTGTTCGTGGAACCGCTTCTGTAGCTCCCTGTGGGGTGGAAGACTCAGGCGCAGCATCTTGGGGTTCGTTATGGGGTATTTGAGAAGTCGGATCGGGAGGTGGTTGAATGGGTGATGTTGTATCAGGGGATGTTGCAGCACTAGCAGCTGCACCAGGTCTTCCAGAATCTCCCTGGATTGTCGCCTCGCTCTCGCTCTCGGAGCCTTCTTCATTTTCTGCAGCTGCAAGTCTTGCGACGAGGGCAGGCTTGAGACCCATTTGCGCAAGGCCTCGCCTCTTTAATTCCGCCTTGAGGTCAACGACCTTTAGTTTGCTCCAGTCGGTCATGGCGAGCCAATGCGCATCGTTTGAAGTCGGAGTTGGGTTGGTCTGTCGGTGCAGGTGGGATGGGTATGGCTGTGAGTGTTGTTGACTGTTTTCTTTTGACATGCCATATGCCTGCATACAGCGGAAGCATGGACCTACGTCAGGTCGGTGGCACTAAATATTTCCCAAGTTCAGGTGAATGGAAGGATGAACCGACGTGTCACGCGTCTGGTCTTGATGCCTGAGGTGTGAAATCGGCCAAAACACAGACATATCAAACCTTAATTTGAGTGGCATTTGGGTCTTCCAAGTTTGTATAATTGTATTCTCAGTATTGACTTTCTTTTTCTCCGACTTCCATGTGAGCTTCTCAAAGGGTCAGGGCACCCCAGCCCTCCTCATCCTCGTCTTACTCTTTATTCCATGCCTCATTGGTCTATTAATATCATCAGTTCACTGATATCTTCTTCTAAGTAGAAAGTGCCAAGTAGTACTCATGTACCCTTCTGTAAGGTAACAGTAACTGGAGGAAGGACAATCCTTGCTGTTTTCCATCAATATCAACCAACCAACAGCAGCAATTCTCTCTCAATTTACGCTGCCACCTTACAGTCTTGAGTTCCCCAAGAAGGAAAGGCCACCGTTATTTTCTCTCCGCTTTTCCACGTGGTTGCGGCCAGATTCTCACCTACCGTCACACGAAATTCAAATAGATTGCATACCTGTACCGGCCAATCCGTCGCCATCTTCTGACTGCCAGTGCATTACTCGAAGGAGTACAAAGCTAACAGTAACCTCCCAGGCAAAAGTAATTCATATTGGGGAGTCTTAAATAAAGTGGAACAAAATGATGTCCCCAGAGTATTTCGTCCTGGGCGAAAGGGTGCATTTCTCAGGGGGTTTTACCCTGTTGCCAAACTTAGCCAGCCCAGCCTACTCGAGTAGGGAAGTTCCAATTGTTTCAGCAAAAGCAGACACCTTGTTGGGTACTGATAGAAACCTGGTTGGCAAAGGCCGGTTAAGGTTGAAGTCAACAATCTCATGCGAACCTCAATGATATCAACTCGAAAAGACTGGAGCTTGCTCGACTTTCAACATCGTATGATCTGGAAAGTTGGAAATAGACTGTTTCCAATGGACTTCTTCATGAGTGGGCGCCCAAGGCTTAGTGGCCAACCACTTGCAGCACGAACAATATATGTTCATTACGAATACGAGATTGTCCCTGAGCCATGTTATTCAACTTACTCATATTTTCATTGGAGTCAAGAAATTCTTCGGCCCCAGATCGTGGAAGACTTGATGGTATCGTGGGTGTTGAAAGGCTCAACAATATAGAGTTCTTCTGGAGGCAACGAACGCATGTCGGCTAATAAGGTTTGATATAGTGAACCCCTATAGTTGAGCCTCTAGAACCAAGTACACTTGCAACTTCAAACTCTAAATTCTGCATCTCAATCGATCGAACTCCCATGTCGAATGCAACGCAGTTGCCTGTTCTCATTGGATGTCATCGATGGCGGGCACGGGGCGGGTAATGCGTCCGGCAAGGATTGGGAGCCAGTGTTATCAAGGTGAAAGCATGGGGCTGGCACTGATGGCAACTCCCCATTTACAATTTTTTTAATACTGATGTTTGCATAGGCATCAAGGGTTACCAACTGGGTGCTGGAGAACCCTGGACAATATCATCAGATGTCTCGTTCTTGCTACGACATCCTAGTCAAAAATGCCCATCTGGTCTATTTCAGATGAACCGCAGGACCGTGGCCACGAATTAAGACGTTCATTTTCACGTTCGACATCTACTCAATAATCTCTGAAGTCTTCTCGGCTTGGTGTTCGCTCTGCATGTGGTAATTTGAGAATAAATGACGCACATGACTTCATGAATCCGTATACCTCGAATTGATGTGGAAGTTTGGATGATCATTGTCTATTCGAGTAGATACGAAGACGGTCTGAATTGGGCAATTTCGAAAGTGGAAAGCAATGAACTGGTCGTGTTGAGGCTCCGACATTACGTCTTCATTTGCCGCTGTCCCCTTGATGACTATCTGTTCCTTGAGGTTTCGGTAAATGGAAGCTGCAGGTCCTTTGGACGTCATGTCTGTTCTCCAAACATTGGACTCCAGGTCCTGTATTAATCACCTCTCCGTCCCGCACACAGCTTCCCCATGATTGGCTTTCAAACTCTGTTACAGTACTTCCGATCACCTGAGATTATGAGCCATGGGCTCACAGGGAGGTAAGCCCTATTTTGCCTAGCACGGTAATTAGTGCGGTTATCGCCAGGCCGTTGCCTTTCATTGGACAGCAGGACAGAAAGCACCTACCAGTTCCCAAATTCTCACTTTACCCCCTATGATCTGTTACAATGGTGAAGGAAACGAGTCGTCGGAGTCCCGGGGGGCTTGTAGTCCATGGAAAGTACATTATATTGGGGGGAAAGCCAATATTAGCTTCGTTATTTATCCTACGTTTATCATCCTCTTACTAGTTTGAAAACCAGGCTCTATTCTCTCATGAGCGTTGTGACCGAATGATTTGGTTAACTGGAGAGTGCCAGGAGTAACTTCAAGAAATATGTTGTCAATCGATGTAGAATCGTAGGCTCTGCTCCTTTCTTTTGTCTTATACGCTGGGAGGAAGGCCTTGTCAGGTTGACTGCCAGAAAGGGAATTTGAACTGACGATTATCCAGTTGGATCTGGTTTGGATTTGCAACTGCAGTGTTAATACTCAGATAGTAAGTTCCGTCACTTTTATGGCTCAATACTTATCTAACTTGCTACCAATAGTGTCTCAAGATGGCAACAACTGGGCTCGATTACCCGTTACCAAGCAGAAGATTATGTGATGATTGCCACCTTTGTAAGTACATCACAGTTCGCTGTAACCCAACTAACGAATATATAGCTATTCTACACCCAGCTAATAGTAGTTATGAGATGCGTCGCACATCTAGACTCCAATTTAATTTTACCCGAAGACATACCACTCCTGACACCTGAAAGCACCAAATCTCGAATCCGGGGATCCAAATTAGTCCTTGTAGTTGAGCAGAGCATGATTGCCACCATCTGGGGATGCAAAATCAGCTTGCTTCTCATGTACAACAGAATGACCATGGGTCTAAAACAACAACTCGCTGTCAAGATTGTCGCTGGTTACGTTCTGGGGAGCTTTCTCATCATGGAGATTTTGTATTTTGGGGTCTGGTGTCGTCCCTTTAAGCAATATTGGCAGGTTCCTCCCGACAACGAGCAATGCTCGACGGCAATTAATCATTTGATTACCAACGCCGTCTTCAACATCACGACCGACATGATGATGCTTTGCATTCCAATGCCGATCTTGATTAGCTCGCAACTTCCACGCAGCAAGTTAGTTTCATCCCTCCGCAAAATCCTCTCAAGTACCTTTTTTTAACCCGATACAACATTCATCTCCCTTCGTAACGTCTTATATGCGACTAGATGGTTTAAGAACTGACTCTGATAGAAAAATCATCCTTTGCGGCCTCTTCGGGATGGGAGGCTTCGTTGTGAGTATCCTTTTCTGTCAAGTGATTGAACCCCGACTGACTGTCCGATAGATTTTCTCAGCCTGCCTAAACAAATATTGGTCTTTCTCCCAACCGTTCTCCCCAAACTGGACATACGTACGTTAATCCAATTCTCTATTTCCCGCTGCACAAATCTCATCTCCAACGCTCCACTACCACACCAAGGCATACAAATCTAGTGCTAACTCCCATCGCCAGTGGTACATCCGAGAAGCCAGCACCGCAATTCTAGTAGCTAACATCCCCCTCTGCTGGACCCTCATCCGCCGCATGTTCAAACTCCCCTCCTTCCTCCAAAGCACCGCAGCACGCAGCCGCTCCAAATCCCACCCCATCACCCGTCTCACGGCACAAATCCTACCACACAAAAGCAAAAGCAAGAACACTTCCGTCAAACACACGAAGGCCTCCCAGACGCAGCAAAAGACGGATAGGAGCTGGTGGGATGGATCGAGGATTTCACGACTGGGCAGGTCGGAGAGTGAGGAGTATATTGTTGGCGGCAGGCCGAAGGCTTCTGTCCCGCTTGAGGTGTGGGAAACTACTGTTGTGGATGTGGAGAGGAGTGTGAGGGACCCTGGGGATGTGGATGTGGAGGCGGGGAAGGACGGGGAGAGGGGGAAGTTTGATATTTCGAAGGGGGAGAGTAAGACTGTTGTTACGGCGGAGGCGGGTCCGATGCATGGAAGGATTGCTGGGGGCGCTGAGAGTTGAAGTGGACAGTAATGTATATTTGTTAGGTCTTGGTAATGTGTTGATGTATCATATTAGATACCATGCTATTAGCGTTGAAAAATGAAATTTGCACGTTATACAACAAAAGGAATTACTAAAGTTTGAGAGTATCAGCGGTGATTTTGGACAATAGGTTTTTTGAATTATATCCCACAAATCATTTCAACTGGTAAAACGCAAGCTTACTATTATGAACATTCCGTGGCGATATCAGAGGATAAAAGAGTCTAGCGTCAAGGCACCTCTCGGAGAACTATTTAAGTAAAAATTCATAATCTTGACTGAAAGTTAGGTGCTCGAGAAAAAGGAGTTCGCCTCTCCTAATCTGCTTTGTATTCCACCGTATAAGTACATTCATTCCGATATGAGTCATCAGTAAGCCATTACGTTGGCTCTTGGTAGACATGAAAAGTGGCTGTCTTTCGGTTTCTCAAATTTCTAGTTGTTTTAATAAGATTCTTGAATATAATTCATACAAAATTTTCAGAGAAACCAACCCGTAGCTCAATTCAGTTTTGTTATCTTGGTGGACTACTCGCGTTAATGAAGGAAGGTTGAAAAATGTGGTGACCTGCAAATTACACTATCTTTGAGGAATTTTGAAAACTTCGGCAAAAGTTCTTACTCACAAGTCGACGACGTATTATGTGAGTTTCTAGAAGATGTACCTACAAGTAACATATTTCAACATTATCAACTCTTTCTCAAAAGAAGGCCTTCCATTGGACGCCTTCTCACTTACAAGTATTAGGAGGACCATAAACCATTTGAACCAATCACGTGCCGATCGCTTAACCTCGGCAGAAATAAATCGTGGGGAAACCAAACAAGCTCCAAGCTAGGTAAAGACTAAACTCCAGCCATAAGAGTACATACAGTACATGATAGACATCAAAGACTCTCAATCCAACAAACCCACACAAAAACCCAACCATGTCCGGCCTCCGAATACTCGTCCCCGTAAAACGGGTAATCGACTACGCAGTACGTCTCCAACCCCCCACCAATTCCCCCTCCTCCCTCTCAAAGAAAGGGCAAAAATCATAATGACGAGGACTACAGGTCAAACCCCGCGTCAACAAGGCCCAAACGGCCGTCGAAACCGCCGGCGTAAAACACTCCATGAACCCCTTCGACGAGCTCTCCATCGAAGAATCCGTGCGAATCCGCGAGAAGAAATCCCACCCGCTCGGCGTCCACGAAATCATCGCCTTCACCGCGGGGCCCCCCAAATCCGCCGACATCCTGCGCACCGCCATGGCCATGGGCGCCGACCGGTCGATCCACGTCGAGACCAAGGAGGGGGATGAGATTGAACCCCTCGGCGTGGCGAAGCTGTTGAGCGCCGTAGTAAAAAAGGAGAAGATTGATTTGGTGGTGCTGGGGAAACAGAGTATTGATGATGATGCGGGGCAGACGGGACAGATGCTTGCGGGACTGCTGGGATGGCCGCAGGCTACGCAGGCGAGTAAGGTGGGGTTTGAGGGGGAGAAGGGGGTGCTGGTTGAGAAGGAGGTGGATGGGGGGATTGAGACGGTTAAGAGCAAGTTACCGATGATTATCACGGCTGATTTGAGGCTGAATGAGCCGCGGTACGCCAGTCTGCCAAATATCATGAAGGCGAAGAAGAAGAAGATTGAGAAGATCAGTGCGGCGGATTTGGGAGTCGATGTTGGAAGGAGGTTGAAGACTCTGAAGGTTATTGGTAAGTTTTCCACGCCGCGTTTATTTCTTTCTCGCTGAAAATGAGGGATGAAATGCTAATTGGATACGCAGAACCACCACCGAGACAGGGAGGTGGAAAGGTGGATGATGTCGATGGTATGATTGCTAAATTGAAGGAATTGGGAGCGATATAAAAACAGTACACAAAACAGTGTACGTTAGATGGTATGGCGTTGGGTTGTACATATTTATTTGATCAATACGGCCTAGATGGGAATATGAATATTAGAAGTACGCCACTATGATTTACATGCATTCATTCTTCTCAATGGGTATATTCCTTATTCAAAACATTTTTCCTCGAAGGTCGCATCAATTGCCCTCAGATATCACCTTACGTTCACGCGAAAACCGAAAAATGCGACTCCCAATTACATGGAAGCAAGAGGCTTGCTTCCTCTTTCAAAATTAACTCCCAATGCTAAAAGTAAACTACAAGGGAGAGAGAGAGATACTGAGAGGTTTCCTATGATGAGAATTTGGAAGTATGTTCTAAAGTCAATGGATCATGTAGTAATTTTACTATCAGCACCACCCTCTATATTCACAAGATCACAAAATGAAACTGTCAATACCTTGAGAAAGAGACCCGTTTATGACTTCTCTTTTTCGCCATTCATAAGAACGATGACTGCAACGCCGCATAGCTCGTCCTGTGATATCCTACATACTATACAATCAACCCACGAGAGCAGTCAAGCCTCGTCTCGAATTCACTGAAAAATAATGCGCTGACCCTCCTTGTTTTGTTGATGCTCACTTGTTCTCGAGGAGACCTTACTGGAGACTTTCATATCTCTCCTTCGCTTTTTCCTTGCTTTTGCTCACGAAATCGGCATAACTTCCAGCTGTTTGTCGTTGTGCTTCTTCCATAGCATCTCCCAATTTACCACCTTTAGCACCCAAGCCCACACCAGCACTATAGACATCCGTAGTGATCGCATCAGTGATTCCGGTGCCTTGGGCCCCAAGTCCCTCTCCGGCACTCCAACCCATTTTGCCAAGTAGTGCGGCACCCTTCGATGGCTTAGGAGCTTCAGGTTCCTCATCTTTCTTCTTGGAAGAGTTCTCAGCAACTGAGCCCTTTCCTTGGCGGTTATGCTGTGCGGCTGGTTGCTTTGGTTGATTGAAAGCCTGTCGACGCTCTTTTGCTCGATCACGATATGCTGAGTTATCAGCAGAGTCTATTTACATCGTTAATAAGGCATGTTGTACGCAGCATTTACAGCAGAAGCAAGAAGGTTTGGGATGGATCAGAAAGTAAATACGCTTTCTCAGCAATTGCAACTTGTGCATCTGAGTGAGCTGGGATAACGTCAAGTTGTTCATCATTTCCAAGGACATAATGAATGATCGCGGCTTACCTGTTGCTTTGTTGAGCTTGCTCAAAGCCTTCGCAACCAAGTCTTCATTCTTCATATTGTCACGATGAAGTTGACTGATGCGTTCATGTTTTCTGACCTCCTCATCTGTTTTGAATTGCCGAGAACACAATAAACAGCATTTGCGTGACATATCAGCAAAGCTTTGAACCGGTGGCGCACTCGGTGCTTCTTTTCCCTTTACCTGGGACTTCGGCTGCGGTGTATCAAGAGCAGCATCTTCAGGCTCTTTTGGTGGGATACCATGGAGTTCAGCGTGGCGGTTGGACCAAAACTGAAGATGTGGTGCAACGACAGCCTTCGGGTCCTTATCAGCTTTTCGCTTTTTAGGACGTGGCTCCCCATCCTTGAGTAAACCCTCAGTTGCGGCTGCTGCTGCACGTTTTGAATTCTCAGTCTCCCTGGTGACGGAATTTGAAGGTGGCTCAGGCATAGCTGTAACAAGCTCATTAACATACGCTGCTTCATCCCAGTACATCAATTTGACTCCGGAATTCGAGAGAGGACTGAAGGTAAATCGTGAAAGTCCATCATCAAGGTGAAGAACCGGCACAAATACTCCAGCGTGGATGTAAGAGACCAGAACTGGTTTTGATGAAATAGTGAACTTGTCGGAGGCCTTGTACTTGGCCATTGCAGCTTGGGCATCTTCAACCGTGTTGAATTCTGCAAAACCATATCTCCAACTATCATTGGTTCTCCGGTCACGTATTAGGAGGACTCGTCGAAGTGATCCCTCTTTTGCTCCAAGACTGGAATCGTTGGATGTCGAGGTAGAAACTATTTTGGCCTTCTTTGTTGGGTGTGTATCTTTTGGAGGCGTTGTAGCTTTAGTTTTGTAAAGTTTACACGCCCCTTTCGCAAGGAGCTCTTCATTGACACCGGGCTCCAAACCACGTAGCAGGAGAAACTGCGAGGCAATACCATCAGGCGAGACATCACTGTCGCCAGTAGTTGCGAACCCAGAGAAGGAAGACATATTTGCTTGTGCAATTAGAACACCATGGGTAGAGGCACCTAGTCACTTGTGATTAGAATTTGTAGGGATGTTGGGAGAGCGTGACATACGAGTTCTTGGTGCGTTGCAGCGAAAACACAAAGTGCGACATGCAAAATTAGGCAGAGAGCACTGGAAAAAGTTAGGCACGACCAAGTCATCAATATCTTATTCTTACCGAGTCACACTTCCAATCGTCGTCACTCTTACCAGCTCTGTCTCGATCGTCTCCTTTCTCCTTACTACCTTTCTCCCTGCTGAAAGCAATGCGAACTTTTGCAGGCTGGGCTTCGGCAGATTGACTTGGATCATAAGAGCCGTACAAAGATAGATTGGGGTAATGTGCTTCTAGAAAACGCCTTGCATCGGCGATACTGCTGAATTGAGCAAAGGCAAATTGACGTGATTGGCCTACGAGAATATTTAGTTACGAAGAAAGTATTGAAAATGAACCCTTCAGCCAACCTACCAGTCTTCTTGTCCTTAATAAGTCTGACTTCTTCCAATCCTTCAAGACGAAGACTGTGTTGCAATTCATTCAAAATCTAAAAATCCAAAGAACGGCCAGTAGGCCAATCTCTTCTTAGCCAGGATCCCAATTTCTGTTTGACAAAACACTTAGGCTAGGAAGAACATGGATAGTGGTTTATAAAGTCCGGGGGGTTTAAGAACGGGGCGCCCAACGTCTTCCTGTGTCATTTCTTTTGGTAATCCGTCTAGCATGACATTCCGATTGGGAGGTCCTCCATAATATGGCGAGCGACTGCGACTTCTTTGGCGGGGTGGAGAACGATATCCTTCTCTGTCACGATCGGTATACCGTCCCCGACCTTCCCTCCGTGGTGACCAAGACCGACCGCCTTCACGACCATATCCTCTGCGATCATCGGTGTCGTATTGTTCGTATTCCGAGTATGCCATTCCTTGGGATCTATCGCTGCCCACAGGCGCACCTCTTGATGGCGAGATTCCTGGATAATCTTAGACATGGAGTGTCAGCACAGGTCCACGACGAGGCTCCTCTTCCCAACTATCGTTTACCCTTCCTCGAGTGCTGACTGTAGCCTTGGCCATGCGATGCATCATAGGCATCTTCACCGTAGGGTTGCTCGTCGTACATGTTGTAGTCGGATGGATTTGGTGGCTGCAGTGGGCGGTTGTTATTCATGACTGCCCGCCAACTCGAGTTTGAAATGCAATGCGATGCCAGAATCGTGTGTGTGTGTGTGTTTAGGGAGTAGTTTGGGGTTTTACAGGTGACGGAGGTAGTTGTACAAACTAGGTAGTGAGAGTTGGGTGTTGGGTGTGGTTGGGATAGCCCGGGGGTGCAGCTGTGCCTGAAATGCAGGTGGCTCTGCAGGTGGCTCTGCAGGTGGGCAGGTTGCGAGTACTCGAGTACGCTCCATCCATCCATTTCCTACCTACACCTCTTCACTCCTCACCTCTTCAATCACGACCATGGCAAAGGAACTTGTCCAAGATGACCGCTATGTGGCCTTGACTCACGATTTGCTTGATGTCAAATCTATCATGGATCGAGTACGAAGTCCTAAGGCTGGGGCGATTGTTCTGTTTGCTGGTAATACGTCACCTCGCACCTCAAGCTTTGCCTTTCTTTCCATTTCCTTTTCCTCTTTGCTTTTGGCATTCTGATCAGAATCAAGGCACCACTAGAGACAACTTTGGAGGAAAGCCCGTGAAAGAGTTACAGTACACCTCTTATGAGCCTCTCGCCTTACAGACCATGATGGGCATCAGTCAGTCAATCCAAGAAAAGCATTCTCTGACGGCAATCGCCATGATCCACCGACTGGGAACTGTACCGATTGGCGAAGAGAGTATTCTGATCGCGGTTTCGTCTCCTCATCGCCAAGCGGCATGGAGAGCAGGCGAAGAAGCTCTGGAAGAATGCAAAGCAAAGGTCGAGGTGTGGAAGAAGGAAGAATTCGGGGGCGATGAGGGTGGTGTCTGGAGAGCAAATCGTGATGGTGCCGCTGGTGTACGAATCGACCAGAGCAATCACGAGGAACCAGCTCAAGGACCTCATGGTCCAATTCTGCGTCCAAAAGTGCTTGGTGAGAGAGGACATGGACCTGTTGTCCACCCAGGCAACATTAAGAAAGATTGATGGTCAGATGTCACGGAGTTGTCAAATTCAATATACCCAGAAGCATCCATCCCCAAAGAACCCAGTCCTTCAATACAACATATTGTGCTGAACATTGGTAGCCAAGTTCAGTGCGGGCCATTCCTATATGATCATAGCATTTCCACAGAACACTTATGAAACCTCTTTCTGGTAGTCGAAATACCGAATCCATTCGGCGAATGAGATGAGATTCCAACATATGGTTCTTTTGATGATGGTGTTCCGATGCCTAACCGAGGGGTCGAGGGGCCGCGAGGACTTGGCGATCCCTCCTCCGGAAATGCCTCCGTTCTAGACCATTGCTGTACCAAATGGAGATGGGTTCACAACATTCCTTTCTCAGCCCAGAAGTCCAGCAGAAAACTTTCCTGTGACCACTGCCACCGTATTCCACAGGTCTCTACGCACCTTCTCTACCCCTCATTTTGGTATCTCACTTGCCTTTTGTTAACATGATAGAGCCAACCAACTACAATGAATTGAGAACAGGTCAAAGCTGCCACTCAATCTCACATTCCCAATTTGACACAATGGTGCTGTCAATGCTTGTGCGACGCACTGCGCTCCGCAGAGTCCCTCTGACCAAGCCAATTCCCACAATATACTCACGGACTCTCATGACCCTCCCCTCCTTCTCCCTCGAAGGCAAGACGTGCACAGTAACAGGCGCAGCACGAGGCCTAGGCAAAGAAATCCTAACCGCATTCTCAATGAGCGGCGCAAAAGGAGCCTGCATCGACCTCTCCCTCTCCTCAGATCAACAATCAGTCGCCCACATCAAATCGCATATATCCTCCTCAACCCCTTTTAAATCCTCCGAGCCCTCCTACGAGCCCGAACTTCGGGCCTACGCATGTGACGTGACATCCGAATCTCAAGTCCAAGAAACATTCCAATCGATCATCAAAGACTTTGGCAAACTCGATGTTTTGGTTACCGCTGCGGGGATTGTAGAGAATTGGGAGGCGGAGAAGTATCCGTATGAGAGGTAGAAGAAGATGTTGGATATCAACCTGAATGGTAGTTTTTTGTGCGCAAAGGAGGCGGGAAGGTATTGGATCAAAGAAGAGATGAGAGGGAATCTAATTTTTGTTGGTAGTATGAGTGGACTTATTTGTGTACGGCCTCAGAAACAATCTGCGTACAATGCGGTAGGTGCACTTTCCAAACTAAAATAACTTAGGATATCTGGTTCGAGGCTTATACATCTACCATACCCAGTCCAAAGCAGCAGTCCACCTCCTCTCCAACTCCCTCGCAACAGAAGTAAGTTCCTATCCCCTCTCCCCTTCCCTCCTTACCATGCACAAACAACCCTTACCTTCCCAGTGGGGACCAAAAGGCATCCGCGTAAACAGTCTCTCACCCGGCTACATCAAAACCGACCTCGTCAAAGATCTCCTCGACCGGGAAGGTCGTCACCTCGAGGAGAACTGGGTGATAGATATTCCGCTGGGAAGACTAGCGCATCCTAGTGAGTTCCAGGGTACGGCTGTTTGGATGGCTAGTGAGGCTAGTAGTCATCTGAATGGTAGTAATATTGTGAGTCTTGCCGTTTCTCTCAGAGTGGAGGTTGTAGTTTGATGGGTGAGGGTGTGAATGAACGAGCTGCGCTGATTTTGGGGATAGGTTGTTGATGGTGGGTATTGCTGTTACCAACTCGCAGAATGAGGTATGGGGTTTGATGGTGGAATCCTTGGGATGATTGGGGATGGTGCTTGGAGACTATGGGCTGGATTTCTGTAGGCTTTGGCGCTTTTGGGAGGCGAGGCTGGGACTTAATTTAATGTTTTTTTCATCAAATGATAACTGGTCTTATGGTTTCATGATATATCTTAAGACGCCGGAAGTTGTGATGTCAGAGACATGTCCATCAGGTAAGAGAGGCGAGCATTGCTCTGTAATCTTACACGCTATCAAAAGTCATTATGTCAAAATTCTAGCACAAGTAACTTAATTGTCCTATTTCACCTAGCACAATAAGCATTGAAAAGTAACAATTGTTCTAAACTATTCCTATAATTGATTTAGTTGTGTGACGTCTTTAGGATAATCATTTTATAACTCCTGTGTGTACAGAGCAATGCCCGCCTCTCTTACTCTAGACACACCTTACAACCCTACGATGCTATAATTCCTAGGGTAATCAACAGAACTGACCTATGTTTCTTGGGTTAATCATGATAGATGGATTTGAATTATCCTGAATGGCTTGTATAACTTTGTTCGGCGTAATCTTACGAGGCTCTTAGAATGATATATCATTCCAAGTCAGGTGTTTTTAGAGTAATGACAGTTGCTCTTTCATTCTGTAAACGAGGCAGTGGTGTTATATCTATATCTGTCTAGACCTATCCTCTCAATCCATCCATCACATCATACCAAAGATCAAAAACGCAGGAAAACGAGAGACCACAAAAACAAGACGGACGCCTGCGACCTGAATAACGATCCCGCACACGGAAACTCCTAAGTATATTGAATTTTGTTGTATGAATCCAGCATGATCCAGTCATGTGTGAGGGTCTACCAGTAGACTCATATTGAAAGGAACTGTTAAGGATAGATTCTCAGAATCTAATTCGAATGCCTCGGTTGGTTGTGTTGTAAGATATCTAGACATTGCTCTGTACACGCTATTAAAAGTTATTATGCCATAGGTCTGGCACAAGTAACTTAATTGACCTATTTCACCTAGCACAATCAGAATTAAAAAGTAACAATTGTTCTAAACTATTCGTATAATTGATTTAGTTGTGTGAGGTCTTTAGGATAATATTTTTCTAACCTAGGGGTGTACGGAGTAATGCCCGCCTCTCTTATCTTTATAATGATTGTTCTGTTTAACGATGTTTAGCAGTGATGCGTTGACTTGGTTATCAAGTAGGAAAGACTTACTAGGTGAGTGTTGTAGTAGGTGCTGATGGTGCGGAAAAGAAGGCTGTCCCGTTCGATGGAGCGATTTGACGTTGGAATGTGGTGGAGTTTGATGTGCTCTCTATTGGGTTTTGGGTTGGGTTTCTGGATATATTAGTCATGGGGTGTGTTTTTACTTGGGATCTGTACTTACGACTCTGTGGCATCGATGGTTTGGCTGGTGGAAGAGGAGTTACTTGAGATTGTTCTGAGGAAGTTAGCACCATTTCAAGACACGTATTTGGAAGGTGAAACTCACGTAGACTCCAGAGTCTGGCTACTTGATTCAATTTCAGACGTTGACGTTCTATCAAAATCAGCTCTCATATCCCATCATCGCGAAAGAACAAAAGGCACTCACGACTCAACAGGTTCAGTAGTCTGGCTAGCCAACATAATAGTCTTGGTAATAGTACTAGTCCGATTAGATGTAAGGGTTTGATTGAGAGTCATAGTGATAAAATATGTCGAAGTTTCCTCAATCGTAGTCGTCAATTCAATCGTCGAAGTACTTCCAATTTCTACCGGCGAAAAGTTGGCTTCGGGTGTTGCACTAGGGATTGCGAGTTCGGTGGAAAGGTCCATGGAGCCAGCCGGGACACTAATGGTTGTATTTGGAGGAATTCTTAGACGAATCGGCTATTTGTCTGTTAGTCGTACTTTTCGTATACATGAAAAAATATAGGGGATGTACCGATGAGAGTGTAGTTGAGATGGATAATGTGCTCGTGACTGTCACTTCCTTGCAATTCGTTGCTAGAACGTATTCCCTGCTATCCACCTCGCAGTCTTCATCCTTATCTGATTCGTTCACTTTACACGTTTTGACTTCGATATCTTTGGGATCGTTGGCGGCCAATTCTTTCCAGGGAGCCGCGTAGTACGTTCGGAGTTTTTGAACGCGGGGTGACCCTTCTTGAGAAGAAATGCCTTGTGCTTGTTCTTCTTGCCGGACTCGAAGGAATGGTGTAGGTGTTGGATATGCAGTTGTAGAGACGAACGCATATCCATTTTCCGTGGAAAAGGTAATGGTTTGGGAGCAATCGGAAACGGTGATGCTCGTGTAGAAACCGACAATAACAGTTGAGCAGGTAGTTGTCCGAGCTGGTCTAAGAGCACTGATACAAGATGCTGGAATCGTAGTGTGATTACTTCCTATACTGCAAATATCTTATAAGGGGGCAAGAAGCGGGACGGACGCATTTCGACTAAATCGAGTTGTTGCTGTCAAATTCCCAGAGGTTTGATTTCCTGGGGTACTAATATTTGGCGTCAATCTTCGAATCGAGTTATCGATATTCGAAGGTTCTTGATACTCCCTTTGGGACCGTGAAAAAAGATGGATATGTCTTCTTCCTGGAATCCATGAAGCTTCGGTAAGAACAATTGTCCAGGCGAGCATAAGAATTGATGGAGAGTAGAAATGCATTTTGATATTTGGTCAAATGAGTGAAAGAAAAAAAGGATAGGAAAAGAGTTGAGCGGCAGAATGGTTTTGATTTTTAGGAGAGAAAATGAAGGTAGTTTTCTATTTCTACTCAGAGATGGCTGAACCGATGATACATGAAGAATGCGGGATTCGCGAGTCACCTTGATACGCGGCTGGAATGCGCAGGCGTGCATTTCAAGCTTTTCCATGACCACGACCAAGCCCATGTGGCATTTGAATGTGTTCATGATGGCTGAGAGTAGAGCCATCTTGAGATAACTGATTCTTTTAGTATGTGTGAGAGCGGGAGGATGGATGGACAGGCGATGAAGCTCATGGAGGCCTCGGCGAGGTTTCCCCGCCAAATCCTATCGCGGGGCGAAGCTTGCGGTCAGGCATCAACCCAAGAGATCATCATGTACAGTCTCCCGGTGGACAAGAAAAGTGGCAGAGATTCATTTTTTTAACTATTAGCGTAAGTTGATTCCAAGTACTAAAATATTCAAAATATCTAGAACAATTGCCCTTATTGTGCTGTTGTCTTCGATAAATCATCTTAATTGTCCAAATAGATAATCTAATATAGTGGTTTTTAGTTTAAGTTAGGATAAGATAAAAGAGATCTCTGCCACTTTTCTTCTCCACCGGGAGACAGTTAACACGGCCGCAAATAAACAAAATTCTCTCATCAACATCAAAGAATTTTATCCTCAAGCAGTCTGAGATCCAAATCACAACCGAGAAAACTTGTCACCCAGTCGAAGAAATATGGCTCCAAAGAAAAGCAATCCCCGCACCAAACCCCCAGCCCCTTCAAACACCACCGCCCCTCCAAACTGGCCTCCCTTCAAACCTCTTCTCCCAAGTAGCGATATCAGTCTAGAAACCGTCCTTCCGTCCCAGATAGTGGTCGCCCGAAACTTCTGCACGGGCACTTTATGTAAGAATTACGTGTCATTCTTAAAGACCCTGCCTTTGGTGACGACGCCTGGAAAACCGTTGAAGGGCGAGGCCTTGCGGGTGAATGATAGGTTTCAGATGATGGATGAGGGCTTTGCTAGTCGTTTATGGGTTGAGACGGGGTTGAGAGAGTTGGTTTGTGGACGTGAGGATAGTGAGGATGAGGAAGGGGTTGATGGAATGAGCATGGAGGAGAGGAGGGAGTTGTGGTGAGTTTCATGCTAAGGGCTTTGGACGAGAAACAATCGATGCTGATTTTGGAAGGGGCGGAGAACCAATCGGGTTGAATCCTTCGATTAGGATATACAGATATTCTAAGGGCCAATATTTCGATTGTCACTGTAAGTCGCAGCTCCCTTATGCACTACCCCACCAAGTCACTTAAACAGACGACGAATCCAATGTTCTTACTCTCGCCGCGAAACCAAACCCGACACCAGCCCGGACGACTTGGACTATGCTCCTCTATCTAAGTTCTCCAGCCACGGGCTGTGAAGGTGGCGAAACGGTATTCTATCCTGATGATTTACCCGGGAAGAAACAAGTTGTCCCAGAAAAAGAGATTGTCATTGGTCTTGAAACAGGAATGATGCTGTTACATAAACATGGGAATGAGTGCATGTTGGTAAGTTTATATCTTCTTGCATGTTATTTGGAGCACGTAATCTTACTGATGGATTAAAGCATGAGGGCAGAGAGGTCACTGAGGGTGAGAAATGGGTTATCAGGTCGGATCTCTGTGTCAAGAGGGAAAAGTAGAGGATGGCAGTTTGAGAGGTTCAAGAATTGATGAACAGTTTGTTTAACGTGATACCTAACATCCTGAGAATAGCCAACGTCGTCTGCCTATTCATTACTTGCGTCCACATTTGGTGCAGCATCAAAAACAGGTCTCTGCTGTGAGTGGTGTTTCGCTGTATTGACCTACACTTAACATTATGTGTTAATGATCTGCGAACAATCACTTTAATTGTCCAACTTGCTTGTAACGATTTTGCTAAGCCAGAACAATAACATCTAGGAGGAAACATTCACGGAAGGACTGCGAACCCTGATTGTTTTACTTGCTTCGTTGAACTACTTTGTATTCAAATGTTCCGGGATCGGTTTATTGCACAACGTTTTTGCAGCTAGAACGTATAATCTTTTTGTGGGCGCTGGGTACATCGTTCCATAGAAATCTCATGCATCCTTTACTCTTCCATTCCATTGAATGACACACTCAAATTGAAATATACTCGTACAATTGTCCAAACACAGAGCATCGTGTACTTTGGCTCGAAGTGGGCACCACTCTAAGGAAAGATGGATTTTTTTGAGAAACAGTTGTCTATCAAAACATCAGCTAAAATCGAATAAAAGTCACACCATTAAATCAAGTAAAGGCCCACTCACCACTCAATCAGGAACATTCCACAATACCGCCGCCCCATAAGGATAAGGACTCCGATATACAATTGGCCGCTGAGGTTCCACTGGCAAGAAGGAGCGAGGCACCTCTCGGTGGTCCGCTATCACACCTGCAAGTGACGTATTGGATCTCTTTCGATAATCATTTAGCGAATCAAAAATAAATGTATCCAGATTCGGGCCCATGTCCTCGTCCAAGCAATCGTACCAGGACTCGAAGCCAACGAGTCGGCCAAGGACAAATGATAAATTCAGCACTTTTTCCAGGTACTTGATTACCATGTTGTTATTTGGATCTTCTAGAAGTTCATGGTTGCCGGAGACAACTTCGAATTCCTGAAAGGTGAGACGTATAGCTCTTGATGCTTGAAGTGCCAAGTTCATCCCCGTTCTCTGGTCTCTAGCACTGTAAATTTCTCCAGAGGCCCAATATTGTAGCTGTCGGGTTTTCTGAATTGCAATTCTCAGTCGGGAAATCACTCCGACGCACAACCTTTCCAAGTCATGAGATTGAGACTCCGTTCGTATCCAGCTTAATCGTCTTTGGTGGAATACCTCGATTTCAAAAGTTGAGAGGAATGTCTCCAGCTTTCTGAAGGCATCTTGTTTCCACCTTAAGTACGTCGTTAGATCTTCTTTGGGACGGAAAGATGTTTTGATATGCTGTTCTAAGGCAAGTTGGTGAGTGATGACGTTGATAGGCGAAGACATCTTATAGACTGGTCTGGACTTCGTAAGGACTTTGATTGTATGAATGGTATCATCATCTGGACATACTTTTGAGAATAAGAATCAATATATCTTCTTTCAATTGACGCGTAATCTTACGTGTGGAATGGCAAGATTGAAGTGAAGTTCGAATATAACGGAGTCCCCGGAAGTCTAGATTTTGAAACGCAAATAGATCATATATGGAATACGACTAGTGCCTTCTTCGTCCATTCCATGGATGCGTTTTGGGTACGCGAAGTCTCAGAAGAAGTATCTGGAACACCTATCCCAAACACTTTTCTAGAACAACACGATAGAAACCCAAGGTGGCGGAGAAACTGGGGATCCTCCCCATTCCAACTCTCTCCAACATAAATCAGTTCTTGAACTTATTGAAAGCATTGGCGATAGTCACTTGACACGCCTGGCAAAGAGAATGCAGATCATTGATATATTGGGGTATTCCAAATTAGACTTTTCAGCTTGACAGGAACCATTTCCACAGATCTATGGTTCGGATCGATCCTCTCTGATACCCGTCAGCCATAATCTCAAAAAGCAAGATCATCCATGACTCGTATCGGATATTGGAAGTGGCAGCATATACATAGTATTCCGATTGTTCTAAGTCCCTGGGGTAGTTCGAAATGGCTCCAGTTGTTTAGAATAATCAACCCAACTATTCAAACGTCCCAGAACGCCATAAAGGACTTTATCATACAGATCTAGGTCAAAATTGAAAACAGTTTCAAAAATTAGAACAGCCAGTGCACGACAGCAAGTTCAGGGGGCTTGGGAAGCCGGAGATAAGGGCGGCGGCAAGGGCCCGAAAGATGGATGGTCGGTTGGAGTCGACCGAAGCCAGTCAATCGGGATCGGTTAGGTATCTAGGTCGGGTCGGGAAGGATTACGCCCGAGTTTCGGGAACGTCATCTGGGTCTCGTGCGTTCACGGAGTTGGACCAATCGATGTTGATGAAGTTTTGAAAGATTTTTTTTGCTCGGTGATAATGCAAAATGGACATAAACAATTCTTGGCATGAGCTGAAATTCAATTATTGACTGGTGGCTATACATAACCAGGGCAAATGGGTTGAAACTCCGTGAGAAAAAAGTATCTAACCGCGAGAAAGGGTGGGGTGCTTCCAAAATACCTAGCTTTGGTCTACTGACTAGCTTCTTGAAACATTCACTTTCGAAACGCAAAGGATTACCGATTACTCGATCGTGTATGAGTAAGATACTCGAGTAGAGACAAAAGATTATGTGGAATAAATCATGAAATGGTAGGTAGCCTGAAGAGGCTCGCCTCGCTTAGCTCCCATACAACCAACGAAAGACTCGGGAACTCAAAAAGAACGGTAGAATGGATTGCGGATCATATTAATACACCATTTCCTTAGGGCACCATTATTATGTTAGTGCAAAAAAAAAGTAAAAAATTAACTGATTGGGATGATCATGTGATAACCCACTCGACGTGGGACTCGAACCCACAGCCTCAAGATTAGAAGTCTTGCGCGCTACCTGTGAAACTGTTAGTTTTAGATCAGAAGGATCTATTCAAGGGGGACTCGCCATTGCGCCAGCCGAGCTGTTTTGCTTTGTTTTTTGATGTCGAAAAAGTTTTTATTTGTATCTAAAAGCCTTTCTGGAATGTGGACTGCCAAGTGGTGCGGGGTCGGCTCAAAGGCGGATGCCGGGAACTATTCGGCTTGAATAACAGTACTATCTCTCTCTCACTTACTCCTGTACAGGCTAGTTTGAAACCAGCAATAACTGTTATAAAGCTTTTGGATATTTGGTTCCAAATCTAAACTAACACTGGCGTGTCAGATCATTCTGGAAAAGTACTTTTACAAGAATTATTCACAACGAACGACTTTTGATATACATTACACAGGTGGATATCACGCCCTAGCCTTAACACTGGTCATAGTTCCAATCACCCCACCTCCCAGTGGACAAGAAAAGTGGCAGAAACCTCTTTTATTATATCCTGACTTAAATAAAAACTATTATGTTATATTGTTCGATTAGAATAATTACAGTGATTTATCGAAAACGATAGCACAATAGAGATGATTGTTCTAGATATTTCAAACATTTTAGTACTTAGAATCAACTTACGCTAATAGTTAAAAGATAAATCTCTGCCACTTTTCTTGTCCACTGGGAGCCTGCGCCAGCTTGATCTCGCTAAGATAGTCACTGGACTTGGTATTATAACAAGTGCTTCTTGCTCTTAAAGAACGTAGAGTGGCAGCATATTTTGCTGTTGCTAGCACTTGCTTCGTATTTGATGAGTGTTCAATTACTTTATTGGGGGTTTAGAATAATTAACCAAAAATTCTAGGACAATCAAAGAAATTCACCCAAAATATCTGGGTTCACTCTAGTTCATTTTCGAAAGATGAAACAACTTTTTTGTTCGCAAGAGAAGTTTGCTTCTCTCTTCTACAATGCCTTTCTATAACGTAACTTTAAGTTCATTGCCTCCAAATTAGATAGTAATCTTGATACCTAACCTGTGATTTATTGTATCGTAGATAGTTTTCATGATCAAGGAATCCAAACGACAGAAACAGATCAGAATACATTCTGAAGCAGTGGTAGAATAAATACACCAATGCAATTCTTGTACAATTCTAAACAGTTCATCAAACTAACCATGGAATGATTTTGATTTAAAGCCAAACAAAAATGGTGATGCATGACTGGGTATCTACAAAGTACATCATTTACATTCAAATTTGATACCAGGCCCAGGTACTCGTATATGGAGTGGTAGCGCCAAGACATGAGGCCCAAGCTCCTGATAGGAGATCGCAAATAGTAGTAAACAATAGCGAGGGACAAATCAACAACACCTCCACCCCTTCATCTCCATCTGCCATTTCTCTTCAGAGATCCATCCCGATACTTCATGTTCAGGAGGGAGCATACGTGTTATCGCCGGTTCTCCCGTATCTCAATTGCGCATGGCATTCCTCCAGCAGCCCACCATGGCGCAACCATTGCGAAATCCCCAACCCCAACCTCAACCCTCTGAACAGCCCGAATCGCGATCGTTCTTCTCTCAAAGATCAGCACGCCAATTTGGTCTATTTGCAGCAGGCGTAGGATTCTTTGCATTGTCTACAGTTATTACCCGACGCTCGCTGGTCCGAAAGTACAAGGCCACTGTTCCTCGATTCTACCATCCCAGTAATCGAGTCGCTGAAGTCAATGGTGGCTTAGAGGCAGTTGAAGCCCTCGGACTTGCGACTGTAAATGTTGCTAGTGTAGCCATGACGGCCACCGGAGGATTGCTGTGGGCATTCGATATATCAACACTAGACGATCTGAGACGGAAGGTTCGCAAACAAATGGGCTTTTCGCGAACTGGGAATAGTCTGGAAGACAAAGAGGCCGAGGAGGAGATAGAGGAATGGTTCGCCGAAGTTCTTTCGCGAAAGGAATTCAAGCACCTCAAGGGGAAGGAAGCAGAAAATATGGAGAAAGAGACAAAAGAAGAGGAGAAGAAGTCATAGACCTTGTGGTGTGAGCTTCTGTTTTCGTCCTATTTGGAGGACTTGGAGTGCCTGGAATGGCTGTGCACATAATGAATCTCTTCTCTCGGATAATTTCAGCTCCACCATACCTCTCAAAGCTGCAATATGCGCGATGTCGCGGCTCAAACTTGGGCTCCTCATATCACCAGTGGGGAGAAGAGCCGAGTTAAGCGTTGGATGGTTTTGAGATACCAGTGAAGGAGATATCGGTACATAAGCATAACCGCTTGCTACATCAATTTAGCGCAAGGGCAAATGATTGAAAACTGTATAATACAATGCGAATACTTGCAAGTGCTTGGAATCTATTGTTCCACCGGCAGCAATTGTTAGGTTAATACTGAGAAATCGCTACTACAAACCTGGAAACGTCCATCATACATAACGGAATCACGAAATCCTTTTTCGGGGATTCTTTCTGGGAATTGAATGTCAGACCAGGCTCCCAAGATCCAGGTTTTGAAGTATGCAATCTCACCGCATATTTGATACGTACGGAAGTTTCGCCCGTGTCTGTTATTTTCCTGCAAGTTAATGTTTTCTGTTTCATGTCAACCAACTCCAACTTCTCTTTGAACTACAAACACACACCAGTTTTGTCAAAAGATTAATACCCACCCTGGTAGATACTTCATACGCATTGCCTCTCGTGACAGCACCCCCTTTTAGGCCTTTTGCGGGGTGTTAAGAACGTCAGACCGGGACAATCAAGCCGAGTTCCGGGGTAGGGGGATTGTCCAAAAGAAAATACCTTTGCATGTTGTGGCTGGACAACTCTGAACAAATAGACAAAATAAACGTAACCCCAGGTGTCGGTGTGGTTGAGGAAACAAAATGCTTTTGCTTAGTTGTAGTAATATCTACCAGTATATGTTTCTGCTCAGTCATGGGAAATCGGTTGGAAAAGCGGCACAAAATCCTCGAGACTTGACATCAATACAGACAATACCCAAGTATTGTACATACTGTGTGCCTCGAAGCTGGGTAATCAATGATTGCCGCCTTAATGGCTTCGTGAATGCTTAGCTTGCATTGCATTCTTCAACTTGTCTTGTCTGCAAGGGGGGGCCGAGTTGTTGGGCATGATATGTTCTGTCATATTCTAGACCTCTCTCGATCATGCTCCCCTCACCTTCTGCAGATATCTTTACAAGATACTCTTGACGCGACATTCCACAAATGATGAATCCAAGCTTGCTGCCAAATTGCAGAATAGAAGTACGGGAGTACAAACTTGTACCAAATCCTTCGAGATGGATGCAGAGAGGCGAGAGGGTCATAATCCAGTCACCAATACTCGAGATTCCCGAATCGTGCTCCCGTGTACCAGCTAAACGACATGCTTATGGCGAAGAGCAAAACTCGGTCTGCTTTCTTTCCAGGAACGATATCGATTTCCAATATAGAGGAATCACAAGATAGGTCGATGCCCACGGTGTAGCAGTATCCGACTCTTCTCCTTCGGGTCACCTCTACTTTAAAAGGGGTCATCGATTTTGGCTTATGATAAAACCCGAAACGGAAGCTTCTGAATGCACTGTTCCAGTGATCAATCCAGACACATATGAGGAAGGAACTATCAACATTCAACAAGCATGCTAGTTCCCCGGAATCCAAGGTCCAAACGACGAGCTCTGGACACTGGGTGGAGACGTACGAAAGCAAAAACTTTGTGGCTCAAAGAAGTTCATACATTGGTCATGGATAGTATGCCAAAGGTTGGATGGCTCTAATTCAACTACGAAGATGGCAGAAATACCTACAAAGGAAGCTGGATGTCAAGACAAAATGCTCCTCTCTTCACCTGAAGCACAGTGTCTTTTCGAGCAACGCTATCGAGCCATGGAGAAGCCAATACTACCATCCGATTTACCAAGTCCTTCTTTAACTCCACTTTATGCTTCGGAAGGCACACAGGAGCGATCGGAGAAGTCTGACGAACTTCTCGCAATATCGTCTCGTTATCCTGGGAGGCATAATTTGTGGAGGAGGATCTTTTTGATCGCAAGCCAAAATGGGGGGACATAAATGTCTCGAACAAAGCACTATACATCCTCAAAATCATCTACCGAACCGGGACAATGATAATCAAGCCACTATTAAAAGGAGCTGTGCCGTAGCTGATAATCCATTGTCCAAAGCAAGTTCTCCATTCACAACACAAAATCAAATACCGGAAGATTCAATACGCGAGGCCGAAGACCACGAGGCCAGCCTCGGTGCTCAACAACTCCTCGAAATTTACAAATTTGACGAACTACCCTCAAACCGCGAAATACTACAGATTACCGGGCTATGCGATCGCCAGGATCTTGAATGTAAATGCGACACCATTTCCACATCCAAACACTTCCACTCCCCGCCTGAAAAGTGCGCTCTCCCGGACTCCAACTCGAATCCTCTCGTCCCACCTCACGAACACTGCATTTCTCAATACCGTCCACTTCCTGACAGAGCAGGTGGATGTCTACTCCTTGATAGAGGCCGGGGTCATATGTGTTGTTATTGGAGGCCTGACGATCGGAATTCCGAGACTTCGTGCTCTACTCTCGATGAGAGAGCGAATAAAGATGACAACGTTTCAGCGAAGAGAGAGTGGGAAGGAAGAGGAATGTATAGGTACGGTGGAGCTGTGAAGGATCAGAGCTGCCTGGTAAATGTTGGAGTTGGGCCGAAGAACTTCTATGTCTGGGATCACATTTCAGAGTTGGGGTCGGCAGGAAAGGAGTTTTTAGAGACGTTATCTGAATCTGATTTAAACGCTGCGGCTATCTTGATCAAACTCAAGGAGTTGAATTGAGGACATGGGGATTTAGCGAGAAGGGCATGGATTGGGTGTCTTTTGGGAATTACTGTTGCAAAATATAGGATACATGTTTACGAGAAGGATTTTTCATTTGGGAACCGGAAAAAAAGAATGGTGTCTTGAAAAGGGGCTAATAGCACCGTTCACGGCCTACGACTGTTTTTGGGTGCTGATATCGGCCATTAGGCAAACGAATTATGAAACACAACTTCCAACTTGATATTACGGTATCTATTGTTTGAGAATTTCCTCACGCTCCGATATTACTAGAATTAAGACACGTAACCTGATAATTACTCATTACACACTATACAAAAAGTTGTTTTTCCAAAATTCTAGCACAAGTAAAATAATTGTCTTGGGATGCCTAGAACAATAAGAAGGAAGAGTCAACAGTCATTCCAAGCTCTTCATATAAGTTTTTCAATTGTGCGAGGCTTCTAGGATAATATTATTTTCACAGAGGTGTATAAGACAGTTGGATGAAACTCTCGACACATCCAGGTTAGAATAATATATTGTTCTAAAAGCCTCGTACAACTAAAATTATTGTACGAGCCATTTGGGGTAATTCAAATTAATATACCTTCATTGATCTAAGTCATTTTGTGACAGACGTGCTTCAGGTAGAACTCAGAACAATTAACACTCTATTCTTAGGACAAAAGACGAGGAAAGAAGGAGAGCTCGAGAGAGCTGGGAACTAAATACAGGTCGTGCGCGCTAGCGCCTCGCTAAGCGAGCATGTGACATCCCGCCCTCGTGACCATAACCGTCACAGATTTGGGACAATTTAGATGATTGTTTTAGTAATTCTAGTATAATAGAGTCTTAGGGTGTGTAGAGAGTTTCGCCTTAACTGTCTCGGAGAGTAATGAGCGTGTGTCTTATATGATTTTGCATTGGATAAGGAGTAGCGATGTATTAATCCTTTAAACTTTCTCTGTAACACTTTATAGTGAATTCAGTTCCTTGGAGCAGTTTTAAAATAATGCCTCGTTATAAACAAAAGAGGTGGTATATAAAAAGAGGTGGTAGTGGAATATGTTCTTCCTTTCTACGTTAATTAAGAGTGATTAACCTAAAACTTTTGATGATTATAATTGCTTATAGATTTTCAGTCAATACACAATAATTCTCTAGGATAGTTAAAATAATACACTCCAAATTAAGTTAGATACTAAGAGGTAATCAATCTACTGCTGATTTTTCACAAAAAGGCTTATAGCTGAGCTTTGGGTAGAGTAAATGAGAAGAATTTGATTTAAACATTCTCATGGTTACAGTATCTAAGAAGCAAAGAAGCGGTAGAACTAAAGTCTTGAGCACTATGGCCTGTCTCTCCCTCCCTCTCTATCCAACTTTCTATGTTTTCTTACAATGCACGTCCATCACCATAAGTGGCTATATTGCAACACTCGGGATCAACCTGACCGTTGACTCATGGATACTAAAAACAACGTCAGTATTTCTACCAAATCACACTTGAACTACACCAAGATTCTTACTATGGAAAAGAAACGCCTAGCAGTCCTTTCCATCCCAATCAAGGCATTGTTCACCCAAAGATTGTACACACTGGATACCGTAGTTAGAATAGCTAACCAACAAAACCTCTGGGAAACTCACCCTGCAATCATAGCGAGCTTTAATTTGACTATGATTTTCTGTGGGGAGAGCTGTGGCAAAGGCAGCGAAAGCAAGGGCGAAGATAGTAATGAATTGCATGGCTGCAGTTTGGGGTCGAGAAGTCTTAGTGTGGTGTTGTAAGAATGTAACAAGAATGATTGATTGATTGATGTTTTTCTGGAGAGCAAGTAAAGGGGCACACCGCACTTTATACCCATTCGTGCCGTATCATCATCTTTTACGGTGATCCTTCGAAGTAGAAGTGGACAAAGTTAGTCTCTGACTCTGGGATGCTATTTTACCCGAGTCGCCTTGCTTAATAAAAGTTTGCGCATGTTTTGGTCATCGCTTCACGCTACTTGGTACAGTATTCCAGAGTACTTTGTACAATGCGGATAACTCGATACTGGGAGTCGCGATATGAGGATACCTTGGAAGATTCCTTGACATTTCCGTCCCGTGTTTCAAGGTTAAGGCAAGCAAGCCACAAGGTAACTTACCTAGGTAAGCTTTAGAGACATCCTCGCTTTTACAAAGAAGGATATCCGAGAATCCATTGCTCTTTTTTCGAAAGTAACAAATATCCAAGCAGCAAAATACTCGCTTATATTTCCTCTATAAATTGGAGATCCAGCGACAAAATGAGAGAAAATGGGAGCGCAGCACTGATCCTATTCAAGCAACAGAGTACAAATTCCCAGTACTACTTGGTCGTCTCATGTCAAGAGCCTGACCAGAATGATAATCTTTGATAATAACCTATTGGGTTGAAAGGGTATTGGGTACTGAAGGTAATTGATTTTATTGTAAAGGGTAGCTATCTAAGGTGTTTATATAAAGAGTGTAAGGTTTAGGCAGACATGAAGCATTTAGGCAGCAGAACTATAAGTGGATCAAATAAGGAAGTGGAGCAAAAGAGAAAGTAGACCCAGCACAACATAACCTTAAAGTTCCGGTGCTGTCAGTATCCTTATGCTTCATCATCCCAGGGGTGACTAGTGGCGACAGCTGTAGCTTTTGAATGCTGGCTAAGGTAATGGCCCTTCTGACTCGGAGTGTAAGATTGTACACTATTCGATAGCATGCCCTGGGATAGACGGAACTTAGTAACACTCTATATACTTATCCAGTGTATGCTCAATAATATATCCAAATTAAACGCCGTTTAGATCAGGAAAATTTTCATGTAATATCGCACTTAAGTGTAATCACTAGCTTTAGTCTCTTGAAAGTAGTGCCATAGTTATTATAGCTACCTATACGAGTTATAGATTTAGATTCAACAAATCCAGATTTTGCGTTACCACTGTTTTGTATGATTCATTCTGAATAAAACTAATTTATAATATTAGGAGTGTTAATTTCTTGGTATTCGATGTACGAGTCAAACGTTGCGTGTACTCGACACGAATCGGCATTCGTAAAGAGTGTAAAACCCTTAATGAATATGGTAGATCCTGAATGTATACTTCGAGCCAAGCATGCCGACTTCGTTCGGTATTTTGAAGCATTAAGGTGTAAAGCCCTAGAAGGTTGTATATACCGGTATAGTAGAAACTCGTTACTACTGTGGGATACTTGCTATAAGAGAACCTTGAGGTATTGACTTTTTAGGTCTCGATTCTTATTTGTAGACCTAAAGCATATCCTCGCTATGATAGCCCCTCGATGCTCAATATGCAAGACCTACATATACTTCGAGAATTGAAGTAGATATTCAAGTTTAAACTTTCCTAATTGAGCGATAAATTCCTAGAACAAACGGTTATATAAGCATACTTATCTCAAAAAGTCAATAGTAAGGTTCGGCTTGTTAGGGTTCAGCCAAACCCGAGTGGTAGGACCGAATGGAATAGTGCCTAGGCGCGCTACGGGGACTCGGACCGCTTTGCTCCGCATTATGTAAGTAGTATTAACGTTGAAATGTTCGCAAGTACTAAGACTAAAAGTGGACCCGTCGAGCTTGAAATCGTAGACATACATATTAAGCATTGAGTGAATAAGGGTTATCCTTAGTTTTTTAAGGTCTAAAAGAACAGGTTGTTTATTCCGCAGCACTTGAATATGTGAAACTCGCCACAAGCATATTCTTGTTTATGCCCCCAAGAATTAACCGCCCGACCGTATGCCTGGGATGAAGACTCAAGTCTCTGTTACATGGAGCTTTGAGAGTGGTTTTCTGATGTGAGACTTTTGATAGAACTACAGTATAACAAAAGACGATCAAACAAGATGTGATACAGTACCACAAGCCAGATGTAAAAAACACTATGCAATTAAGCCGAGTTGAAAAAGCCAAGAATACTTGATTCGCTAAAGTCTTTGCAAGACTAACTTCGTCATAGCTCCTACAGGCGATGCGAATGTACTTCGTAAGCCTTTTAAGTCCAGACAGCTCGCGTCTCCTCTTCCCTATATACGACTTGTTATAGGCGGTGTATAAGCCTACATTGTCTCCTGCACCGTTCTGAGGTTTTTGGAAGTGGGAAAGGGACCCTCGCGGAGAATAGGAGTAAAGTAAAACTCTGAGGCTATTCTAACACCTTGGCAATGCTAAGCTATTGAATTATACTAATTTTCATTAAAATAGAGTAAGAGAACAAGGTCACATAAGTAAAACGTAAAATTTAATATAAGCAAAATCTTACTGAAGAGGGTGGACAATTAAAGCTGGATACTGTTCTAACTATATTACGGCTCGGCCCCGATTTCCAGCTATAGTATAAAACTCCCGCAAGTCTTAGCATAATATTATATATTTTTTGTAACCTAGGGTAGTGCATCTAACCCACTTCGAATACCCTCCAAATGCTGTAGAAGATAGCCTTCGAAGCTGACTAGATTGTATAGTTCATACAGGGGTATATCAGAACTTGAGTAGGTGGGGCGAGATATCTGCTATACCCTTTGACTTACCTTAAGCACCTTGGGAAACTTGAAGCTAATACTCTCCTTCCCCCGCTAATTTGAAGTTAATCGTAAACTTTGATCTTTTGCGGGCCTACGAGAGGTAGTTTCGCCATAAAGATTATACACGAAACTTTCGGAAATAACCCTCATTTAGAAGGGGAGAGTGGAGGGGGGGGCGGGTAATATCCTGAAGTAGTAACGTTTATCATTGCTGCAGGTGATTCAATAGGTCCCCCACTCCCCCAAAGTAAGAGGCTTGGTTATTAGTCTGAACACACCTATGTTAAAACAACATTATTCTAGAAGCGTCGCATAAAACAAACTGGTTGTGCGAGTACTTTAGAACAATTGTTACGTAAGATATTTTGTTATCTGAATATTCTAGGAGAATCAAATCAATAGTATGATAATTACGCCAAACATTTAGCAGAATGATCCTTTATATGGTGTACGTAGAGGAAATGCTATGCACCTTTCCATGCGTACTTCCTTGCTTCCAGTAAAGAAATATTAGTCAAAAAGCCGAGTCATTCCTAGGTACTGTAGCTTTGTGGCCACTCTGAGAGTTGGCAACAGAGTCTCGCTAGTGGAGAAAAATGAACAACCCCAAATTTCCTAAGCTCGAGACCGCTTTTTGGTCTTATTTGCAGGATGGTGAGACTTTGAACATCACCTTTTATAATACGGCGGATTGTGCCGCTAAGCCAATTGAACTAATTGTAGACGTGGGTACTTGAGACGAATTCATTCGAAGTAAAGAAGATAGTTACATCAAATTAAATACTTGGCCTGTCTGTACGACTCGGCGCAGTTGTTTCGGGAAAACATCCGAGTCATAGATTAACTAACTTTCATCCCACATAATTTACTTCCTACATGACAGTGCCTAGCTTTAACTACCCGCCCTCTTATAGCAGAGACGTCTTGATAAGTTGCCATCGACATTTAGTAATTGTTTCGTAGAGAGTTATATTCGTTCTAAGAAATGGACAAAATTCGAACGATATCCGTGCTAAAACTATATATATAACAAATGAAGACAGAGGGCCCTAAGAGTTACTAGTACTAATAAAAGTCAGTCTACAATTTATTCCACTTTTTAGTGCTCAACTTAGCCTATTCTCAACTCCGCCGTGGTCCTCGTCCCGCCAAGATATATTTTCGTGTTTAGCGAGCCCCTGGATTAAACGCGTTGTGGTCTTATATAGAAACTTAGAAGGGGTTTACGATCGTAGTTTCAGATTCAACGTAGTAGTATATACAAATAAGACTTTCTAAAATTTTATATGAGTTTTTCTTAGTTTGTATAGAAACTATTTGTAACACTAGATAGAATATTTTAATAGCGTTTACCAAAAACCACCTTGAGCGTACTTGACAGACCCTGAACATTCCTAAGCGGAACGAGGACATGTAACGAATACTCAAACTGGCTAACTAAACTTGGCTGGGTGTTCGCTGGTTGGTATGCTATGATAAGAAGAAGACTATCGGGTTGTTCACTTGGAAGTGAACTCGTTACTTGTATCAAAGATGTCAAACTAATATGATAAGATTGATAACTAAGTTGAGCACGAAGCTCCTATCTAGTGGCAGACATGCCAGTGTTATATAGAACCTTCGTTCTACTGGATCCCTTCTGGATCCATCGGGGTCCATCACGTGACAACAACCAAATGAAATCCATGGATCGCTTAGCTGGCCTAAGCAATCCCTATTTGCTATAAGAAACCTGGATGTGCCTGTCGAGGGTTGCGCCTTTTATTATGACAAGTATCACGTGAGCACGTGATTCGTGACAGGACACGGAGGAGATATAACATATGAAGATATTCAGACTTACCCTACACGTCCTACCTATAATCAGCAGTAGAATTATATAGTATAGTAATTAGGGCTATACGCTTCTCTTGTGTAAGTATTCTATACATTGTTCTATACTAATCTATCACTAAAATTGCGCAAATAGAACCTCTTTCCTAACCTGATAAGTTTACAACATTCAAAGTTCACTCGGCTATTTAACGTAAGGAGCTGCACATTTTCCCAAAGCCAAAGTCGATTCCTAATGTTTAATAGCATGGCAATTCGCTTTACTAAGAAGCTACTCCTCTTTGATATAGCTATCTTAACTCGAGGAGCGTAATCTTTCCCCCTCTTTCGTTATAACTATAGTATTAGCATTAACCATCTTGACTGGCAGAAATACACAGAAAGAGCTACCTATATTAGCTTTGTTTGTGGGTTCTGTTCCCTGTTTTCCAGACAAGGCTTCGCGGATCCCCTACTTTATAACGGCCTTTCTATCAGAACCTCAACGGTATAAGTATCGTCCGCACTATGCTTTCGTCCGTAAACGATATCGAATTTTCAGGTAGAACGCCGAGTTAAGTTTGGCGGCGAGCGATCTACACGTTTCAATGACGAGAGTACGTACTAAGGCCAAACCATACCGCGTTCTGCCTACTAATTTCGTGCTGTTTACGGATAAAGGGGCAAGGTTATAAGCGGAAGGGTGCTCAAGGTTTCTCGCTTAGTAGTAAGTACGAATATTTACTTCTAACCCGTGTAGAAAGGTAGGAGGAGCTCAGACTGGATTCGCCTCAACAAGTCGTATTAGATCAATTGCCACCAGGCTTAGGCTAAGTCATTTGCAAGCCTCGACTTGCCTGACATACCTCGAGGCTAGCAACACCATGAGATTAGAGGAGAATAGTGTAGCCATTGTTTTGGTTTGATCAGTTTTAATGTCGCGAAACAAACCGCATTTTTGAATAGGGGTTATAAAACCGAACTGACGAACCAAAAAATTAAGTATTAAAATTAGTCTAAACTCGCTTTTACGGTATGAAAGTATCGACCTCTTTTTTATCCTTATTGTCTTACTTCTTTGATTTCTATATCCTCTTATCTTCATAAAGCACGTTCGAATTTATATCTGGGATGCTTTATTAATAATTCCTTCGACTTGTACGTGGGTAAGGTGGAATCTGGCGGAGTGCGAGCCAAATAGGCCCTCAGAAGTTAAGGTAAAGGTACCCCTACTAATATAATAACTACCGAGTCTGAAATAGTAAATACATCCTCTATCAAATGCTATAAAATTAAGAAAACCAGCAAGTTTTAATAGACAAACCCAAACCAAACCAACCAACCAACCAATTATTTATAACTACCTAAGCAAACTATTAGCCACGCTGGAGAAGTAACGGTGAACCTCTTGAAGTCCTGGACCAGGCTAAGCGGCTTGACAGCGGAGATTCAAAATTGCTCCTTCTGTCCCAAGGTTGTTTCACGGCCTGAGGTGGGCGACTGCAGGTGGTCTCGACCTCACGACAAGAGCTCAAAGGCGCGGAGAGGGAAGTCACGACTCTCAATCCTTCCGGGGGTCCGGGGGAGGAACGTCTGAGGGTCAACATCACGGGCATAGATGGCTGGAACACACAACACGCAACACAGCCCAAGACAACCGCATCGAAGGTACCACCATCATTACCCACCTATTGACGAGCAGCTGTAACGACATAAAGATTGCTTAGGGGAGTGCCCCCATATTCACAACCGTTATAGATTCGGCGTGCCACGGTTGTATTTAGATTAAGACAATACTAATACAGTTGCGAAGATTTACAGCGGTTGTAAAAGGAATTCTGGACAACCTTAGAGGCAACCCCTCATTTTAAAATCCGTAGTACTACCATTGAAGGAAGTCGTAACCGTTGTAAGCTTTTGCAATCGTATTAGAACCGTCTTAATCTGATACATCTGTTATACGAGGGTTGTATTGTACAGCAGTTGCAGAAATGGGGGTTTTCCTCCAAGGTACCTACAATTTGGATGCACTTATATCTGCTGCTTGGTTGGAATGCAATTGCTATGAAGAGATCCCAAGGCTTGCAAGGTTCATGCTATGAATTTTTTTCATTGTCCTCCACGCCTCTGAAGAGCCATGGTATATATTTATACAGTGACTGAAGAACAAGAAGATCCGAAATTTGAACTTGTCATCTGGGGGCCGTACCTACATAGGTAAATATCCTTTGGGGCGTTGTGACGCTACCCAACAACACCAACAAATGGCAAAAATAATTTTTCGAAAAACAATGAACGTTTCCAAAATAAACACGATAGAAAGTTGAAGAAAGAAAAATTCATTGCTGATCCCTTTGGTATTTTACAAATCCATATAAGCTTCTGATCTTCGTATAGATCTTCACCATGCGAGTGTCCTCCCCAGAAGTACGAGTGTCGCTCACTCGATTGCCAACTCGGTTGCACAAGATTGGCTGCCATATGTACCCGTTCTCCTCTAAATCGGAGTGGTTTACTTTAGACTCGATTTGGCCGTATCTGGAAAGCGAGATATGACAAATGCTCCAAATCGTTTCCGCAGTCAAGACCTCCACTGTGACTGAGCCGTATCGCTCGCATGATGCAAAAGCATCGTCGCCCAGTCTATTTAGACGCAACCGAGTTTCCGATATCCAAAATCCAGAGAAGGTCTCATCCGGGTGCCGCTCGCGACTCCAGTAACTCCTGATGCCCATGCTAAGATCCCATAGAAATACAGTATTTCCTCAGACCCTCTTACAATGCCTTGGTTATTCAGTTGGTCTTCTACCCTAGCAAAACGGACTCAATCTGGCTCGGTACCGAACCAATACTTCATCCATCGATTTACGGTAGTGGCTCCGTATCGAACCACACTTCATCCGTCGATTTACGGACAGCGGAATTTTTGAATGGAAGATTGGGCATGCCGTCTTCGGCTTTCGAGTTGTAATGAAAGACTCCGCGGTAGTTATAGCTCACTTCTAATTCGGTGTGCTTAGTCCATGGTACTTCGTAGAGGACAAATAAAATGGTCACACTGTTGAGATGGTCAGTGTAAACAACTGAAGAGTTGAAGGTAGTTGACTCACGCAAAAACTATCGAAAGCGATAAACAGCGTTGAGCCCTTCGTGTAGGACGCCAGCCTTTGGAGGAGAATTCTCTCAGCATGACGGATGTGAATGTAAGGTAGTTCTGTAAGAAGAAGATATGTAAGGTGATCCGAAACGAATTAGGTGTAATTGGAGAATGAATGGAATCGGATGACGAAGCCTAAGTTGAAAGATGTTGGAAATGTTTCTTTAAATGATTGTACAACCTGCGAGCCTTCCAGAAGTGCTGCAAAGAGAAGTCATCAAATCTGGGGGGCCATGCCCATTCTTAACCTTGGAAATACCAAGGCTTTGCCCACCAGGACGTCACAGCGAACATGCATTAAAGACTAACGGGGACATTTTTGTCTTTTTGTCGAACCGAGAGAATCATAATGTGGTATGATTGGCTCAATGCTGAAACCGAGAGCGTTGGTGGTTCCTCTTGGCTGGGTTAGGGTTGCCTGGTGAAACGGTAGGAAAGGATAATGCTATCTGCGGGCATAGCCCGGATCTGAGGGAGGCCATCGCAAGGCACTCATTGAGACAGAACGGACGATTGGCACCGGGTTGTTCCCAGATATGACAGGCTAATTTCCATAGTGATGAATTAAATTGGGCCGGCGTCTTGAACTAGTTTGTATGGAGCTGACTGCTATATTCATATACGAACTACCTATGCTATGGAGGTAAATTCATGCTTATCTGACCTTCTGAGTGAGTTCATCGCAGAGTTATAATTGACACCAGAAGCCTCATTTGGGGTGCCGTGCCTGGAAATTACACCACTTCCCTCTTTGCATTGAAGATATCATATGTATTCTATATATACATATGTACATATGATTGCCGAGGAGGATCCAAGGGGCTACCACTGTATTGATCGATCGGCGGTGCTTGTCTCCGTATTATGCTTCTCCCTCTAGCAGACCCTCATAAGGCTGATGATTCGGCTGGAAGGGTCCTCTGGAAACTCCTCCTCCCGCACATGAGCACGACTGTGCTTGGCCGTTGCCGTCTGTCTAGTACAGTAGGTATCATCAGACGATCCGTTTGACTCACTACTCCAATTCCAAGCCAGTGGATATTAATAATATATTACAAATATATCGGTTTTTATATGTTTTTATAGTATTCCAAGTATTGATTATTGTGCTTTCCAGGATGAAGCCAGACGACGTTGATGGATAGGGTGGGGTGTGGTACCTAGTGCTTGTTTTTGTGTAGCAAGAATGTAGTAGTTGTGCAGGTGTGGTCAGTACGAGCGCGGAGTAATCATTACGCGCACGTGACGCGCTGGAGATCCGGTCCTCCGGAGTATCCCTCGCCGTCGGCAATATTCGGACAAGCTTCGGCCACTCTCGGCCTCGGCAAAGACAATCTTATCGATAAGACCTTTTCCTTTCGGCAACCTAATCCAACCCTTATGGAACCCCCACACTCGCGCCAGAACAAACATCCATCTCCGTCCTGTCATCCACTCCACTTCACAGGATGAATCTGGTCGCAAGCACCGATGCGAGCAAACTGCGCAAGCCAACTTGTCGCACTCTCCCCTTAATGCCCTCCTGAATCGCCTCTTCCATTGGCACAAGTGCCACCCTCCAATCTCGCCATTTACGCAATGGCCGCGGATTCTTCTCACCAACAGCCTGCCGAAGGTCCCCATGAAATCCCCGCCGGGCCGTTCTCCTCAGGCGCAAAGCATCTACGCATGCGAACGAACACGGCCGAGATAGATAGCACAATCATTCATCCTGGCTCCGTCAAGATCAATGTTCAGGGAGCCTTCATTGTCGACCAAGACTCCGTCTCTCCCAATGGCAGAAACACACATGGTGGGAGTCATGATACGAAGGACATCCGATTACCGAATCATACTGCTGTTGTCAGTCATATAGCAGTGGATGTACGTTTTCGGTTATCCCGCTGCTTCCAATTCTACATCGGCTAACATCCTGTTAGATAGGGGGCTCTCTTGCCAAATTGGTTTATTTTTCCCGCGAACCGCATTCTCGTGAACCCGGTGGACGATTGAATTTCATGAATTTCGAGACGGACCGAATCGATGACTGCGTGGAATTCATGAAACAATTGAAATTAGAGCAACAAAAACTCAATGGTTCCCGACCTGGGGCCTTGTGTGTTATGGCTACTGGTGGAGGAGCGTTCAAATTCTATGACAAAATACGAGCGGCGTTAGGAGTAGACGTTTTGCGGGAAGATGAAATGGAGTGTTTGATAATTGGTACCAATTCGTACACACTAGTTCAAACATCGCATTTTTACTAACCCGGAAAACAGGGTTGGACTTCTTCATAACCGAGATTCCACGAGAAGTGTTTACATATAGCGAAACAGATCCGATGCACTTTACAGATCCCCGCTCTGATATCTACCCATACCTCCTTGTTAATATTGGCTCTGGAGTAAGCATGATCAAAGTCTCAGGGCCCCGAGAGTATCAACGTGTGGGAGGAACTTCTTTAGGAGGAGGAACACTCTGGGGTCTCCTATCCCTTCTCACCGGCGCCAGAACCTTTGACGAAATGTTAGGAAACGCCGAGCGAGGAGACAACGTCAAAGTCGACATGCTCGTCGGTGATATCTATGGAACCGACTACGGAAAAATTGGTCTCAAAAGCAGCACAATAGCTTCGTCCTTCGGAAAGGTCTTCCGCATGAAACGAGAAGCCGAGCAAGAAGCAGAAGACAGCGGCGGTCTTACAAACGGCGACAACGCATCCGCCTCTTCATCCCCAGGTTTAGAAAGCGAACATAAAGCTCCTCCTGAGCCTCCGTTCTCTTCCCCTGATATATCTCGTTCCCTACTCTATGCAATATCGAATAACATCGGACAAATCGCATATCTCCAATCGGAAAAACACTCTCTATCCACAATTTACTTTGGTGGATCTTTCATCAGAGGCCATCGACAAACCATGAACACTCTCAGCTACGCTATCAAGTTTTGGAGTAACGGCGAGAAGAAAGCTTATTTCCTGAGGCATGAGGGGTACCTTGGTGCCGTGGGAGCATTCTTAAAAAGACAACCCCGGAATTGGGGGCGAAGAGGGAGTTTTGAGGAAGGCGTCGAATTAGGCACAGAAGCCAGGGCAGAAGTGCGAGCTTCTGCTTCTGGAGAGGGTAGTGTATAGACCTGGGCGGTTTTGTTTTGTTTTTGGAGGCTGGTGTGAGAGACCAGACCTCGAATAGCTCAAAGGTGTGGTTTCGAATATTCAATTAAGAAGTGCGTGAAGATTACATACATGCGAGCTCTTCCTCTATATATGGAGAGGAAGAGCTTCCTGAATATTCCAAGAAACTTGCAAGAAACTTGAATGACGAATACATGATGTCAGAAGAACAAAACAAGAAAGTGTGGAAAAGTAGAAACCTGTTTGGCAGTGGGGTAATGGCCAGTGCTAAGCAGGGACTTTGGTCAGTGCTCAACGAGGACTTTGGTCAGTGCTCAACGAGGACTTTGGTCAGTGCTCAACGAGGACTTTGGTCAGTGCTCAACGAGGACTTTGGTCAGTGCTCAACGAGGACTTTGGTCAGTGCTCAACGAGGACTTTGGTCAGTGCTTAGCGAGGGCATGGCCCGAGCCTCCATCATGGGTTCCAACCCTCACAGCTGGGTAGAAAGAAAGAAAAGTATGTTGATACAGATTATCATGGTTCCGTTAGGAGAAGGGGGAGAGATTTGGGACTTTTATCTTGCATTTTTTTTTGGCGTAGTAGGTATACTTCCAGATGTTTTGACAAAGGTCCAATGAACCAGTCAGGTTAGATATTAGAAATAGGAAATAATTCTGGAGAGAGATTTCGAGATTTATGGTCTCCTATTTAAGAAAATTATGAAATAATATTCCATGATGCTCGAGTCAGCTTGTCGTCCAGCGTGGGAACAAAATAATCAACTAATGAATTAATACTTTGAATTATTCAGATTTGAATTGAATTGATTTGATTAATAGGTCTAGTTGATTTGATTTGATTAACTAGTTGGTTAATCAGATTATTAATTAATTAATATATACTATAAATAGTAGCTAAAGTACAAAGTAATTATCCTCAAATAACGCGTCTTATAGTAGTATATCCTCGTCCTTGTTTACGAAACACACCTAGCTTGTTAGGCTTATTACTAGTATAGCCTTTAGAGTCTCTTTTATTACTATTCTATAAGATAATTAAAAGTAGGTCATATAATTCTACGTAACTATCTATACTAGTTGTAATAAATAATTTAGTACTATAAGCCTTTTACTAAAGTAAAGAAAGAGTCTTATTATATAAATATTTAATAAGCTCTACTTATATGTTATATAGGAAGGTCTAACTACCCAGACACGCGGGACTCTGTCACGGACTCTAGCCCGGGCCCAGGACTCTAGCCCGAGTCTCGAACCGATCGAACTCCGTATTAATCTAAATTAATCTAAATTAATCTAATTACTTAGCGATTTAATTTAATTAACCGGTATATTAATCTAATTTAATTTGATTAAGTACTATTAATCAAATCAAATCAAATCATTTTCTACGCTGTTATCGTCACACTCTGGTGATAGAAGACTTCTACTTTAGACATGAGGAAGCAAATTCGCAGCTCATTCCACCCTCACAAGTCACGTCATGTCATGATGTCACAAGAGCCATTAAAATATAGCAATCTCCATTTATTCATAAGAACAAACCGTGCTAAGCAACCATCCAACAGTTTGACCAGTAAGATAGAAAGCCATCACACCCAGATTTTGCCACCGTAGTATCTTACACATATTAAGCTAACACAGAAATGAAGAGCAAAATGTGATGCACACCCGGTTTTCCCACCCGTGCCCATACCATATGCTTAAAAAGCATCTCTAGACAAACGCCCCTTTTCGTACTCTCCATGCACCAGTTTTCATTATCCCGTCCAGGTTTTGGACTAGAACTCCAGTATTCATTTCTCATCATCCAAACGCCCGTACAATCGTTGTTCGTGAGAAGCCAGTAGAGTCTAGGAAAGGAAAATCGTGAAAAGTAGATTCGTCACAGTCGTAAACTCGGAGACTCGAGAAACTAGAATTAAACCTTCTCAAGAATCCATCATGCGAGCAAGTCGGTCAAAGGCGGATTCCTCAATGTCAAATTGAACTTGTTCTGCTTCGACCTCATCGTCCTCCTTTTCTTGGGTGGACTCTTCGGTTAGCAAATCGCGTTCGGCCATGCTCATTTGCCGGTCAAAGTCGTAGCCGTTATCCAGATCAAAGTCGTCCTCGTCCTCGTTTTGATTGCGATTGTTTTCCTCATCGTTCCCGGAAGTCAAGTCTATAAGTGGAGGCATGGGAGCGTCAACGGAGTTGCGATCGTTTCCATCATCGCTTTCGGAAGTCAGGTCTATTACCGGATGCGTGGGGACGTTCACAGAGTTGCGAGCACTTTCCTTCAAGTCAAGAGCTCCAAAAGCAGCATCGAGATCATGGCCCATGGGTTCAGGAGATCGAAAGCCTGCCAATGCCACATCCCCCATACCGCCATACGAAGAGCCATTTTGATCCCCGCCGGAGTGGTTGTATCCGATTCTGTCGATATCGACTAGTCCGCCGTAGGGGCCAGCCTATTTACCTTATTAGTAAAGAGTTTCATGACACTACACATTACCATTTCGAAGAGAGAGAATGACTTACCGCTCCATCCTCAGAGCCATAATCACCATGATCTTCAAAGAAGTCGATTTCTTGACCTCTGTGCACAACAACACCATCCTCCCTACGAATGTAATTCTGATTCGCTGGCTTGGCTCCACCAACTTGACGATCATTTTTAAATGACAGAGGCACGAAACCCAAGTCGGCCAAATCCTCAGACGTGTCGACCCCAGTTGAAATTTTGCCCAACACCTTCTCAAAGAGCCAGGGAAAAGAGATGAGAGGCATATATTCTGGCTCCATTCTTCGCACGGGTACTGTGACTCCGTGTTCAGTAACTCTGGTCGCTCTGCATTCGGCCAGGGCGATGTCAAGTTCTTCCTTGGTGACTCTGTACATACTAGCGACAAATGGTCCCAGAACCCCATAATCAGACCCGCCTGCTGCTTTGATGCAAGCTGCGCGGTATGTGTCTTTGAGCTCATCTGCAACTCGTCCTATCGCTTCTTGCTGTTTGTAATCGCTACCCACGCGCGGTTTTGAGAGAACAAAAGTTGTCCACACCTCAAACTCAGTCCGAATATCGTGCTGCGACATAATTTGACGCATGCTATAGTCATAAGCGGACTTGAGTCTTCTAGCAGCCGCCATAAGCGAGTCATCGATTTCGTACGCTGCCAGAACTCTTCTATCAAACGGCAGGTCGTATTTTGGTTTGAACGCGATACTTTCTACCTTGTCATATAGCTTACCAACGATTTTAGTGGATCTGTAGTAGAGTTCCTTTGGTCTGTGTCTACTTTCCATAAAATGTGGCCATTTTCGTGGTTTTAATCTCTTAGGCATCTCTGCTGGGTAACCTGTCTTGACATAGTCAACAGCTTTGGAATGTAGTTCAGCAAGTTCGATACCTAACCCTTGTTAGATCAAAAATCTTGATGAATTGAAGGGATACTCACATGTTGGGTTCTTGACGCCGAGGTTATCGGATTGTGCCTGGTGAGCGAGGGCGATCGAAGGCAGTGAGTCATTCTTCATGTAACGCACAAAAAATTTCATCAGGTCCTCAACTTCCACGGGATTTTGTTGCACTCGAGGGGGAGGCGATGTATAGTTCATTGGGGTGGCGTTCCATTCTCGTGGCCGAAGACTTTTATCCCAGATCACGAAGTAATCGTCGCCATCTAGGTCACCGCCTGAACACATGCTTGGAATATCTCTATCACCCGTTGAAGGAAAAACGACAACATCACGAAGGTGACGAAGAGAGGGAGCATCAACCGCCCGAACGACTCTGAGGTCTCCAGGGTGAAGTGAGGGGTTACGGCCGACTAGGCAGATGCCTTCAATCACAGTGTAAATAGGATTTTTTGGATCGCCTCCTTTCAAAGGAACCTGGATGAATATTTCCGGGAGTTCTTCAACCGGCAATTGCATACCTTGACCAACCGTTGGCTGATGGTAGCCCTTTAGAGTCGAGGTCTCATCGACACATCCAAGGACAAACGCCCCATCTTCAATAACGATTTTGGCTTTTTCTTTCAGCAACTTGATTGACCAAGATCTCCATAGATGTAACAACGAAACTACAAATGGATCCTGGTTCTCCATGAAGCCGCTGTGGACCATTTGCGCGATGTTGATTGTCATTTGATTTTCATCGATGTAGCGCAAAAGAAGCCCCCTTGCTAAGACATCATCTTTCATAGCGCTTTCATAGTTAATGAGTTGTCCCGTCATTAAGTCCAGGAACGACTCGTCTGGAACCCCGAGGCTCGATAGGATGGTAATTGTTTGCCGGTTTAGAGTTGCGCAAGAGTAGTGTGAGCATCTGATAATTTCAAGGCCATTGTAGGTTGCTGTAAATTTCTGCTGGCTCTTGCGAATGTGAACTTGTCTATCCACCGCATCAGGAGAAGTTACAAGTATCCCTTTGCAGCCGCCTAGCCGAAATTGAAACGCGGATGGGGTAGTAGCTGCCCGTATACCCAACTCATGGGCGATCATTTGGGCGAGGAAGGGAGAGATCTTTCCGACTCCATCAGTAAACGTGAATCCATTTCTCTCAATATCCGGAACTGTCACAACGGTTGGAGCTGAGAGTCCATTGATAGCCCGAGTAGTCGAGAAACACTGACCCAGTCTAGCTGCGTACTTGGCTGCAACATTGATGTGAGAAAAACTCCCCATCCAATCGCGAATTTGACCACAAGTGAGTTCATCTGTCTCGCAAAAGAAGTATGCACCGTTCTCCCGAAACTGAGAATTTCCAAATGCGAGAAACTTAAAGTGTCGCTTGCCGATTTGTATGCCGTTAAACAATGTTCTGTATACCCGACTAAACAACTCGTCATTCAGCTCATTCTTACAAAGGTGGATCTTGCCATCTATTCCATCGGATTAGCCTCTTTCTCTTTGAATCCGAAGTGCCAAGGACACGACATGAGAATTGGGTCAATATTTTGACTTACCTAAGAGTTCATCTGTAAATTGCACCCGGAGGAATCGACCTTGGTCGTTCTCTTTGGCATAATTTCTAAGCACTCTATTGGTGGTTTCCACGGTAGGTGAGCTATAGTGAACGGTGGTTGGAGTGACCGTGGCCTTTCGAGCAAAGGCACAATAGTGGGGAATGTCGGTTTTGGCGTAAAACGAAAGAATCTGGTCGTCTTCGAAAATAGACATTGGATCGTAGAATCGAATTCCCATCTCTGCAACCTTTTCTAGAATATTTCGTGCCTTGATGGCATCTTTTGAAGCTATCCCTGCCAACTTGGCGACAAAAGACCTAGAAACATTATACTCGTTTATGGCCTCCCGAGATATGCAAACCTCCAATTGATATCTAACTTCGAAAGGAAGATAAAACTCCGCTACTTTCGCGTTCAAGGTAGTACTTTTGGGGGTATCAATCATATCCCAGAGTTCTGAGGGCCGTCCAGGGGTAACGCAGACCTTGTTGATAGGTACAATATTGATGTTAAAGTCCTGAAGAGCGTCTAGTATCTTGGCAAAAGAAGTCGCAGTTCTTGCATCAGAAGGAAACTCAAAAAGATAAGTTGTCCAACGTCCTGTTGCTTTGGTTAGTACAATAACTTTTTGAAAGAACTATAACAATACCTATGTCTATAACTGGCATTGTCTTGTGAAGTGCAATGACAGAGGTGGAGTTCAAGTCAGGATCGTACACAATATCAGTTTGTCTGTACCAAGTATTCGAAAACTCAGACCAGACCAGTTCATCTGAGTGAATGGTTGAACCCTCACGCTTGCGATAGAATTGTGGAGGGCAACCAAGTTGCAAGAGAAGTTGAAAGGAGCGGTTGGGTAAGTTCAGACGGTGAATAACATTGAGATGTTCAAAGGATACTTGGAACATGTATCGGTTGGTACGATCTAGTTTACCAACTCTGTTAAAGCTGATATATTCAGATGTGTGTAGATCCTTGTGTCTAGGGTCCTTGTGTTCAACCCCAAACTTAACAGTGAGTCTTCTTCGACGAAAATCCACAACAAAAGACGGGTGTGTAACGGTCTGAAGTTGCATCATTGTCTCTGGATTCTCCATTAAGCCAAAGTGCAATTTGCTAGGATTCATGTGCATGGTCTTGTCAAACCATACTCGAGGTCTGGTGGGACTCTGCATTTTTCCATCGCTCTGGTCATCCTTTCGAATTTCAAGTCCAATTGGGTATCCATTTCCTCCATTGGCTGGTTTGATGAAACAAGTACCAGTGTACCAGAACTCCTCGGTTGGAACAGGGGAGAAAATGATCCTCCCAGGGCTTTCACCATTGGAGCGGCGATCTTCACGGAAGATTTCAATTCGCGAAATATCGCCGTACTTCTCAAATGTCTTAAAAATATCCTTGGTTGTTGTTTCATCCTGAAGGCGAGAAATCCTGATAGCGAGCTCTGGCCATGCCTTCCAAGCATTTGGATCGCCATTATAAAAGGCAGAAGATGCCTGCTGATATCTTCTTGGACGACGTGACATTTTGAATTTTATTTGTTTGTAACTACAATGAGGAAAGTCAGTCTAAAGAACATCAAAGAGTGCTGGGTGTTTCAAATACCTTTTGCTGAAATTGTTTGTATCAGGTCAGATGGCAGTTTGAAAGTACCAAGAGAACAAGTTCCAACGGGTGCTACCTTCTGAAGCAGGGATGTTGATTAGGGCAATTGAGGAGAGTACAATGAAAAGGAGATCGTGGGACAGGTCGTAGTTTAGCCTCTTGAAGGCAGGACAAGAGGTGGAGAAGATGTTTGGTCTACTATCTATGATGAAGCAAATTAGCTTAGGTAAGGATAGCAAATCTCGTCAAGTGTGAAGGTGAACACCCTTGCAGGAGGACTTGAAGACTTCAGGATTGGTAGAAGCTGAGAGGAATTAGTGAAGGACTTACCTTTTGAAGGAAGTTGAGGTTTCGTTTTGTGTCTGATCGGAAGACCAGAGCAATTGTGAAGATAGTGTGGGTATGGATGGGGTGGGGGATTGGTTTGACTTATGCAGGCAACCGATCTCCTGTCTGTAGGACAAACAAGAGCAAGCTGACTGGAAGCAACGTGACCACCACAAGGTCAATTGTCTGCAATTGTAATGATTGCCATGCGAAGTTTGATTAGTTTAAAGCAGAAGAGAGCCAGCTCAGCGTAATGAGGTTGTCGGTCGCCAACGGATGGGGTTGCGCCCGCAGAGAGGCAGAGGTGGAAGAAGGTAGAGAAGAGATCGGAGGATGCGATGGATGGATGGTGGGGTTGATATTTTTTGTTGGAGGGAATCGCGTCGTTGGCACGAGTGCAGGCGACTAACTGCCAGACAGGGATTCTGTCGGCGGCTTTTAACTTGGAGGTAAGCCGATTGGCCAGGCAACTGTAGTTGACCTGAGGTGTACTAGTTACCCTTTTCAGCACTCCAGGCAGACAGACTCTGAAACTGTGGTGTCAAGGTGTCAAAGTACTGCTTATATGCACGCTTCTACCTACCATAAATCTGAATAGTGATGACTAGTAGATGTAAGATTACGAGTAGAGAAATTTGCAACACATGAAGAAGAACAAAACAAGAATCTCTTCTGAAAGAAACTTCATGCTTAAGCTTATGTGACTTTTATAGCACTGGACGGTAGATTGACGGTCCAAGCTGTTTCAATTGCTTCCAGATTGTTAGTTTGCTGTGATTACACTTGTACAGTACTTGTATAGCGAATATCTCTTATGCACTTTTTGGCTTGATTCATGGTAAAACTCACTTATGTTGCTTCTGGTTTTGCTCGTCCTGCATGAGTAGTTTGTTGCTTTCACCTTTACCGTCTCAGCCAATCGATTCTTGTTTTTTAAGATGGAAAGACGCAGTAAAGACAGTGATAATATTTTGTTTATTAAAGCATTTTAGGAGTTGAAAAGAAATTCCTTATCATCGTGTAGTTTTCACTTACTAGATGTTATATGAAATAGCCTGGCATTACCAATAGAGCTCTACTATCCAAGAATTCTGAGAATAATCACAAGCTCACTTATCCAATACATCAAGCATTCTCTATTAACTTAATGTTTACATACAAATACTCATTTCCTTAAAATTTCTCAAACTTCCTATATTGGAGTTATCGTTCCATTCTAAGCGACGTAGGAGTTCTCCATGCTACAGTATGCCAATTCTTTCATTCTATAATTCCAGGATATTCTTCAGTCCAGATTAAAGACTGAAAATAATCCCAGCTGCTCTCTCCCATTCTCCAATGAGATTTAGAGTTATTAATTCACTCACAAATCTTTCTCACTCCCCAACACAACCGCCCATTCACAATCAAAAAAGGCTCTGAATCCTCGCTAGTTGAAACGATACTAACGCAAGCCCATTCTGAAGGAAACCAGCTCGCAGATTATTATGATGGCTCATGGCTGCAATCCTTTCTGGTGCTGATCAAGTGGTGGTTTGGCCAGGAGAGCCAGAAGGAAACAGTTCAAGTGGGATAGCCGCTCTTGTGTATCTGGCAGAAAGATATTGCAAGACAAGGTAAATTCTTCCCAGAGGGAAGCTTGAAAAGCAATATAGGGCTACATTACGATCTTACGTGTACCAAATACACTCTACTTAAGTAGATCTCCACAGGTCAAGATATCAAAGAATCAATGATATCCTTTCATAAGCAAACCTGTTCTCTTAGCATGTGGAACATTCTTATTGGAGACTGGCAGACTTGAAGTATTCTTTTCGTCGAACGAGCGGGGGTCTGAGAGGCTTCTCAATTCCTAATTTTCATGCTCTTTGCAAAAGGGCATCCGAATCTCCCTGTGTTAACGCCGGCTCTGATTTGGTCGAGCAGGAGAACCTTGCTGCGGAAGATTCTTTTGCTGCAGAGATGAACGCAACAATGTTTGGAAGAAAAGCCTTTATAACTCATGATGGTATTTGGGAATTGGTATAGAAATAATGGAGAAGGGTGGTTGTGTGGAGTATCTCCTGGCGCAAATGTGCCGGTGATATTACGACGACTAGAGAGCAGCTGTGAGCAACCAGTTCAGCGTAAAAAATAGATCCGCATGAAATGGGGTTCTTTTAGGGAAAGTAAGGGCATTACCTTGTCTCCAACCTTCTCTCTGTAGGACAGCAGTAATCAGCCGAGGGAACGTGGTGGATTTCTTCGAGGCTTGCTATGGTGTGCTGGAGAATCAATCTCGCTCGCTTAGTTTTCCTACTGTCAACGTCCTTGAGAATTATAAGCAGGCAGGTAGCTAGTCAAAGGCCAATGGATAATCTTGAACATCTGCTTCCCTGGAGAGATGGCACCGTAGTTGCTGAGGGCCGTAAGCGGGCTGGGAGCCCCTTCGAAGTTGGATGAGTGTAAGGACTCCGGTCATTGCTGTTCACCTCAAAGGTACAGCATCAAACAAACCCGAAAATTCTTTACAAACGCTATTTTACTCGTAGTCGCCCAGAATAGTCGATAGTGGACGAACCTCTCACTTCATTGCACTGCCCCGGCCTCCAATTCAGAAATTGAAGCTTCGCATTTCCTTATCGGGTGTTCTGAGTGGAGTTTAAACCTCGTTGGATGAAGTGGGATGTAAGAGTCAACCTTGATCCCGTGAAGGCTGCAGAGCCAGGGATTTGGCAGTCGAGTCGCTAAATGGGCCGCAGAAGTTAGGAGTCAGGGGTGCAAAGGGGGGAGGAATGGAAACGAAACAATTCTCGCGCAAGTCCTTTGCCCGAGGGCGAGTGTTTGTTCGCGATTCTTTGGCGAGCAGCTTGTTTTGCCCGAAAGGGAATCCGAAGATGAAATAAAGACTGTTCGGAGGTCCTGTATGAGTATCGAGAAAAGTTTCTGGTACCAGTAGATGGAATTGATAGACTTTGTTTAGAGGGGTAAGCTTATTTTGGAGCCAGATTATCCCAGAATAGTGGTGGCCGGAACGGCTGCCGATAAACTGCTACCGGTAGTTTAACTTAGAACAATAATAGAGTAGGCACAGTGAAGCTCGGAGAATGACGTGGTGGAGACATGGAAATAAGAATTGAGGATCCAGACTCGGAGCAAATTATCGGAAGTACTGACTTGGTGTTATAGTAAGCAGTGAGCACGCCAAAACCGACACTTTTGGTCTGAAGTTCATCCTATCATGAGCACCACCGCTCTTGATGAGATTGTTCGCCAATCCGAGTACGAGTACTTGAAATACCGGTGTGCTCACAGCTTGAAGTCTACACTTGGAAGAGGCAGACGTCTGATAAGAGAATGTTCTCTTGAAGTCGTGCTCCAAGATGCAGTATCAAAGTATCGGTATCCCAAGGGAACCAATTCTTGTGTATCTGGGATCTGAGATCTCTTACTCGATACCGAGTCAAGTGCGTAGAGTTCTGATTCAGTGAGCGAACCCATAGCCCCCTGGTGTCGGTCGGTCGCACGGTGATAGCTCTTGTTTCTGGAACATCAGCGCTTCGAGGGAAGAAGCTTGCTGGGTGGTGCCTACTAGTGGTGCCGTTCAACACCTCCCTTTACTAAGTACACGGTACGTACTGTAGGTATAATGATGCGTACGAGTAGTGGTTTTGAAAGGTACTATACCGTATTCTTGACCGTTGTTTCATCCAGTATCGTGATCGTGATTAGGGATGGTGTTTCCTAGGAGTCTCTCTCCCACCACTCCCACTATCGCTCGCCTCGCCACTGGCCGTGTCTCTCGCCTCGCCTCGCCTGTTTTTTGGTGGTGCGGTACGAAGCCCCCGAAGCCCCCGAAGCCCCTACCACTACGGTGAGTACGGCTACACGGCCCCTGTCACTTTCCTCACAGCTTCCTCGGGTGTTCCAGTTTGAGATTCTGCGACAGTTATCGACAAGAACACCAACACCTCAACCTCCTCCACGAGTTGTATCCCCGTTCTCTCCTCGTATCCCACTCAGTCACTGGCAACTTGAAGCTGCTCCCCATCCGATTCTCTGCCCACCCGATCTCGCATCTGCTATATTGTCTGCTGGTCTCAGTTCAGTGCAAGCCCCCTTAGCATCCATCACCAATACCAGTCTCACCTCTTCCTCCCGCAAAAGCAGGATCCGACGGATTTCCTTGGACGTCTCTGCTCCTCCTCCTATCAGCAACGTGAGCCGAATCTTGTTGCGAACGTGGTCGCAAACGTGGTCGCAAGTGCAACCGTAGGCCCCTCGATCTCATCACAATCGTCAACTTCACCATCGCAGGTCGGTACTGATTTCCCAGCTTCCAGCTCTCTGGTTCCCCCACCTGCACCCTTTGTTCTGCACCTGCACGCGGCACCTTTAGCTTCCTTTGTGTCAAAACATCATCTCACCTTCATGCAGACACCTCCACTTCCTCCACCATACAAACTGAACACCCGTCACGATAACTACCACAACCGATCTCCCTCCCCTACACAATAAACAATTCACCCATAAACATGGCAGCTCCTGGAACTCAGTCGCTCAAGGTTCGTCTCTTGAACGCCACCCACTAGAGACTATGATAGCAAGAGATCTTGACTAACTTAAATAGTGCGTCGTCACTGGTGATGGTGCTGTCGGAAAGGTATATGATCAACCGATTACCTGCGATGGACTTGCCGGGTTTGCAGCTGCTAACGACATTTTCATAGACATGTCTCCTTATCTCCTATACTACGAATGCCTTTCCCGGCGAATACATTCCTACCGTGTGAGTGAAGATGGATGAGGTGGTGGAGGTTTGGTTTATCTTGCGCCATACTGACTGGAGGTCTTAGCTTTGACAACTACTCTGCGAGTGTCATGGTTGACGGAAAGCCAATCAGCTTGGGTTTGTGGGATACTGCTGGTCAAGAAGATTACGATAGACTGCGACCGCTTTCCTACCCACAAACCGACGTTTTCTTGATCTGCTTCTCTATTGTCAGCCCACCTTCCTTTGACAACGTTCGCGCCAAGGTATGTCAAATATTTTCTAGATTACCAAGATAAAACACTGATTTGTGTTATTTCCAGTGGTTCCCAGAGATTGATCACCATGCTCCTTCCGTTCCCATCATTCTTGTTGGTACCAAGTTGGATTTGCGTGAGGATCCCGCCACTTTGGAGAGCTTACGAGGGAAGCGCATGGAGCCAGTTTCATACGACCAAGCCTTGATTGTTGCCAAGGATATCAGAGCTCATAAGTATTTGGAGTGTTCTGCTCTCACCCAACGAAACTTGAAGAGTGTGTTTGACGAGGCTATCCGGTTAGTACCTTGCTATGTAGTATATCTTGTGTTTTGATAAAATTCTAACCCAAATCCCAGTGCTGTCTTGAGCCCAAGACCCCAGATCGTCAAAAAACAAAAGGGAAAGTGCACTATTCTCTGAGGGACGAAAAACAATCTAATAAACCAATGCGTACGGCGGTAATTAAATGCAAACATGTCAGGAGTATTATGGGTACAATCTTCATTCAAGGGATTCGGTTTTGAGATTAAAGCTTCCATTGTTTCTCTTTTCGGCTGGTTTAGAGATTCCGGAGGCTCAAGCTCATTGCATTTGGAGGGAAAAAGGATAACATGGAAAGGGGGGACGGAGGTGTCGAAGCATAGGAAGAATGTCTGTCAACTGGCAACATTGCTCCCATATTCCCTACTCTTCCCCCCTTGGAAAATGGTTTCGCTTGCCCTTTCTTTTTATGGAAAGAAAATAGAGGATTTCCTAGTTTTTTGCTTTATAACCTTGGGGTCTTTTTCTCTGTCCCTGGATTGGAAGGCTTCTAGGGAAGTGTTTGCAAAAAACTGGATTTCACTTTGTTTTTCTTTCCTTCCTTTTCTTTTGCATTTATGGAGATGAGATATTCTTGAGAAGTTTGTCTTCCTGTAGATAATGCATACAGGAATGGGTAATGATGAACGAAAGCCTTTTTAGTTTTTTCTAGTTTGCATGGCATATTCTTTTTTTTTATGTTCGTTTCTTGAATGATACAAAGTTTTTCTCCGTTTGCAAAATCTAGTGTGTGCCTTTTTTTTCTTGTATGAAAGTGTGAATATTGAGGGTGAGGTGAGGCTTTGAATCGCAGGTACTAGGTGTTTCGAGATTCTTGTGCATTCCCTGGGTTGCATGTAAGTGCTTGATACCGGATAACTCCTTTTGCTTGGAGTGAGTGGATTGATTCATCCATCCATCCATGCTTTACGTGTGGGAGGAGGGGGTAGGTGGACTGATTGATGTAGAGTGGGAGAGTCAAGGCTGTTTGGTACCGAGAATCAGACCTGTGACGTGGAAGGGGGATGGTTGTGACTGTGTTTGTGTGATTACTGGGTATTTTTTNTGGTTTTGTTTTTTGTCTCGGTCGGGGATTTGGATTTGGATTGCGATTGTGCTTGGGTTTACCCAGTTTCTCTTTTGAGATGTGGGGTTTGGCTATGGGGTTCTGGGGCTTTTTGGGGCGCGGGGCGAGGAAGAGGGTGAGGGCGAGAGGGAGGGGATAGGTAGTTGCTGTTTTATGGGGAAGGGGGAGAGGGGAGGGGGCTGGTGATGGTGATGGTGATGGTAGGGGGGGGGGGGTTT